TTTCGCGGATTTATTTTGATTTTTGGTTCCCGACGTTTCGAATGCTTTACAGCATCCATGGTCACGGGAGAGACTGAGGTATTACAGGTAAGCATGGAAATGATTTTTTTTTTTATTAGAAATGGGCTCACTCTTGACCTTTATCTTAGCTCGAAGGCACAGATAAGGTCTACGATCTAGCGAGTTTGCCCAGGAGAAGCCTGTTAACACGCACCTTAAATAGGTTCAGGTTATACGCATTCGGAAAAACAGACGCAGGCAGCGCATTCCACATCTTGGCTGTGCGCATTATAAAAGATGACGAATAGCGCTTAGTGCGAGTGGTCGGAATGTCAACCAAGAAAGGATGGTATCCTGCAGTACGTCTGCTGTTCCGATAGAAGAATGGCGATGGTGGTATAAGACTGTGGAGCTCGTGGGCACACTCCCCGAAGAACAGTCTGTAGAAAACCGACAGACAAGCAACTTGGCGACGGTGTGCTAAGCTGTGAAGCTTAGTTTTCACAAGCTTTTCGTCGCCGATTAGCTTTTTAGCTCTGCGTTCCACCGAGTCAAGAGCGGCTAGTTGGTATTTTGCAGAGCCATCCCAAAGGTGACTGCAATACTCCATGCATGATCGGACTTGAGCTTTATATAATGTGAGAAGCTGTCCAGGCGTGAAGTATCGCTTAACCTTGTTAAGGATGCCCAGTTTCTTGGCCGCAGTCTGTGCCTTCGACTCGATGTTGTCGCCAAAGTTAAGATTTGCACTTAACCTTATGCCGAGAAGCTCTAGACTGTCGGAAATCTCTACAGGTGCACCACGAAAAGTAGGAGTCAAGCTGAACGGACTCCTTTTTGCAGAAAATAGACAGGCTTGCGTTTTGGCGGCGTTGAAATCGACCAGATTGTCATCGCCCCATTGTGAGACAAGACTTAAGGTCGCATTCGTACGCTCTACCATGGCCTCTCTCAAAGTACTTATTAATACCCCTCCGTCCCTTGCACCGGGCACATAGCTCTCTATGACTGTGCTGTCATCTGCATATGCAACAATACCTGTTGAAAGTAGGTCATTGATGTGTAGCAGGAAAAGAGTCGCAGAGAGAACAGACCCCTGTGGAACTCCGGCATCAATAGCTATTAGATCGGAGGAGCAGCCGTCAACGACGACTACTTGCGTTGCTACTTTTAAATCATTATCATATGATAAAATTACGTATATTTTTCACGTGATTTCACCTGTTACTTTTCACAGGCAATGATTTTTTATTTCGACGGTCTGGTGTCACACTTTATATTATTTGCTATTAAAACTTTTTAACAAAAAAATAAAAACCGACTTCAAACAAAAGCACTAAAAAGTAAAAAATAACTGATTGGTAGTTTTCATTTACTATACATACCTAATCAAATATTTTCGAAGTCGGTGTGCTTTGGCTAAGTAATTAAAGCCTACCTATTAAATACGAACCTAATCAAATATTTTCGAAATCGGTGCCAGCCCATACAAAGCAAAGCACACCGACTTCGAAAATATTTGATTAGGTATGTATAGTAAATGAAAACTACCAATCAGTTATTTTTTTACTTTTTAGTGCTTTTGTTTGAAGTCGGTTTTTATTTTTTTGTTAAAAAGTTTTTATTTTTCCCTTTTTAGTGTAGACAGTAGTAGCAAAGTAAGAATTCTAAAGTGTTAGGCTTGTCAAACCAAACAAAATAAGCCCAAACTCAAAGTATCTACTATTAGTCGTTGACAAGTTCCACCTATCCACCTTCTGGCCTTACCATCAGATCAGGTCAACAATACCGAACCACTGTACTATCGACGGAAATAGAAACACTTGCAAAGTTTCAAGTCAATATGACAATTAGAAATAGGTTAAATTCATTATTAGCTATTTTTCCACCCTTAGGGGTGGTATTTTTTTTTGAAATTTAAATGGGACCAATCCGGAAGTATACACTTTCAAACAAAACAAAAATTGTCCAAATCGGTTAATAAATGACGAAGTTCTGAGGTAACAAACATAAAAAAAAAAAAATACAGTCGAATTGAGAACCTCCTCCTTTTTGAAGTCGGTTGAAAATGAAGTATTAGTAGGGGAGCCCAAGAGGGGATTTTCTGTAGTTACTCGAGCGCGGCAGATTAACATAAAAGAGGTTACCTTGCACTCTATTGAGTACTTTCACCATAATATAAGTCTTCTATATAAAGGGGCGCGTCTAGGGAAGCCGATTAAAATATTTAAAAAATGTTTTCATAAGGTAGAAATACTTGAAACCGTCAGATTAAGGTGTGGTAGGCTAGTCACATCCTGAAAAGTGTCCAATTCAATAATCTGCCGATTTGCACAAGCCGAAGAGGCAAAAATCGACTATAAAGTTTATGGTGATTTGTAGCAGTGACTGTGAATTTAAGTAGCAGGTGTTGTGACGTATGATAACGCATTTCATGTGATTTTTCACTTGCTACTCGTGAAATGTTCCATGCCTAGTTAAAGGCCTAAAGATATAGTTGTTACAGACAGCCTACCCACAATTAACAAAATGAAAATTGCACCAATTATATTACAATATATTTTTTTAGCTTTAAACATTTTTATAATTTTAATTATAATTGAATATGGAAAATTATTTATTTAATTTTTGCTATTATTTTTATAATTATTACAATTTTAAAAATATTAATTAGTAATCTATATTTAGTGTTGCCATTATTATATTTATAACCATAAATAAAAATATAAAAATATAGTATTAATTATTAAAGCCATATAATTGTTCTATGTGTAATTTAAAAAATGATTATCCTTAATTAATTTTAACTTTTTTAAATTACACATAGAACAATTATATGGCTTTAATAATTAATACTATATTTTTATATTTTTATTTATGGTTATAAATATAATAATGGCAACACTAAATATAGATTACTAATTAATATTTTTAAAATTGTAATAATTATAAAAATAATAGCAAAAATTAAATAAATAATTTTCCATATTCAATTATAATTAAAATTATAAAAATGTTTAAAGTTAAAAAAAAATATATATTGTAATATAATTGGTGCAATTTTCATTTTGTTAATTGTGGGTAGGCTGTCTGTAACAACTATATCTTTAAGACATGTAACACCTCAGTCTCTTCCGTGACCATGGATGCTGTAAAGCATTCGAAACGTCGGGAACCAAAAATCAAAATAAATCCGCGAAATAATCCGAAAAGATAGTTTTATTTAATAATCGAGACACTTTTTTAGCTGTTTTTGAGAGTATATAATGCTACATTTACCTTCTTGCCGTGGCTTGGCAAACATCTACAAGCTCCAAGCCTTTACAAACGCTTGGATGCCATTTACACGGACAGGCAAGCTGTTCAGACAAATATGGCAAACGTGGACGTTGAAGTTGTGTCGATTAATGCATTTGGCTTGACATATTTTTAACTATACACTAGCGACTCACCCTCGCTTCGCTCGGGTTCGTCCCTGGCTTGCTTCCCCGCACAAACTTTCAACCCCATTCTCACTCCCTTAAGGTGTGATTTTCGGGATAAAAAAACTATTTCACTCACTCAATTCTCATATCATGAGATTTAAAAAAAGTCTTATTTTAGTAAAAAACAAATTTTCTTTTGATTTTCTTCTATACAAAGCTTGTCCTGACTGGTGCAGTCAATCGGAAGTTATGCGCATATTAGACCAATCGGAATCCGTTTATTTTTAAGCGATTTTTTTTTATTGAAAACCTAAAGTTTTATGATTTCAAAATGTTAGCAGGTACATAAAGAATAGAAATTCGTAAAATGCCCCCGATGCCCAGCCCGCAAAGCGCTGAAACATAGTTTTTACAATTTCCGGCTTTCTGTGACGTTCTATTGTAAAATGTTTTCTACAAAAGTATTAGGTCTAGTAAAAATCTACAACTATTGTAAATAACAGTTTTTACAATAGCCTCGAAGTTTTCGAGAAACATATTTATTTGCAAAAAACTCGGTTTTTTATCTTTTCTTGATTTTTTATTTTTTATTTCTAGAACAATCTCTTGATCTTCATAAAACTAAGGGAAAGTAATCTTCGAAATACATTACAATTACAAAAATTGCAATTGAAATGTTTAGCCATTTCCGAGAAAAGTATGTTTTATGGTCTCGAGAGGCTGAAAATCACTCCCAGATTCAAGTGGACGTTTACATTTAAAAAAAAAATCGTTCAATTTTTAGATAAGGCTCATTCTTATGGTCTGAACCTCTACTTTTTGAAAAAATAAAAATAGTGTATGGTCGCCTTATAAAATTACCCTTAAAATTATAAAAATTGGAGAAATCGATAATTTTTAACAGATAATTAGAAAATTGTCAAGTGACATGTTTAGTGTATGTGAGCTTCTCATCGTGGATTTTACCGATTATTCATGATTATTGTAAAGATTGTTGCACTTCTTGTTTAATTATTGCAAATACGTGGGTACGGCTCAATAAAATATGTTATTACTTAAAATGAGCGATAAGCAAAACTAAATATTTTACATATTTGATTATTATGAATTAATTATGTATTTAAAACGAAATCCTCATAAACTGGTGCTGATTGACAATTATTATTGTTATATTAAATTTATGGCCCTGCCGCACTAACAAATACTTATAGATATACTTAAGTAATAGATTTCAGTCTTTCAGTCTATTAGAATTAATTTAAATTTTATTATCTTAACCGATTTCGAAAAATAGGAGGCTATCAATCCGATACGATTTTTTCCGGTCCCAGTGGGGTTCGGAACGGTGCGCATAGCCCCGCACCATTGCCCGACACGAGCGACCAGAACCTCGCACTATTGACGAGTTAGTTTTTTTGCTTTTGACGCTTAAGCTTTCTATTGATTTTTTCAATAACCTGATTTATTTTTCCCTAATCAAAATCAATTTCAGTATTACATTGAATTGTTTTGGATTTTAGATTTATGATTCGCGATATTGGCGAGTTACCGGAAGGCCGAGCTCTCGCGACCGCCATGCAGCCAAAAAGGATGCGCATGAGGCAACCGTAAGTAGTTCTACTTCAGTATGTAGTAGTTATTATTCTAGTTGTAATAAGTAATAAGTTTTAACTTTTGTTTTAAAATGTCCATCTAGATCTAATCCCAGACTATCACCATCGGGTGCTACATCACCACCACCATCCGTCTCACCACCACCGTCACCATCAGTTGCACCTTCATCACCGACGTCGTCATGTTCGGTGCCTTCGCCGGGAATGTAAGTTGCTTGCGGACTTTTCTTTACATAATTCTAAAGATATGGATCCTACGGCACTTCTTTTGTTCTAGGTTTGTGGAATGTTCCCCACCTTCGGCTTCAAACCCGCTACCCGACTCTCCGATGCAGCATCCATCTCAACCTCCACGTCTTCACCCTCGGCATCGACGAGATAAGGATATCAATTATGGTAGGTACCTGTTGATTTTAGTTTGGATTAGGGCTCTGACCAAACTTCTGGTTTTCACGAGATTTGAAACCATACTATCATCCTTTGTTACAGGAAGCGAAGATGACTCTGACAAGAGCGACGACGAGGACGCCCTAGGGTTTTCTGGCATTCCAAGGGTGCTTCAGAGTATTATGGAAACACCTTTGGACCTGGATGAGGATGCCGCCGGAGAACCCACGTCCGCCCAGGGGGCGGACATGGGTGGGTCAGACCCAGAGCCTGCCAGCGACCATGCGCCCGCCGATGTCCCTCCAACGGCGACGGACCAGCCTTGGAGCTGGTACGAGTTTAAGTGGAGAGACTTTCCGGATCCTCCGAATCCACCTGAATCGAGACGGGAAACGTTTTCCGAAAATAACGTCGGTCCGATAACTCCACGTGACGACCCGTATGACATTTTCGTTGACATATGGGATCGGCAAATTATGGAGCACATTGTCTCGGAGACAAATAAGTATGCTCAGCAATTGGCAGCCCAAAAGCTCGAAAGCCACAATCTTCATCCCAGAAGCCGCATCAGCCGTTGGCATGACACTACGGTCGATGAGCTTTACGCTTATTTCGGCATAATTCTGGCGATGGCGATTACGGTTAAAAGTCGAATGGAAGAGTACTGGGCTTCCAGCACTGACATATTTTATTCTCCCGGTTTTAGCGCACACATGTCCTACGATCGTTTTTTGTTACTCACTAAATGTCTTCATTTCAACGACAACAAAGACATGTGTGCGCTAGAACTGGACTACTCCGAGGCCAAACTTTTTAAAATACAGCCAATACTTTCACATTTGAACAAGAAATTTCAAGAACTGTATACTCCGGCGCAGAACATCGCACTAGACGAGAGTCTTTTGATGTGGAAAGGCAGGCTTGATCCAAATAAACTTGCATATAGAGGCATCAAGACCTATGAGATTTGTGAATCTCAAACCGGCTACCTATGGCGGTTTGATGTTCACGGTCATAAGAAAACGCCGCCGCAGCAGTTTCATAATCCTCTAGAGGCACCTACGCCGTCAACTGTGTTACGTCTGATCGAAGGTCTAGAAAACAAAGGATATACATTGTGGATGGACAATTTCTACAATTCACCATGTCTAGCTCGACGTCTTAAGTGCTTGGGCTTTGACTGTGTAGGAACTCTGCGGACTGATCGTAAATTCGTTCCGCGGAGCCTAGATTGTCTCACCAAGCGTGACATGCGCCCAGGTCAGATCGTTGGTCTCACCTCGGGGGACGTCGATGTCATGGTGTGGAGAGATAATAGTAGGGTAGCTATGATCTCTACATACCATGGCAACGCTCAGCACACACTCCAAGGCGCCACCAAACCCGTCCTGATATTGGATTACAATATCATGATGGGCGGGGTGGATAAAAAGGACCAGCTCCTGGCCATGTATCCAGTCGAGAGGAAACGAACAAAGGTCTGGTACAAGAAATTTTTCAGGAGACTACTTAACGTTTCCGTATTAAACTCTTACATCATCCATAATCACTCTTCTTCTGTTAGTCATCGCAATTTCCGTATCAATCTAGTAAAATCTCTTCTTTCTAAGCATTCTAAACCTTCAGCGCTTTCGAATCCGTTAGAAAACCATCGCGTGGATGTCAGCCACCGCGTAGGACTTTACCCAATAAGGAGTCACCAACGCATGCGACGGGCGTGCGTGGTGTGCAAGAAAATAGCGTCTACGTTCTGTGTTGGTTGTGACAAAACTGTATGTATGGACCCGTGTTTCCTCACTATGCACACAAATATATATATATAAACATATATATTAAATGTATGTATCTATATATTTGTATTTATATGTATATTTTTTGTACCACAACTTTGTTCGTTTCTTTGATCGTGCGAATTGTAAAATTCTTCATCCACCATAGTATCCTTTGTTTCTAGGTTATATAGGGTATAGGTTCAACGCTGCTAGACCCACGGTCAGGCGTGTTTATTCTTCCGAAATGTAACCATAACGCCGACAACATACTTACTATCTAGACTCGTAGAGCTTCTCGGTGTGACTGTTTCTCCACTAATTCATCATAAAAAAATTCTAAAGACAGCGCACATGCTCACACATTTCATTGCTTATTTGTATTTTTTGATGAAGATGTACAAGACTACATATTTTTTACAAATTTAAAGTAGGTAAATAGTGACGGTGCGGCGTGATTGATATCTAGTGGTTCTACTTCTGACGCGGTGGCGGTGGTGTCTTTGATGCCTCATTTGCAGATTTTTAAAAGATTCTCATCTACTGCAATGCTTCATTTTCATTTTGCCATTTTTAATTTATTTTCTCGTAATGTTCATAATTTAAATGTGACAGTATTGGTGTGTTCATATTATTTTTAGTCATGTACTTTTTTCCCGTGTGTTTTTTGTCCGTTTTGGTTGTTGAATTTAAAAATATTTTACCTAATATTATCGTTTTGTAAATTATCAAATTGTGGAATGTAACAGAATTTATCCCTGTTGTTGTTCGATTTCTTGTAAACTAATCACTTGTAACAGCTGAAACTCTGTCCATGACAAGTATGTGGCCCAAACTATAGTATATGTTAATAACCAAAGCCGCTTGACCTACAATGTTCTCAGAATTGATTGAAGTATAAACAGACCCTATTTTTTGCCCGGGCGCTCGGGTCGCGTAAATGACGCGTTTTTCTAAGGCATGTGTAGTGAAAAAAAAATGTATGAATGGTATATTCTTTTTATTGATTAATGTAAAATAATGTACACCATCCCCGCCACACTCTTCTCCTCCACCACAAAGTTGCCTGGAAGAGATCGTTTTTAGCGTTAAGGCCACCTCCTGTACATTTATTTTTTGTATATTTGTCTCGTTATGTTTGTTTGTTTGTTTTATAATGTGTACAATAAAGTGTTAGAATCATATCATAATTTACACAAGATTATTGTTTAGTTATTTATTCCATATGTATGATGTTTTAAAATATTCGTCAATTATTAATTCATTATTGTTTAAATTTATTATTATTTTAATTTAATGAGATTACGCATAGAAACTTAGAATAATTTAATTTATATTTTCAAATATTGTACTAACGCGCGCACTACTTCCGGCTGACAACTTCCTTTTTTTTTGTTCCGGTAAAAAGGGTTGGAGGGAGGTAGCGCGCGCGCAGTAGACTGTTGATTGTCGACTGTCGAGTTGAGTAGACGTTAGAAAAGGCATTATAAATCATAGTGTGATTTGTGAAGTTTCATCAATATTTAAGTATAATAAATTGATTTAATTGTGGAAAAGTGTTTTAATTACCTGAGCTCTCAAAAAATAGTATTATCAATCTATGTTTATGTAAATATAATAAATACTTTTTGAAATAGTAGTTCATTTTTTTTTTTATTATAATGACTTTTGTACAATAAACAGGGAAAATTCGCTCACCCTGATTTTAAGTTAAAATTATTTATATATTGCAACTATGAGCTGTTAGCTTAATTCCTAACGATTCTATCGACAAGTTATACATATGTACAGCTCCCATACAAAACTTTAGAGATATCGTCATTTTAAAAGGAAAGGAAAATACATCAATATTGAATTTGCTCAAGATAGCAATTAATTTTGGTTTTACATATCGGTATACTCTTATATTGCAGTTTTTGTATTTTTTCTCAGAAATGAGACATTTTCTCGCAGTTAAAAATATCCTATATGTTGACCCGGATAACCAGTTAAGAATAATATATAACTATTAGGATATTAATTAACGAATTTTTTAACAGACTTCCAAAAAGAAGGAGGTTATCAATTCGTCGAAATCTTTTTTTTATGTATGTTCACCGATTACTCTAAAACGCCTGAACCGATTTGGAAAATATTTTTTTTTTCAATGGGTATACTTTCCAGGTGGTCCCATATAAATTTTATCGAAATCGGTAGAGCAGTTTCTTAAAAAATCAACAATAAATATATTTTTTTAAACAAATTGCTTAATCGAATATGTTATTAAAAAACTTTCTTCTTACAAATTAGCTGCTTATTACATCTACACTAAAAATGGAAAAATAAAAACTTTTTAACAAAAAATAAAAACCGACTTCCAGGCATTAATATGTAAAATATAACTAAACGGAGGTTTTCATTTAAAATAAATACCTAATCAGATATTTTCGAAGTCGGTGCCAGCCTTCAATATTTTAAGATATGAATATCTAATAGGTAAATAATATGTATTTTACGTATCCACATATATTAGATTTGCTTTGAATCGCCTGGCTGGTTCATATAAAAATAAAGATTCAAAAAATGTTAGCTGTTAATAAAAATTAAACCAGTATGTATAAAACTATTACTAAGTAAAATTGGTAAAAGAAGTTTACATTAATTCGCCGTCCCGAAGAATAAAATGATAACTGCAAAAACACTATCTTTCAGGAAAAATAAAAAACATATTTTTGACTTTAACTTTCTAAGAAATAGATGCAGAGAGATAAAAAAAAGCTCAATGATAGCTAATTTTTTAACTTTTATAATGTTTTAATATATGTTACAGTACGGTTAACCGAACTTCCCCCCAACGTGCGTTCAACTTGTCGAGGTGGGGGGGCTCAGTAGTGTACTCGCGAAGCCAAGAAACGCACAGGGAGGTGGCCCGCTTCGGTGGGCGGTGGGAGGCGGCCTTCTTCGAAGGGCGGGTGTACCATGCGGGTTGCTCCTGGTACTTCTCTGATAGCAGAGTGGACCGTGGAGCGACCCCATGGTTGTTGTGGTCTGCTTCGGCAGACCTGCCGTCGGGGCGTCGTAGTTGAATGCGTAAGCGATCCTGCGACGCCCCATTAAGACGGGGGAAGGTTTTAGTGGGTAGTACTGGCTTCACCGGTGAGTCCCACACTTCGTGCGTAAATGCATTTCCCAACGTTAAAAAAAAAAGGTTATCCGAACTGAAGATATATATATATAGAATTTAAAAAGTTACTAAAATTTTGTTGCTGGTTTTATTTACTAATAATACTTAGCATTTTATTCTCGTTACTATTAACAGATTGTGAGTATTGCATTACTGTTTTACAATAATATTTAACGAATAATACAGACTAAACAATATCACTTGGCATTCTATTCTAGTTAATATAAATGATATGTGTTATCACTGTCTAATGTAAGCTTGCTCTTATGATAGAAAAGAATGGCAAGATATTTCTTTGCTCAGTCATTATTAGTACTATTTACTTAAAATATGTTAGTCGCCGAGCCTAAGCTGATTTTTACGAGAACAAAATGACAATAGCGTTCATAATATTATTTCGTCTACTTTTTTTTTCGATAATATTATTACAAAAGTTTTTATTGTATCTTTAATGAAGAAACGGTTTCACTAACTTCATATTATATATTTTTTTTCAAGAAACCTTGTGCGATTTGGTGTGTAGTAATTATTATCAACATTCAAATGGCGGTCAATTTTCTAGGGATACTTAACGTAGTAATAATAATCGTAATGTATTTTCAATAAATACAAATAATACAGTCAGCGAGCCTATAAAAAAAGATGACGTAGATCAGTTAGAGCATTATAATATTTGTAATTTTAATAAAACTGTAGCAAACGTTAAAAGAGCCGATACTCTATCATCAATCTATCGGAGCATTGGAGGATGCTCATAAAAATTTAGGTTCATTCTTACGAATTCACTGCGACAAAGACAAACAATCCTGGTCTTATTGGCTACCATATTGGTTTTTTAGTTTTAATACCACAGTCCATACCGACACAAAATACCAACCGTTTGAACTTGTATTTGGTAGGCAGTGCAATATTCCCAATAGATTATCTAATACAATAGAACTTGTGTATAGCCCAGAAAATGATAGTAGTGAACTTAAATATAGGTTGCAAGTTGCTTTTAAGGATGCCCGAAATAATTTATTAGAAAGTAAGTGTAGTCGTAAAATAAAATATGATAAATATGTTAATCCTATTAGTTACAATCAGGATGACTTAGTTTTAGTAAAGTCAGAAACAGGTGGTAAGTTGGACGAACTGTTCAATGGACCATTTGTTGTATTAGAAGATATGGGACCGAATGTAAAAATAATTAAGGATAAGAAAATAGAGCAGAGAGAGCAAAACAATTTATTAGGTAGTACTCGTACATGTAATATTAATATATAAAATATATTTTTTTCTTTCACCCCCGGAGGTGAAGTGTAAAATGTTTATATATTAAGGTAATAAAGCGATAGTATAGCATTAAATACTGTAAGCCATACTTTAGTAATGTATCATCAATCTCTCATGTATCATCCATATATGGTCGACCACCCATTAAGCTGAGCTTCATTATAAGTGTACTTATTATTTTCTGATTATTAAATATGTCTCCAACCTAAGAAGACGTTTATCTTTGGAACCTCTAAAACATACCACATTTGAGTTTCTATGTAGCTTTTGTCGCTTTTGATGGGATTCTATTGGTGTTTTTCAACAGGGCTATGCGTCTAATACAACATTTAAAGAATGGGTTGGCAGATGCTTAGGCCGTTCATAGAAACTATTCTATGAAGAATGTGTGACAAAAATACAGGGTGAATTTTTCAAGTGGGCGTGGATGGCCAAATCCGAAACTATGAGGAATAGCGAAAAATACTCAAAGGAGTCTCGGGACCAATTTTCATGAAAACTAAAACTGCATCATTGGATTTTTGAAAAGTCAATATTCCTAGCCAAGAATCGAACCCGTTGACTTTGAAAAAAAAACACACTGTATTATTACGCTATTCGATAGTATCGCTAATAAGGAACACATTCGGGGAAGTAATTATATACGGCAAACTTAAGCTCATTTTTTATAAAAAAAAAACTTTTTTTCCTTTGTTACCTACTATTGTTAATTTAAGGTACCTAATGTACGAGTAAAGTTCTTAAGCGTTTAAGACAACATTTTTAATTGTAAATTTTCTTTGTTATTGTAAATTAACACTAACGTATAAAGCTAAAAAGTTTGCTTAGAGCTTTCAAAACATAGCAAAAACTAGTTTTGAATACCCAAAACTTTTTGTAGGTAGGTACATATTATTTTATTGCTTTGTTGTGTTATAAATTTTTTACTTACAGTTGTTGAGGAAAAAAGAAATTTGTTTTGAGAACAAAATTATTGTACTTCATACTTGTATGTAAAGATGAAGCAAAAAAGGATTCAATTGTTAAAATTCTTTAAAAGGGCTCTCGTTGTATTAATTTAACCAAAATATTCTTGTATATTTAAAAAAACACGATACCGCTGAGGTTATTCATTAGTCCTTTTATGTCTGAACTGTTTTTTCTAGTGTGTACAGTGGTAGCATTATGTAGTAAAATATACAAATTAAAAACCTACTTTTGTAATTTACTTCTAATTAAAATTAATTTTATAACGAAGGATAATAACAATTTAAAACCATTAACAGTTGCTGGATACCGATTATTTTACTACATAATCATCCCTACTTAATCGTAATAAATACAGATTTTTACATCACTACGAACTAAATTCTGCCAAATTTGCAGGTGACGTAATTCCATAAGAAAGGGATGCGTGGCGACTCAGAAGAAATACAATCGCTGTGAAAGTGACGGCTTATATTGACTTGCCATTTATGCCATATGTGTCCCTAATTTAAGGGAAATATCCAACAGTTCTAAAATAGAAATCGATTTTTATAACATATGAACTTATGTTTACAGATATTTTATGTTTGATATGAACTTTAATTAAAACATAAAACTATTCGATAATAGTTAAAATAATTTATAATATTATTATATAAATCAGTATATATGATTTATAAAAAAAGTCCATCTTTTAAGCACATTTAACTTATGTATATTTTATAATATAATAAAATATTTATTAACATATCCCATGTAGCTATTTTTAACTTGTAATGGTTAAATCGTGAAAAATCTTCATTTGATTATATTGAGAGTCCCCACTTCGTTTTGCCTTTTTATTTGCCTACGGTTTTCTGAATATGCGCCTGTATGGAAGTCGGCCGGGGTTGCTCAATATCAAGGAAAATATTTACCAACATTACGACTCCTCTGTGTAGTCCTCTCCTGGATATCGATGTAGGCGTACTGATGTATTTTTTAACCGTTATATGTCATAAACTATATCTTTACCGCTCTAACTTGCACAAAGTGTAGGGAAAAGAACAAGGACGGCATACCGTCACATGTTAAGTCTCTAAACCACTACCACACCAACGACGGTTATCTTTTCAAAAGTCGTATCGCGGCGTCAGCGTCCGTTAGTGATCAGAGTGTTTCCGCACGCGCATTGACGACTTCGGACTTTGTCTCTGATTTGTTTATTGTGTTGTTTAGTGTAACAAACGGCATTTCATCATGGATAGGTAAGTAATGAATAGTTTTTGATTCATAGATTATGTATTTGACAAAGATTTTGGACAGAAACAGTTATTTCATTATTTTAAATAATCATCGTTTGCCATTTTGCACGCCAAGCCAGTGCACTGCTCGTATATGTCCGCTTGATCACGTGTTGTTACACATGTTATTTTTGTACTAAGGATTTAATTTAATATCACCTACTAACTACTACTAAAGTTTGTGTAACATTGAAATATACCTAAAAATAAGGCAAACGGGCCTTTAGGAATTTGATCAACACTCAACAGACAGGGTCTTTAGGGTCAACTTTAACACTCAACTGTCATTTTTGTGGGTTCTGTTCGGATGATCGATTAGTATGAGACTTAAGACTAGGCGCGATGCCGTGCCAATGCCGAGGGCCCGACACGTGGTGTATATAAAAAGCATTGCTGAAAAAGTATTAGGTATATAACAATATTATGTCAATGATTTAAATAAAATAATAGATAGATACGTTACTGGCCCTCTAAAAGGAAAGCGTTTTGTGCTTTTAAATAAGTAAATAATACGCACGTGCTTCCATTTGTTAATCGGTGTATAACATTTTTGTTTACAACTAAAACACCGTCGTGTGTATAATGTATTCCGTAAATAAATGATAATAAATGCACTAATTATCAGAGCAAAATAAACAAGGTTCACGTAACGACGCACTACATGTAAGTATTAGCTGAAATTATTATGTTTTATTTGGTTTATAAAATCTTTTGCAAATAAATAGAGGCATAGGGACGCCATGATTACATTATTATTATACGTGCGGCTAAGGATTGGAATAACATGCCTGCGTCGGTGTTTCCGTCCGATTACAATATGGGTGTCTTCAAGGCAAGAGTGAATAGGTGGCTACTGAATTAGTGCGACTTACCATCAACGACTGCGTTACCACTTACCATCAGGTGGAACGTATTGAAGCACTAGTTCAGATTGGAATTAAAAAAAAATATTCAAAGAAATTAGAAAACTCACGGGCTACGACAAACAAAGTACAAACACTAGCTGTATGTTTACTGTTTGTGAGCTTCTCATCGTGGATTTTAACCAATTATTCATGATTATTAAAAGATTGTGTAATTCCTGACTTATTATTGCAGACAATTATTTGTAACAAAATTCTGTTAAATTGACTAACTACAGGGTTATTGGTAATACGTCACTATCTCGTTAAAGGGTTATTCCCTTCACGACCGCGGACACGCCGGCGTGATAGTTAACAATAGATTTCTTAGAATTTTAATTAATTTCTTAGAAATTTACCTGGAGGTGTTAATACCCAGTAACAATACAAAAACAATCTTCAAACATTTTTAAATTAGAGCTTCAAAACTTAAAATAAATTTTGGATATTTAATTTTAATTCTTTGAATAATTTGCAAATATTCTGTGAAAATCCTTATGAGACTTATCCTGCCGATCATTTTAAAAGATATCTAGGTATCGTTAGCTATCCATCGGTACATAAAAGTTACAAGAAGAATCATTAGTCAAGAAAAAATGACACAACAAAGAGACCAGGGTAGAAAGTTCTAACAAATGCTATTGTTATGGAATTAAATCAGGATCAAGATAAAAACGACGTTAATTTAAAATAGTTAAAGATTATTTTTCAATAGGTTCAACATGTAAAAAAGGCGAGATAAAATAGAGCTGTTTGTGCAATGTTGTATTGAAAATACTGAACATTTATAAATCTTAAAATAGTAAGTAAATATAGAAGATACAATAATTAATAAATTTCTTAAATCACTTAATTTAATTAGGTAAGTACTTAAATACTTTGGAAATCACCGGGTTAGCGTGCTCAAAATTTCGTATACAGACAAGACTTGCAACGAATAGTATATTCCGCCATACGCCGAATACCGAATATTCGGTGGGCTTTCTGGCCGAATAGTAGGCAAAAGTATTCGGTCAGCGCAAAACTTATGGCGGAAAAACTAGTATCGACGTGTTTGTTCCTTGTTTGGCGCCAGAAGTTCTCTGAAGCTGGGATTATCACTTCTAAATTTTAATTATTACTACGCTCGGGTTCGTCCCTAGTTACGTTATAAACATTTAGTATAGATTTCTCAGAGATGAGATATTTTCCCGCAGTAAAAAGTATCCTATATGTTGATCCGGATAACCAACTATGATCATACCGAATTTCATCAAAACCTGTCCGGTGGTTTTCCCGTGATGCGTTCCCAGACAGACAAAAATTCTAAAAACTATAGATTCGATAATAATGAATCCGATAATATTGAAATAGCAATAAAATTTTCCAAAAAATATTTAATGTACAGTTTTGACTCAGGTAAAATTTAATTACATGTATAAACTGATAGATCCTCGTAGAAAATTAAAAACTGATAGATCCTTGTAGAAAATTAAAAACTGATAGATTCTTGTAGAAAATTAAAAAACTAAACTTAATTTTCAAAACTATCAAATTTATATTATAAATATTTTGGTCCTTGTCATTTTTTTCGTAGCATCGATATTTTTCGATTTATACCTGAGAATGGGAGGGGGTAAAATCTTATCATTAGGTTTCTATCTTATTACACTTGGTATCTGGTTTGGATGGAGAGTAAATTCATGTAAGTCGTCATAGACATGGTCACGTGACGTGTAAACGCTAACACTCAGAGTGCCGATAGATGTCAAAACCAGATAAATGTAAACAATTTTAATTTAAGATCAAACAATTAATTTTAAAATCCAAAAAAAAACAACTGTTTGTTTATAGTTTTAAGTTGTCACTTCTGTCAATTCTCATGACTGCTTTTTTTTTGGAATTACATTGGAATTTTAATATTTTAGTATTTTAACCGAATTCAAATAAAAAAGGAGGCTATAAATTCAACTCGTGGCAAGTGTAATAATAAGATTTCATCGGAATCAGTTCAGCCCTTTAGTCTATTTGAATCAATTTAAATATTAATATTTTAACCGACTTTGAAAAAAGGAGGCTATCATTACGACATGCTTTTCTAGAAACGAGAAACATCCACGTACGCGGGGTGGTCCGCGACGCAGGATGTTGGTGCGGGTTGGACGCGGTGGGTCACCACCGGTAGTGGAGGAGGTGCCTGTGGTGGCCGGTCCCAGTAGAGTCCGGGGACGTGGCAGGGCGCGCGTAAGCCGCACCATTGCCCGACGCCAGCGCCCAGGACCTCTTAATGTGCACGAGTTAGTTTTTTTTATTTATTCCATTATTTTCTCATTGATTGACACTAATTCTAATTGATAAGTCTCTTTGAGACTATTCTTATGAGCCTTAAGTATTATTTGATGCTACAGCATCAGCTCAAGTGTACAGCAAGTTTAAAATCAATCGGATCTGTGAAAGTTAGTAAGATCCTTTTGTCAAGTGCGAAATGAGCTGATGATCATCAAACGCCTGAACAGATATTCATAAATTATAACTCTAAGAACCATTTCGACGCGTCAGCTTTCAAACAAAAAAAACTGCATCAAAATCTGTCAATTTCTTTAGGAGCTCCGATGCCACAGATAGACGTACATACACAGACAGACACGTCACACTTATAGCACCTCTCTTTATGCGTCGGGGGTTAAAAAAAGATGCATATGAGGCCATCGTAACAGGTTCTGTTTCAGTATCAAGTGAATATTATTCTTCTTGTTACACTAATTACTAGCAAGTTTTAACTTATGTTTTAAAATATCATCAAATCCCAGACCATCACCATCGGTTGCAACACCACCATCATCAATTAGTATGGATAAGACTATGAAAAGGCGCAGAGGCCGCGCCAATGCCCGACACGAGCGACCAGGACCTCACACTATTCACGAGTTAGTTTTTTTGCTATTAATGATTAATGCTTTCTCTTTATTTTTTCAATAACCTGATTTATTTTTCCCTAATCAAAATCATTTTCAGTATTACATTGAATTGTTTTGGATTTTAGATTTGTGATTCGCGACATCGGCGAGTTACCGGAAGACCGGGGTCTCGAGACCGCCCTGCATCCAAAAAGAATGCGAACGAGGCAATCGTAAGTTAATCTACTTCAGTATCTAGTAAATACTATACTGGTTGTAATATTTACTACTAGCAAGTTTTAACTTAAGTTTTAAAATGTCCATCTAGATCTAATCCCAGACCATCACCATCGGCTGCTACATCACCACCACCATCCGTCTCACCACCACCACCATCTGTCTTACCACCACCGTCACCATCAGTTGCACCTTCATCACCGTCGTCGTCATGTTCGGTGCCTTCGCCGGCAATGTAAGTTGCTTACGGACTTTTCTATTTACATAATTTTAAAGATATGGATCCTACAGCACTTCTTTTGTTCTAGATTTGTGGTATGTTCCCCACCTTCGGCTTCAAACCCGCTACCCGACTCTCTGATGCAGCATCCATCTCCACCTAAACGTCCTCACCCTCGGCATCGACGAGATAAGGATATCAATTGTGGTAGGTGTACGTTCATTTTACTTTGATTTAGGGCAATGGCCAAACTTCTGGTTTTCACGAGATTTGAAACCAATCTATCCTCATTTGTTACAGGAAGCGAAAATGACTCTGACAAGAGCGACGACGAGGGCGTCCTAGCCTTTTCTGGCATTCCAAGGGTGCTTCAGAGCATTATGGAAACACCCCTAGACCAGGATGAGGATGCAGCCGCAGACCCCGCGTCCGCCACTGACGCAGCGGCTGCCGGCGACCATACGCCTACCGATGTCCCTCCAACGGCGACAAACCAGCCTTGGAGCTTGTATGAGTTTAAGTGGAGAGACTTTCCGGATTCTCCGATTCCACCTGGATCGAGACGGGAAACGTTTTCCGAAAGTAATGTTGGTCCGACAACTCCACGTGACGACCCGTATGACATTTTCGTTGAGATATGGGATCGGCAAATTATGGAGCACATTGTCTCGGAAACAAATAAGTATGCTCAGCAGGTGGCAGCCCAAATGCTCGATAACGACAATCTCTCTCCCAAAAGCCGCATCGGCCGTTGGTATGACACTACGGTCGATGAGCTTTACACTTATTTCGGCATAAATCTGGCGATGGGGATTATGGTTAAGAGCCGACTGCAGGAGTACTGGGCTTCCAGCAATAACATATTTTATACTCCCGGTTTTAGCGCACACATGACTATCGATCGTTTTATTTTACTCGGTAAATGTCTTCATTTCAACGATAACAAAGACATGTGTGCGCGAGAACTGGACTACTACGAGGCCAAACTTTTTAAAATACAGCCAATATTGTCACATTTGAACAAGAAATTTCAAGAACTGTATACTCCGGCGCAGAACATTGCACTAGACGAGAGTCTTATGATGTGGAAAGGCAGGCTTGGAATAAGTCAGCTTATTCCAAATAAAGTTGCTTATAGAGGCATCAAGACCTACGAGATTTGTGAATCTCAAACCGGCTACCTATGGCGGTTTGAGGTTCACGGTCATAAGAAAACTCCGCCGCAGCAGATTCTAGATCCTCTAGAGGCATCTACACCGTCAACTGTGTTGCGGCTGATCAAAGGTCTAGAAAACAAAGGATACACATTATGGATGGATAATTTCTACAATTCGCCATGTCTCGCTCGACGTCTTAAGTGCTTGGGCTTTGACTGTGTAGGAACCCTGCGGACCAGTCGTAAGTTCGTTCCGCAGAGCCTACATTGTCTCACCACGAGTGACATGCAGCCAGGTCAGATCGCTGGTCTCACCTCGGGGGACGTCGATGTCATGGTGTGGAGAGATAATAGTAGGGTGGCTATGATCTCTACATACCATGGCAACGCTCAGCACAAACTTCGAGGCAGCACCAAACCCATTCTGATATTGGATTACAATATCATGATGGGTGGGGTGGATAAAAAAGACCAGCTCCTGGCCATGTATCCAGTCGAGAGGAAACGAACAAAGGTCTGGTACAAGAAATTTTTCAGGAGACTTCTTAACGTCTCCGTATTAAACTCTTACATCATCCATAATCACTCTTCTTCTCTTAGTCATCGCAATTTCCGTATCAATCTAGTGAATGCTCTTCTTTCTAAGCATTCTAGCCCTTCATTGCTTCCGCGTAACTCGTTAAAGAAACATCGCGTGGATGTCAGCCACCGCGTAGCACATTACCCAATAACGAGTCACCAACGCATGCGACGGAATTGCGTGGTGTGCAAGAAATTAACGTCTACGTTCTGTGTTGGTTGCGACAAAACTGTACATATAGACCCCTGTTTCCTCAAAATGCATTCATAATTATATAATATATGTAAAATATATTTATAAATATATATTTCATTATATATATATCTATATATTTGTATATATGTATATTTTTTGTACCACAACTTTGTTCGTTTCTTTGACCGTGCGAATTGTGAAATTGTTCATCCACCATGGTATCCTTTGTTTCCAAGTTATGTAGGGTATAGGTTCAACGCTGCTAGACCTAGGGTCAGGCGTGTTTATTCTTCCGAAATGTAACCATAACGCCGACAACATACATACCGTCTAGACTCTTAGAGCTTCTCGGTGTAACTGTATTTCCACTAATTAATCATAAAAAAAGGTCTAAAGACAGCACACATGCTCACACATTTCATTGTTTATTCGTATTTTTTGTTGAAGATGCACAAGACTACATATTTTTTACAAATTTAAAGTAGGTAAATAGTGAGTAGTGACGGTGCGGCGTGATTCATATCTAGTGGTTCTACTTCTGACGTGGTGGTGGTGGTCTGTGATGCCTCATTTGCAGTTTTTTTTTCAAAAGATTCTGATCTACTGCAATGCTTCATTTTTATTTTGCCATTTTTAATTTACATATTTACTCTTTATGTTCATAATTCAAATGTGACAGTATTGGTGTATCCATACATTATACATTTATATATTAGTAATGTTCTTTTTTCCCGTGTGTGTTTGTGTCCGTTTTGATAGTTGATTTTAGAAATATTTTACTAAAGCGGCATGACTTTTTATACTGTTTATCGATTTGTAAATCATTAAATTTTAGAATGATAATTGTACATATTTAAAATAAGTGCAACAGAATTTATCCCTGTTATTGTTCGATTTCTCGTAAACTAAACATTTTTAACAGCTGAAACTCTGTCCGTGACAAGTATGTGGACCAAACTATAGTATCGGGGGGCACGGCAGTGCCCCCGCCAAGTTAATCGAAAAAGGGCACGGCAGTACCATCCTTTTTTCGAAGCGATTCAGGGCATTTTCTAACCCCCCGTAACTTCGTTATGGATAAAGCTTGAAGCCTGAATTTTCTGTGACTAAGAGAACATAATATAACTAGCTATATTTCTAAATTACATTCAATATGAACCTGTAGTTCAAGAGCTGTTGCAGATGAAAATTTGTTAATATTGTCACTCACTCCGATCATCAAAATTCTAAGGTAGTTCTAGCAGACATACGAGCTTCAAATTTTGAACACAATTAGTGTTTAACCTATAATGCAAGGAGAAACTCAAATATCACGCAATTTCAATCCTGTCTCCGAGATATACAACAAACTGCATAAGTTACTTTGTAATCCTATACAAATAGATATGTTATACAGGTTCATGTTTAATTTACTGTTAACCTTTTGGGAATATACTATTTACATCATAACAACTACATCTGTAACAAGAAAAAATAATATTTCTTAAATTTTTATTTTTATACAATTTTTTTTATTGCACCTTCTAAATGGTAAAGTTCTAGCATCTAGCCAAGTTTAAATGAGTAAGGGCCGCTTCCTACACAGCTCCACCCCTCCCCCTCCACCGGTCATGCGCTTTCTTTTGCTAATGCTGGACTATCACCGTTGAGAAGGTGCAATAAAAATATTTGTATTTTTGTACAATTTAAGAAATATTTTTTTTCTTACAGATGTTGTTATGTAAGATATGTAAATAGTATATTCCCAAAAGGTTTTCAGTAAATTAAACATGACCCTGTATATGAGATTACAAAGTTACTTTTGCAGTTCATACCTATAATTTTTCGTCAATTAAATTACCCAAATGGATATTGGATACCTTTTTTTTTTTTTTTAACGTGAAGTATAATTAATGGACTCTATTTTTTGCTCGGCCGCTTCGATCGCATAGACGTTTTTTCTGTAACGCTTGTGTGGTGAAAAAAATGTATGGATGGTAGGTATGTTCTTTTTATTGATTCATGTGAAATAATGTATGTATAATTATGTAAATGAAATAAATATTTTTTTAAATAATGGTTTTATTTTTTTGATTGTAACGAATTGTACAATAAACTGGGAAACATTCGCTCACCCTGATTTCAAGTTAGAATTATTAATATACTAGCAGAACCCGCGGCTTCGCTCGCGCTAAAACTACAGAAAAACTAATTTTTCATACAAACTTTTATCCGCTATTTTACCCCCTCATAGCATGAATTTCGAAAAATGCTAAAACACGTATTTATTTAATTGTATTGAAGAGTAAATACCAAGTTTCACGTAATTCTGATCATAAATAATTTTTGGGTTGTATTATAACGTGTTTTCCCGTGGGAATGAGATAATCTGCCGCGGTAAAAAGTAGAATATGTCACTCCAGCCCTCCAACCAGGTATCTCGACACAAAAAATCACGACAATCCGTCACTCCGTTTTGACGTGAAAGAGACAAAGAAACAAACACTCTTTCACATTTATAATATTAGTATGGATTGCAATGATATGTTAGGTTATTTCTAGAGATGTACCGACGACTAGTGGCCGACTAGCCAGAAGCACCGACTAGTAGGCCCATTTATTCATATTACTATTTTTAAAAAAGTGAGATTATTTTTATTAATAAAAAATATTATTTTCATTAAATTTGATTATGTATTTTTGTAGGCACTGTCTGCAACAATTATATAATGTCTTTGAGACTTCTAAAATCTTAGTCTCTCCCGTGACCATGATTGCTGTAAAGCATTCGAAACGTCGGGAACCAAAAATTAAAATAAATCCGCGAAAAAATCCGAAAAGATACTTTTATTAAAAACTAGCGATTTACTCTCGCTTCGCTCGAGTTCGTTCATGGGTTTTAATTTTTTTGTGCGGAACCCTGATTCTTTTTCTACAGTAAAAGTAACCAGTAACATCAGCTATCTGCTAGTGAAAGTCCCGTTAAAATCGTTCCAGCAGATTTTCAGAGATTAGCCGGAACAAACATACAGCTTGACCGACGACTGAAGGTTTTCATTCTTCTCTATCAAAACATACCACAATAATTGGGTGTGTAAGTAAAAAATATTGTATTCTGCCCTATTTAACGTCCCACTGCTGGGCACGGGCCTCCCTTCAATACGAGGGGGACAGGCCATAGTCCACCACGCTGGCCAGGTCTTTCGAAAACTTGCTAGGTTCTCTCAGACATGCAGGTTCTTCACGACGTTTTTCTTCTCCGTAAGACAAGTGGTAATTATGTTGGAAAATGGGAATAAAAAAAATATGTTATATTAATCTTTAGTACCTAATTCATACATTATTCATTAAATTTTTAACCTTTACATTAGGACGCTTTATGAATGAATGATGATTTTGATGAGTTATCAATACTAAAATAATGTAAATAATCCAACAAGGTAATGCCAGTATAGCGCATTCAATACGCGTACACCTTCAATCAAAACATGAATATACGTTGACTACAACTGGACGTACCCGTCATAACTGACCAAATAGGCGGTAGATCCAGATGTAAGTTTGTAGAATGTTACGAGATACTGAGTACTTATCAAATTTTTTTATTTCTGTTGTAGTTACTTAGAGATTGTTGCTGACCTCTTGATAACGAGGCACATTTGGTTGCTACCTCTAATCATTTTCACAGATTTATAAATAATCCATTATCTTTTAATGTCTTGCAATTTTTTTTTTTAATTTTTTTATTTATTTATTAAGATTCACCAGTGGTAATTACGTTATTACAGTAAAAAGCAATGCTATGTAACAAAGTTCTTATTGTTAAATGCTGTTGAAATGCATTCATGTCATGGACAATTATCTATTGTCTATTGACGTCTATATCTATGTAATGTCTATGTTTAAGTTTTTGACTGCTCTTTAGACATGGGTAACTCAATGAATTTTTATGAGCTGCAGGTCAGCTCATGAGTCATATGCTTGAACCGGAGCTGTGAACCGGCTCACAGTTCAGCTCAATTGATGTTGTATGGGTACTTATAACTATAGATTTACAGCTAATTTATGACTCTGTTCAAACAAATGACATGTATGATGTACCTAAATTATATTTGTATGTAATAAAGCAGCATTTCGAAAAAAGTTATTATAGTCATATTTTTTCGTTTTTACACAATTATAGGGGAATGCTAATTTCATGCAATTATATCTTTACGTCGCGATGAAATGTCATACCGTCCGTCGCAAAGAGTATAATAATATAGATTATAGACTATAGTACAGGTCCGTCGGCTCGGGTCCATCGAAATAGCTGACGTTAGGTGGCGCTGAAGTGATGCACGGAGCCATATTAAGTAATATTGAGCTGTGAACCGATTATCTAGCAACTGAGCCGCAGCTCAACGGCTCTAGCTACTGTGAACTGAATATTTGAACCGGCTCTGAGCTGAGTTACACATAGTGACTGCTCTTACTTCCTCTTGCTCTTACGGCTCTGACCGCGACGTGCACCCCTTTTAGATATAATATAAAGTGATCTCTGTCAATAAATTTAATGTGCAATAATTATATAATCCAATATCCACGTGTGCGTTGTTTTCATTTGATTCACGCTCCTGCCTACATCGTCTTTGCAACAGGTTATGGGCCCAGGCTTCAAAGAGAACAAAGGGATACAACATGGCGGCCAACGCTTCCCACAACGCATTAACAACTATCGAAAAACTAGAAGGTATTTCAAATTGGATTTCTTGGAAATTTGCAATTAAAATGCTATTAAATTTAGACGGATTGTACAATTGTCTCGAGGGAACCGATACCGACCCTACTCGTGATGCACGTGCGCTTGCTCGCATCTCACTATGTGTAACTCAGCTCAGAGCCGGTTCAAATATTCAGTTCACAGTAGCTAGAGCCGTTGAGCTGCGGCTCAGTTGCTAGATAATCGGTTCACAGCTCAATATTACTTAATATGGCTCCGTGCATCACTTCAGCGCCACCTAACGTCAGCTATTTTGATGGACCCGAGCCGACGGACCTGTACTATAGTCTATAATCTATATTATTATACTCTTTGCGACGGACGGTATGACATTTCATAGCGACGTAAAGATATAATTGCATGAAATTAGCATTACCCTATAATTGTGTAAGAACGAAAAAATATGACTATAATAACTTTTTTCGAAATGCTGCTTTATTACATACAAATATAATTTAGGTACATCATACATGTCATTTGTTTGAACAGAGTCATAAATTAGCTGTAAATCTATAGTTATAAGTACCCATATAACATCAATTGAGCTGAACTGTGAGCCGGTTCACAGCTCCGGTTCAAGCATATGACTCATGAGCTGACCTGCAGCTCATAAAAATTCATTGAGTTACCCATGTCTACTCGCATCTGCTTATCGATTCAACCTAACCTATATCAACTAGTCCGTGATGCAAAGACTGCATCTGATGCTTGGAAGCGATTATCTGACACTTTCGAAGACAAAGGTCTGTACAGAAGAGTACTATTGCTTCGACAATTACACCGTATAGAATTTAATAATTTTTCAAGCATGTCAGACTATATTGAAGGCGTCATGAAGTTGGTTGCACAACTCTCTGACATTGGAAAGGTTATAGATGATGCAGAAATTGCCGAGATTTTGTTGTCGGGTCTACCTGAAGACTTTAATGTACTAGTTTCAAGCCTGGAGACTGCGAGCTTGACGAAGACACTCTCAAGTGAAGTTGTTCGCACTCGCTTACTCCAAGAAGATCATAGGCGCAATAACAATGGGAATACTTCAGAGAATTTAGCTTATGCAGCTAACAACAAAAGAAGATTTAAGAATCTAGTCTGTACATATTGCAGAAAGAGCAACCATACTATTAAACAATGTTTTAAGAGAAAACGTGATGAAGCGAAGAAAAAGAATGAAGATCAACATACACTGTTTGCAACTGCATACTCCACTTCCCATTTGAACGAGTTCATCATAGATAGTGGAGCCACTGCCCATATGTGTGCTGACTCAACACTAGTCCAGGATCCAGTGAACAAAAAATGTGCTATTACTGTTGCCAATGGACAACAATTACAATGTGAAATGGTTGGTAAAACTACTCTTTCTGATAATGTTTCTCTAAGTAATGTTTTGTTTGTACCTGATCTTTCTAATAATTTGATATCCGTCAGTGAGATCACTAATAAGGGTTATGTTGTAACTTTCCATAAGGATTACTGTACTATATATAGTGATTGTAAAATCACAGGCAACCAGGTTTTATTTGCTAATAAAAATAATGGACTCTATAAATTTAAGTTGCAAGATCGGCCCAACCCTCGAGTAGGTCATTCTATGTCCCTTCAATCTAGGCAAGGAACCATGAGTGCCAATGCTGCAGCTTGTGTACCTATTAGTATATGGCATAAGCGCTTAGGTCACCTGAATCATAAAGGTATGTGCATACTTGGTGATGGGAATCAGTGTGTGGGTGTCGTTTTTCAGCATGAAAATGATGTGCCCGGCAGCTGCGTCTCTTGCCTTACCGGAAAGATGCATGAGTCATCTTATCCTAGGTCAAGTGGGGGACGTGCTGCTCATCCGCTGGACCTGATCCATAGTGATGTATGCGGCCCGATTCAAGTGAGCAGCTGGGGTGGAGCTCGCTACTTGCTTACCTTTACTGATGATTGCACTAGGAAGACCTTCGGTTACCTTATGAAGCACAAATCGGAAGTGAGTTCTCATTTTATTAATTTTAAAAATTTGGTAGAAAAGCAAACTGGTTTGCATATTAAAGTATTACGTACTGATAATGGTACAGAATTCTGTAATAATAATTTATCCAATTACCTTAAAAAGGAAGGCATTATTCACCAGACCTCTGTGCCTTATTGCCCTCAACAGAATGGGTTAGCTGAGCGTGTTAATCGTACAGTTTTTGAGAAGGCTCGAGCTATGTTACAGGAATCGTGTCTGTGTGATAGATATTGGGGAGAGGCTGTTATGACAGCTATTTATTTAAAAAAATAGGTCTCCAACTACTGCACTATCAGATAGAATACCTGAATGTGAGTGGACTGGATCAAATATTGATCTTAGTCACCTCCGTGTTTTTGGCTGTGTAGCTTATTCACACGTTCCTGACGAGAAACGGCGCAAGCTAGATGCTAAGGCGAAGGAATATATTTTTGTAGGATATGGTGAAACGTGCAAGGGCTACCGTCTGGTGGACCCACTTGACCCTAAAAAAGTCATTTACTCTAGAAATGTAGTTTTTCTTGAGGATAAATTTTATGGAAAGGATGCTGATACATTAAAGGCCAATAGTGGCAGAGCCAATTCTATTATTTTTGACAATTTTATTAATGATGACAATTTTTTAATTAATAATAATTTAACTAATGATAAAAATTGTGACATTATCTGTGGCAATAGTTCTAATAATAATAATGAAAATCCAAGTAATATTATTAATATTGACCAGCCTAATAAGAATGTTTCGGTTACAGATGGGACTACAAGCCTGCCTTTACAGTCACCACTATCGGATGTTTACCGTACTGCAAGTGAAGATTCTACTGAGGATGATGATGATGAGGCTGAGGTGCTTTCTGGCTCTGATGTCTCGCTGTCGCCCTCTTTATCTCGAGGAGCAGAGCAGACTGCGTCTAATGGTAACGACGTGTCTATCTCTCGCCCTGTACGGAGTACCCGAGGTATTATTCCCGAACGTTATAAAGATTATTATTTATCTTCATTATTGGCTGATGTCAGCTCATTGGATGAGCCTTCTACTTACGACGAGGCGATGAATTCTCCGGAGAAGGATGAATGGCTTAAAGCTATGAGAAGTGAGTATGACTCTATGATTAAAAATAATGTATGGGACTTGATAGATCGTCCTAGTGACGCTAACATTGTCAAAAACAAATGGGTTTTTAAGAAAAAGTTTGATGCAACAGGTAAATTTATTAAATTTAAGGCTAGACTAGTTGCCTGTGGTTATAGTCAAAAAGAAGGTATAGACTATGCGGACACTTTTGCACCTGTAGTCCGGCATTCAACTTTACGAATTTTGATTAGTATTTCAAATCAGTTGGACTTGTCTATGGATCATATTGATATCACCACCGCTTTTTTGAATGGTGAGTTAGATGAAGTAATATATATGGAACAGCCAACTGGTTTTAAATTAGAAAGTAATAAAAATAAGATATGTCTTTTGAGGAAAAGCTTGTATGGCCTAAAACAGGCTAGTCGCATGTGGAATATTAAAATTAATAATGTACTATGTGCAAATGGTTACAAGCAAAGTAAATGTGAACCTTGTGTATATGTAAAGAAAACTAAAGAAGAGTTTGTAATTCTTGCCTTGTATGTAGATGATATTTATGTATTTCACAATGGATGTATTGAAAGAATTGTATCATTATTAACTCAAAACTTTGAAGTTAGACATCTAGGGAAATTGAAAAATTGTTTAGGCATGAATGTTACTAAAACTCAAAATGTAACTATCCTTGATCAATCTGATTACATAAGGCGTTTATTGGCAAAGTTTAATATGAGTGAATGTAAACATGTATCCACACCATTGCCGGTCAACTGCAAACTGGATAAGTCTGGAGTAAATAATTTACAAAATGATGTGTATAAGTATAGAGAACTACTAGGCTCCCTTATGTACTTGTCTGTATGCACTCGTCCGGATATATCATATGCCTGTAGTCAGCTAAGTCAGTATAGTACGTGTTTTGATGTAAGCCATTGGCGCACTGCTAAGAGAGTACTTAGGTATTTGGCGGGAACAATTAATTTTGGTCTTTTCTTTTTAAAAACCAGTAATTGTAATATAAATGCCTTCGCAGATGCCGATTGGGCGAATGACTTATCTGACCGCAAGTCGTATACTGGCTATGTCATTAAATTAGGTGAAAATGTCATAAATTGGGAAGCCAGAAAACAGCGATGTACTGCCTTGTCTAGCACTGAAGCTGAATATCTTGCAATTAGTGATGTGTGCAAGGACATCTGTTTTGTTAAGAATTTCTTATCAGAAATAATTGACAAACACTTTGATGTCACTGTATACAATGATAATCAAAGTGCTCAAAAATTGTTGCTAGTTAAACAGTATTGCCATAAAAGAACTAAGCATATTGACTTGCGTTACCATTTCGTTAAAGACTTAATACAGGATGGTAAAATTAATGTAGAGTATATGCCTACTGAAAACATGGTGGCGGATATTCTCACTAAACCATTATGTTCACAAAAGCATCATATTTATGTAAGATCTTTAAATCTGAATTGTTGTACCTAATTGAATTGTTAGATTTGTATTTTGATTTATATAAAGTTTTGCTTGTAATCAAACCTGTATTACTGTATTTTAATGTAGCCTTAATGTCCTTGACAGGAATGAGGAGCAGTGTTGAAATGCATTCATGTCATGGACAATTATCTATTGTCTATTGACGTCTATATCTATGTAATGTCTATGTTTAAGTTTTTGACTGCTCTTACTTCCTCTTGCTCTTACGGCTCTGACCGCGACGTGCACCCCTTTTAGATATAATATAAAGTGATCTCTGTCAATAAATTTAATGTGCAATAATTATATAATCCAATATCCACGTGTGCGTTGTTTTCATTTGATTCACGCTCCTGCCTACATCGTCTTTGCAACAAATGCATTACCTTTTAAGGTGAACTCCTTCTATACTTGGTCAATGGTCGCCTAATAAAAATGACTGTTCTTTATTTAAATTTTATGCACTTTTTTAATAATACTTATTAATTACATATATTCAAATAATGTTTAGATAAACAATTAACCTGTTGTCATTTATAGCGTATAATTCATTACGTACTTAATGTTATATTTGAAAGGAATAAATGCACTATAGAGTTTCATTTTTACCTTAAAATAATTTTATAATATTTAAAGGTGAAAAACGTCATTACAATAACTTTAATACACATTCCTAATGATAATAGGTTTTTTACGCCAATATTATTGAATTGCAATTTTTCTTAGAAATTAAAATACGCTTTGTTTTCATATACGTAAGTTCCTATTTGTGTTGAACAATCAGAACTTAACGATTTTTGGGTTTTATTCTTTGGTTTGACTGAACGTCATTTAGGACGCCACTTTTTGTACGAACACGGAACGGTGTATCTATGTTTTTATATTTCAGAACTAGCGACTCACCCTAGCTCCGCTCGGGTTCGATCGTAAATCCGTTTTAACGGTTAGTATAATATATACATTTCTCAGAGATGACATAATTTCCCGCAGTACCCGGACGAAACAGCTATCACCATACCAAATTTCATCAAAATCCCTCCAGTGGTTTTTCCATGATGCGGTCACAAACAGACAGACAAAAATTGTCAAGACTATAGTCGATCTCTGTATCGATATTATGTCTACTTCAATAAGATTTTTTTTAAATATTTTATGTATAGATTCGGCTTAGTTAAAAAATTATTGTATGTATAAATAATAGAATATATTGTTTAATATATTTTCATTCATTTGAAATTAAATGAAAGCTAAAAATAAAATAATCATGGCGCTAAGTGAAGTACTGAGTACATCTCTGTTAACTAATACGTCAAAAGATAACGAAATTCTATCAAGTGTCAAATTCGAATAAATTATCTAATAATAACAGTCTGACACATTTACATAATAATTCCTCTCACCATTATTTAATTTTTCAAGGAAATATATTACAGGAAAACGTATAATATTAATTTTCGTATAAAAGATATGAACCTGTGCCTGTGTCTATTGAATTTAAGCCTTTCCACATAAAATCGAACTACCTATCCTTTGTGTTAAATATTTGTTAAAACTTCTGTTTAGTACATTTTGTGATTTTTTTATGTAAGTACATATATATAAATAAATAATGTAATCATATAAGTTCACATTATTAAAGGATAATCTAGTAGTATTTCTTTACAGACGTTATTATATATACTTGTATATATTTTCTTTTAGTTTGAAATCTAATAGCAAATCCTCTTATTATGTATAGCTAATCTAATTAATTCTAAGCTTTCAGTCCTACCTGATTGACCAATCTTGTGTGGCCTGAAATATGTCAGACAAAATGCAATATGCATCATAATAAATAATCTTACAAGATATTTATTATAATTTATTTATTTACCGTGCGCTCGGATCCAAAGTACTAAAGCCGAAGCTATATAAGAAGTGTATCACTTTTTAACTTGTTTGACTGCAGAGCTCATGAGTAGTGTAGTGTAGTTCGTAGTGTACACACATTGGAAGTTGGAACTCTAATAATGGCGTACATCGTAGATTTACGGTCTGATACTGTAACTAAACCTACAAAAGCTATGAAACATGCCATGGTGAATTCTGCTCTTGGGGATGATGTTTACGGAGAAGATCCAACTGTTAACACTTTAGAGAGCAAAGTAGCGACTCTATTAGGAAAGCAGGCAGCTTTATTTGTACCAAGTGGCACTATGGCCAATCTTATAGCTCGTGAGTATTGTCTAATTCTTATACACTTAATTTAGATATTATATGTATTTAGCCATATACTTAGATGCAATTAAAATACCTTAGGGTATTTTTTTTGTAAGGAGATCTGCAAGCAGTATTTACTTTTAGCAGATATGATTTAAGATTAAAACCTAAAGGTATAGTAGTTAATTAAATGGCTTATTTTAAATTTATTTTTATTGATTAATCTTCTTGTTACTCATATTTATTGTATTAAGTTTAGATTACAAGACAAAATATTTAAGTTTATGAACATACTTATAAAGCAAAAAATAATAATAATAAAGTTTATACATCTGATATGTGTAATATCATAATATATGAAGGTTATAATACAAAAAAGAAATATTTAAAACATAAAAAACATTAAATATATATATAATAAATAAAAGTTTGTTTTTCAAACAAATAAAAACTTCTCAAAGTTAATATGTAGGTAAATATACAACAAGCTGATTTACTGCATGTTGCTGTGAATTGCATCTTTTTAAAATTAATAGTCAAAATGCCTTTGAAAATAATTACATGTATTTGTATTTTACACTTATCATATTTGTATCAATTAGTTAATATACAATTTCTATTCTTCAGATATAACACCACACATTAGTGACAACACTTTTAACTCAGTTTGTAGTGACCCTTCTTACTGTGCCACAGGTCACGGGTTCGAGTCCCGCTGGGGGCATTCATTTGTGTGATGAGCACAAATGTTTGTACTCCACTCATGGGTGTTTATATTTATAATATGTATTTTAAGTTATATATGTGTAGCTTATCAACTATCTGATATCCATAACACAGGCCGCATTGCTTACTATGGAACTAGATGTTGCTGTGTGTTAATGTCTCAACATATTTATTCATTTACCTGTATATTTAAAGCTTATGTATATTGTATGTATATGTATTCTAAATTTACAAATCTATTAATTTTATTATTGTTCCATAATTTTCTAAATAAGCAAAGGCAAAAATTGAGAAAAAGTAAATACTTCTTCCCCAAAACTAAATTTCAGAACTGCACTCTGATTCAATTATTTTTATTTCCCCTTTTTTTTACACATTATAATATTATCGCAAAATTGTTCTAAACTATTTAAAAGGTTATTCTGGCTCAGAGGAACGAGTGACGAACGGAGTGCGGAGTATGGACAATCTGCCACGGGTGCCGGCATTTTCGGAGCGGCACAACTTTTACTATTAAGTCCATATTTAATTCCATTCCTCTCTTATGCAACCGTCCCGATCCTGCCAGCATCGTCTGTTTAATGCGTTTTCAAAGTCATCTTTTTCTTATGCCGTAGTGCATCGTACACTATGCCTGCCTAAACTCTGTCTTCGACTTTACTACCAGAGAGACCTCGAACATGAAACCTTTCATAACTCGCTGAGCTACACTAGACTTTCTATCAGCTTTGAATTTATGAATCATCTACTATGGGTATCCATAATTTTGCTCCTTTAAGAACTTAAAGACTATCCGCCGCCCATATAGCCTATATACTATTACTATGAGAACCACCGGTTTCGCCCGCGTTCAAAGTACAAAAAAACTTACTTCTTTTTCTTCCCTTAACAATAATGCATGGAAGTCTGCCCGATTTGTTGACATTTATGATTACTGCTCCGCTCCCTTGGGTTGCAGCATGATGATATATAGCCTTAGCCTTCCTCAGTAAACGGGCTATCTAATGCAAAAAGAATTTTTCAAATCCAATTAGTAGTTTCTGAGATTAGCGCGCTCAGACAAACAAACAGACAACCTCTGCCTCTTTATAATATTAGTATAGATAGGATATACTATAAGGCCACCTAATCCAAGTGTATTCTTCCGCTGGATTTCTATTTCTAAAGTTGCCGATTCGTATTATTGATATATCCTGCTTAAGTTTAAGGATGCAATCAAAAACGAGCACTGTATGAATGGGATTTTGATCTTGTTAAAAGTTGTCCTGAGACACGAATCTAAAGGTACCTAGCTGTTCAACATCTTTTTTAAATTATGTTGAATTATAGCCATGATAACAATGTCGTCGGCAAACTGTGGAGACGTTGATATTAATGCCGTTTCCGTTCCAATCGGGCGTCCTGAAGACGTCCTCCAATGGTTTTGTTAACAGGCTATGGGAAACTACTTTTCCCTGCGTGTTATTAGATTAAATAAATATGTTAGGATATTAACACAGAACATCATCATCCAGTTTCATGGTCTGTGTTTATCCACAACAGATAGTTGATACACTACACTGATATAACTTTCAATAATGCTAATAATGCCCCCAGCGGGTCTCGAACCCGCGACCGCTGTCACATCAAGTAGGGTTACTACAAACTGAGCCAAACGTATCGTCTCGATAGATTGGCCTTTTAATTTGATTACCATTGATTAAAGCGGAAACAATTATCTTTCTTTACACCTTTTTTTTTTGTTAAACTAAAAAATTGCCCCCTTTGATCGAGATCGTCACCAGAATTAAAGCTTTATCAACGTTAAAAATTAAAGCAAATTATCATTATTGATATGTATGTAGGTAGGTAGCGCTATAGCCTACACGTAACTTGTCCTTAAACTTTTGTACAACCAAGAAATCATGTGCTTATAATTTTAAGTAATCTACACTTCTACACTAATATTATAAAGAGGAAAGATTTGTATTTTTGTATGTTTGTAACGAATAAACTCAAAAACTACTGCACCGATTCAGATGAAATTTAGTGAGAAGATAGTTTGAGACACTGGGAAGGACATAGGATATTTTTTATTTCGGAAATCATACCTTAAAGAGGTGAAAATGAGAATTAAAGTTTGTATGGAGAATCAACTTAGGGACGAACCCGAGCGAAGCGATCATGAGTCTCTGGTTATTTATTAAACAGGCTTGAACATATTCACGAAATCACGTTTTTGTAAATTAGCCAATTAAGCAACTAGTAAGATTTGTAATTGGAGTTTTTGTGAACCAACCACGATGGTCAAACATGAACATTAAAATATCTATACCTACTATTTCATGCACATAAAATACTCACAATGACTGTAACATAAAATAGACCTCAAAACTATAGTTATGGATTTTCTTATGTTTGTCTATATATCTATGTGCATTTCACGCAAAAAGTACTGCAGGGATTGTAATAAAATGTGTTGTAAGGTGTCGAGCCGTTTTATAAAAATAATAGGCTCGGGATGCACCCGAGCGAAGTAAGGGTAAATCTATACATATAATAAAATTGTAACTAATTCGATTCTGTGCATTAAATATTTTTTGGAAAATCTAATTGAAATAGACATTATTATCGATACAGAGTCCGAATCTATAGTTTTTAGAATTTTTGTCTCTCTGTTACCGCATCACAGAAAAACCACTGGAGGGATGTTGATGAAATTTGGTATGATGATAGCTGGTTATCCGGGTCAACATATATGATACTTTTTACCGCGGGAAAATATTTCTGTCGGCGGAGCCGCGGGAAATGCTCGTTACGAATAAAAATTTATAATATGAATCTTAAAATATCACAGGAAGATAATAATACTAGTAGCAACTTTAAAACTTGCAAAATTTCAAGTGGATATGACAATGAGAAGTAGGTAAAAAAAACTGGTCAAGTGCGAGTCGGACTCGCACATGATTCCTTCCCTATCATAATCGATTTTTGTTTAACTTGCATGGCAGCCTTTTTGAAATTCGCCATCTTGGTTTTTTATTATTTGTTGTTACAGCGGCAATAGAAATAGACATTCTGTGAAAAATTCAAATCTACCTATTATGGTTCATGAGATACAGTCCTCTGACAGAGGGACTTAGTAATAGGGTTCCATTGGCACCGTGTACGGAAAATCTAGTCTGGAAGTAGTCGTAGGATCCCTAAAAACGGAACATTTATGACGAAAGCTAAAATCATGAAAATCGAGTCTCATGCATACTACCAAGCAACTCTCAATTAATTTCGGCATAATTATAGTCTTTTATATATACGGCTTGAATTTTTATATTATAGAAACATAGTTTTCTTCAAAATCAATAATAAAAGATAACTTGTTAGGATGAAATGTAAGCTAAAGTCGTCCCAAATTATAAAATGTGGTTGGACAGTTTGGTCGAGTGGTGGTAAAAATGAAACATTTAAACGGACCCGATTTCGCATTATGTACACAATATATATACAATAACGATGAAAATACGCAAACTCAAGAACACTTTTACCGGTGGTAGGACTCTGTCTAGCCTGAGGAGTCCGACTGGATGGGTACCAGCCCCCTTATCTATTTCTCCCGCCAAGCAACAATGATTACATTGTTGTGTTCCGGTTTGAAGGATAAGGTAGCTAGCGCAATTACAGGCACGATGCATATCATCTTAGTCCTCACAGTGACAACGCACCTGCGGTTCTGCATTTTTGTAACATAAAACCTAAGTGCATGAACCGTAGGTGTTATGGGCGACAGGTACCGCTTTCCATCAGATGGGCTGTCTGCTCGTTTGTCACTGAATACCATAAAAAAAAACTTAAGATAATTTTTAACGATAACGAGTATTATTAACTTGAGCAATGAACTAGTACCTAATCGGTTAATTGTAACTTCCTGTTACGCTTTTTATGGCAGCCACTGTGAAGCAAACTTAACTTTATCGATTACAAATGACATTTATAGCAACAGAATATTCCTGTTTATCCATGACAAACTTGTTTTTGTTGTCTTGTTAAATTTAGTAATATTGAATTACTATCTTCTTTCTATATTCTTCTCTATATAAATAAAAAATGCGGACTGTATGTACTTACGCGCATCGCGGAGAACGGCTGCACCTATTTGGATAATTCTTTTTTTGTTGTTTGAAATTGTCAGGCCAAGGTTTGTATGAAAGAAAATGTTTCAAAAATTGTTCGGAAATATGAAGAAGTATGTACTCAGTTCTTTTTTTGATTTCCTACTTCTGAGCACCGGTCTCCCTTTACCACCTTGTAGGTGGGTCAAATTGTAGTCCACCACGCTGGCCAAGTCACGATGTTTTCCTTCACCGTAAGAGAAGTGGTAATCATTTTGAAAATGATTTGCACATGAAAATAATAGATGTGCGAGACCCGGGATTTGAACTCGGTTCACTCGTTTTCCCAAGTACGCACTGGGCTACCACTTGCCTCTCTTATATGTGCTTGAATATTTTTTTTTACCTGAATTTGAAACTAAAAAGCTATGTTCTGAACTACATACACTGACATTGTACGGCTCTGAAACTACCGATACACATCTCGCCTCTTAAGCGTCTACGATTACTCTCTCAAAACTTGATCTTTGATCTGCTTTCTCAAAATATAAACGTCTTGTTAAGCCAAGTGATTAATTAAAGTCTACTTTAGATCCGAATTATCTTTTTACATATTAACTTATGCAATAAATATTTATTTCAGTCATGGCGCACTGTAATAAGCGAGGCGCAGAAGCTATAGTGGGTGATTTGTCGCACATTTTTAAATATGAACACGGTTAGTAACACATCACCTTTTTTTTTTGGGAAATGCATTTACGCATACCACCTGTACACATACATACATATATATGTGGGCCTCACTGCCTAGAAAGCCAGTACTACTCACTAGAACCCAACAGACCTCCCCAGTTTTAATGATGCATCGCAGGATCGCTTACGTATCGGTTGAGTGCAACCACGACGCCCGGAGAGCAGGTCTGCCAAAGCAGACCATAACAATCAAGGGATTGCTCCCACTGTCCACTCTGCTGTCAGAGAAGTACCAGGAGCAACCAACAGGACACTCCGCCCATCGAAGTGGGCTATCTACCTGTGCGTTTCTTGGCTGGATTGCCGGATGCTAAAGAATGCTTTTTGATAATCATATTTTTATTATTACGCGCTAAGATCGATATGTTTTTGCAAAGAATATATTCTGAACTTACACTTTGCTTTTTTTTTGGTTTTAATGTAGTTTAAATAACTTTTTAATCGGTATCTTTATAATATAATTTTTTATCTGTGTTTTTTTCAAGGTGGTGCCGCGCATTTAGGTGGTATACAATTAAGCACTATTCCCAACAAACCAGATGGCACATTTGATCTTAAGGAGCTTGAAAGTAGAATACGAGGCACTGATATTCATGAACCTATCACGTCACTGGTTGTGTTTGAAAATACACACAACTATTGTGGAGGAAAGGTAAGGTATATATTGAAACTAACGACTTACACTCGTTTTGCTCGGGTGCCTTTAGGTGCAGAAGAGTAGCCTATATGCTACTCTAGGTCATATGATCTGTGCACTAAATTTCATCCTAATCTGTACCAGTCGTTTTAGGCTTTAGCGTGCAGGAGTATCAAATATACACATACAAACTTTTACATTTATCTGCAATCTATACTAGTATACATATATAATAAAATTGTAACTAAGCCGAATCCGTACATTAAGTATTTTTTGGAAAATCGTATTGAAATAAAAACATTATTATCAATACAGAGGCCGAATCTATCGTTTTTAGAATTTTTGTCTGTCTGTTACCGCATCACAGAAAAACCACTGGAGGGATTTTGATGGAATTTGGTATGGTTACAAATGGTTATCCGGGTCAACATATAGGATACTTTTTATCGCGAGAAAATATCTCATTTTTGAGAAAGAATACAAAAACTGCAATGTAAGAGTATACTAATATTAGTATTTATCCAAATTCTTAGGTTTTACATATGTAAAACCTAAGAATTTGGTTTTTGGTCATCTGAACGTGGGCGGAGCCGCGGGCAATGCTAGTCTATCAATATATATAAAACGCTTTGTCCTGACGATTGATGGATCACCGCACAGCCTAAGCTGCTGGTAGTAGAAACGTGAAATTTGGTGGACGTCGATAAGAAAGGATTATTTGAAATTCATATCCTAAGGAGGTAATAGGGTATGAAAAATTGTATGAAACTCTGCCATTCTTAATGTGAAATCTACGGGAAGCGGTAGTTAGATAGTTAGGTAGTTAGTTGAAATAAAAAATAAAACAATACATCTGATATACGTTTTGTTACTAAAACAACATAATATTTGGCGTTTAGAATTCTCGATATGAGTCAAAATAATACTTATACATTTGAAAATAATGACAGCCATAAACATATTTTTATTATTTTAATATAAGTCTTAAAACATAAAGCCAAAGAGTTTTTTTTGTAGATATGACGCAGGCAAAGCCGCGGCTTGTGCTAGTAAGTACATATTTGAACAAACTGAACATCGTACTTCAGACTTTTGTATGTATATATTTTGTTTATAAACAATTCCTCTTTTACAGGTAGTTCCACTTGAATGGATAGACGATTTATCAGGACTCTGCAAAAAATATAATTTAGCATTACACATGGACGGTGCCCGAGCGCTCAGTGCCAGCACTTACCTCGACGTGCCAGTGGAGAGGATAGTGCGAGATTGTGACAGCGCAACGTTGTGCTTTAGCAAGAATCTGTCGGCACCTGTGGGCTCTGCTTTGGTTGGATCTTACCATTTTATACAGCAGTTAGTATTAATGATAATAATGTCATCCAGATGACATAAGAGTAACCGTAAGAGTCGGCCACGGCGACCAATCTCATTGAGACTAGCCAACTGCGCTGGAGATATTATAGTGCAAACACAAGTCTCTATTCCTGTCACTCTCCGCGTCCAATGGGACGATACTTCGATACTTGCGGTGAGAGTGAAAGCGCAGTACCGACGCGACACGTGCTCTCCAAGGTACGGGGGTGAAACCCTCCAACTTCCTAACTCTGGGCTGTTAATGATAGTTTCTTAACAGAAATACTCTATGATTGAACTTGGTCCGACCCGGAACTCGAACACTCGAACCCGTGACCGTTAGCACAATAAGTAGGGTCACTACAAACTGAGTCAAACGTGTCGTCACAAGACAGTCGAGGGTCAGGTTTAGGGTTGACGAGTTAGATAACAAGAATTGTGCCATGAAAATTGGTGTTTTTTGCCCTATATCTCGCATATGTACATCGTCACATACTGCACTAATAATATGTCCCACGTAGTTGACTAGAAATGGTCGAAATCAGTGAGGAGCACAGAAATCTTAATAATAAGGTAATAGAAATGCCATTGCGGTCTTTTAGTACTGGGACGCGTGTCGCCGGCTTGCAGCTACCAACACATTGACAACAATAAATACACACTATCGCCCACACATGCATTTTGCATTGTTGCAACAAAAATTAAACTTTAAGCGATGACATTACGCAATATTTTCCAAAAACGCATAATCTCAGATGGCGTGATCCCTGTGACCAATAATAAACGTGTGCGAAAAGCACAGAATGATATCGCGCGCTCACTTTTAGTGCAGTACAAAGCGCATAATGCTCATATCGATCATTTTCCGTTGAGTCTTGCAACAATAGGTAACTAATTTATTGAAAGTGTTTTGTTTCATTCCTCGACGCGCTTTTAGACTATTTATTTATTTTCATAAAGGGAATACAATAAAACGTTAAATGTAAGTAATTTTTTTTATTATTATATAGTTATACAAAAGTTATGCAAACTATTTGTTAAAATCCTATACATTTTGAACAATGACTTAAATTTTTTTATAGAATTTCTATGTTGTTTATCAAACAACTCGCCCTTAGAATTATTTACTCAATCAAATCAAATCAAAATATTCTTTATTCAAATAGACTTTTACAAGTTCTTTTGAATCGTCATTTTTACATGATTAAACTTTACATTAAATAACAGTCTGTAAGTCTGTGAGTATGTTACCACCGACTCGGAATGCTGATCTGCTGAGAAGAGCCGGCGAGAAACTCAACAGTTGCTCTTTTCAAAAAATATTTGATTACAATATTTATTGCATTACAATATTTATCCATTTATCATTTGGTAAATGCAGAACATGTCAATGATACAAGGATATTCAACGCATACTGTTTTTGACTTACCCATATACATAACAATAATAAGCCTACCTCCTAATAATTTTCTGAATGAAAAAGTAGTTTAAAAGTACGAATTTACAGATAATCGTTGATAAATGACTTTTTATAAATTATTCAGACAGAAAGAAAACATACACAATGAGATGTAACAATTAAATATTTAACGAAAAATATTAAGCCAAACGTAATAAATTTTCGATAAAAAATTGTGGTGGCACGTCACTAATTCGCGGCTAACTTGTGCGGCGTGTCCTTGGAATTTACGTACGCGACAATATTGTTCTTTACGCATGAATATTATTTCAATGCTGCTTTTAGCAGTTGTAATAGTATACATGAACAAGCTTAAGTGGTAATGGTTATTGAATTGAAAAAAAAAAAACGTTTTCCTGCGATAATCGTAGTAGTGGTGGTGAAAACATTTGATTTGGCTATATTTCTTAAAAACGATATTATTTCAAAAATTAAGTACTTACATATGAAATGTTATCCCTTTATTTGTAAAGTTACAAATTGTGGAAGAATTTCCGCAGTTGGATATGCTGCAAAACACCATGTTTACCTCTCCGTGTCTCAAATAACACTAGTTACCGCAACAAACGCTTTACACGCGCTTGTGACCTACGAGTCACATGCGCGGCGACAAGGTCACGCGTCTATGCCACTTCTATTAGCTTATTATTAAGATTTCTGTGGTGAGGAGTATACTATATTAATATAAACAAGACTAATCTCCTCCGTGTCTTCTTTATTCTACGTGACATTGGCGAAGTAATAATGATAATTCAATTGCAATTTGTTACGTTGTATAGTGTTTGCAGGGGTGTTGTAGTGATTGCGCAAGCGATCCTACAACGCCCCATTGCATTGCGGCGATTTCGCTGTGGGTTTTAGTGAGTATGAGTTTCATAGTACCCAGCTCGTTGACGGCCGGCAGAGTCCCCGTGATGGGTTTCCCCAGCGAAAATAAAAAAAACGTGTGTATGTATTTATATACGCACGTAAGAAGTTATACTTCTTTGGCGTAACAGAACAAAAACAGCTAAAGATTTCATTCCGTATGTCACAACTCTCTGTTTGTAAAAGGAATGCAGCTAACTTCATCGTGTTGCATTTCGGCTGTCGGTGTGCGCGCGCATCGTGAAAATTTTACTGTCATAATTGTTTCCATACGTGCGAAAAGAAGTATAAGTTCAAAAAAGGTCGTATATCGTGAGTGTAATGTGGCAGGGCGCGCCGGCTGCGCAAGATGGTGGGCGGCGGCTGGCGGCAGGCGGGCGTGCTGGCGGCGGCGGCGCTGGTGGCGCTGCGCGACGTGGCGCCGCGCCTCGCGCTCGACCACCGCCGCGCGCGCCGCCTCGCGCTGCGTGAGTGCGCCGCCCACTGCAGCACACTATTAGTATTATTTAAGGATCTGTGTATTACTAATCTGGCAAACTTTGATATCCTAATATTTCTCATTCACATAATCTTCGTAATAACCATTCAAAATAAGTCGGATAATATATTTCTGATTGTTTCTGAATGTCAGTAAGAATTCTCGGATTCATTAAAGGAACGTCGAGCAAAAAATGATCTTATTACTTGCTACTACGATCATATTGTACATACGGATTCATTTATTACAATGGATAACAAATAAGATTTATTAAGAATATCACAGATTATATTACTATACTATTTAGTTTCAATATTAAATACCAAACCTACTATATCTGAGATAAATATCACTTAAATAATGGAGACTGAAGTATTAGATAAGTATTAGTATTAGTTACAATATTATAATATTGCCAGACGAATATATTAATATTACCGAATCCTGAGAAATATCGGTATTAACCCATCTCTACCCACTGCCTGCTACACTCGTCTGATAGTGGACGTGCGTGTATGTGTGTGTGTGTGTAGGAGAGAGAGAGAGAGAGCGTATGCGTGTTTGTCGGTTCGTGTGCTAATGTTGTAAGGTATATCAGTTATATGCCAAATACGGATTTTTAGTACTTTACTAACGATTTCAGTCGCTTCGGTCGTGTGCTTAACCTAATTCATCCAGCTTTTTAATATGAAAACTGACAAACACACAAACTTGTACAATTATTTTAGTGATGATATTAAGTTAAAAATAAAGATTTATAAAATAATTATCACCTTCAACGTTTTCCCGTATATTTTTATACATAGGTCAATCCCAAGGCGCGCCATTGGGCAGGATCTTGGAGTTTTCATTCCACCTGTGCCAACCGCAGATCGCACATCTAACAGAGAAAGAGTGGAGACCATGTACAGAGAAACTCAGTACAGTAAAGGAGACACACTGTGTGTCCCTACACATGGTTTCCACTTAAAGACAAAAAAATATGTCTAAAAAAATTGATTTACCTATTAGCAAAATAGGTACTCTCCCGCCAACAAATTCACATGCTCATTTATGCACAACTAGCGCTCCGTAGGTGCCTAACATATATAATATATAATACTATGTCTTTTTAGGTCATAGTCTGTAATATTTATTGAATTTCATCCAAATCTGTCTACACGTTTCAGCGTAATGGAGGAGAACACACACAAACATTTTCAGACAAACAAACTTTCAAATTAGTTATAGCAGCATAATCAGTATGTTTTGTATTTACATACATACGTGTTCTATATGTTTGTTTATCACATGTCACTATTTTCTCGGACGAAACCAGGTCGAGTCGCTAGTATAGTATAGTCATGGACGAATTAGAGACTGGACCTGACATAAAATACAAATGTATGAAAACTAGTTCAACCAAGTGACGCATAACGCACACAAAGATTTTATTACATTATTATAAACACTGATACACAATACAATATTTCTAGTGTTTGAACGTAATCGATAAAATACATATATCGATGAACCAATGAATGACATTTTAGACATTGGTTAGCATAGTCATCATATTTTACATCTTTTAATTTAAAATATCTGTATTTATTATAATAAATTAAAATAAATGAATTAAAGAGGCAGTAATAATGTGTCAAATAATAATTATTTTTTAATTTGATTTATATAAATACGATGGCATTGATGGCAACATTCTGTTGGCCTATAATAATGTTAATAAACAAATGAATATCGGGTGTATATTCCATTAATATATAATAAATATTATTTTGTAAAGATGAAAAAAATATTAAGCTAATTTAATTAAATAAAGTGATTTTGTTGATTCTGTTATTGAACTATTTAATTTGCAATTGATTGTCTCGGGTAGTTATAAAAATGTGACACTGTCCTAATATTGCTCAGTTATTAATAAACATTTGTGAAATTAGGAAAAAGAAAAAGTGATTGCAAATTGTGAAAAAGTGAGTGTTGGATCGTGAAAGTAAAATAATTAGTGCAAGTGGTAAAGTGTTTTATTACAAATCGCCAACCCAGAAGTTTAGTGCTAAAACATTTTTGTTTGATTTTGTGTAATTTATGTGTTGAAATAAAATGATCTTTATTATTATTACAATGGAATAATATTCCAAAGTATATAAATGTAGTATAAAATAAAATAAAAAATTAAGTACACATACTAATTATAATTTTTGCATTTATATTTTTATTTGATTTAGAAAATAATTTTATAAAGTTATTGTCATCAGATTGTAGGATACTGTGATAAAAGTATTTTATGTTATTGTACTGTACAAATAACACAATTCGTTTAGTTATTTCGTCAAATATCGATATATTTTTCGACATTATCAAGCACTAGTCGATGTCAAATGGACTCACTTCACAGATTGACAGTTTTGTCATTTGTTCTGAATGGTATAATCCAGCCCGTTTATGATGGTTGTCAGATGTCAACAATACATAGAAATATCGACTATATTTAACATAGTTGGATAATATGACATTTTATTATACATTTAATTAAATTTTGTTATAAATAACAATAAATGTAATAAAATAATGTATTTACAAGTGAAAAGAACTAGTGCTGCTTCCGCCGTTATAGTTTTTACACCATTTAACAGAACATTTAGTCATTTTTGGGAGATCTTTTGTTGACAAGTAAGTGCTTGAGACTGACACAAGAAACAAACGACCTAGGCTAAAATTCCCTGGTTACTGACATGACCGTTAAAGGTACGTCCGCTTATATGTCTGGTCCAGTGGTTAATTCGTTCATGAGTATAGTATAATGAACAGATGATAAATTAGCATGACCGTGTATGATTATTTTTATGCGCTAATCTGCATCAGTCCCAAATTATAAGCAGATTTGTTGAGTAGGGAAGTATTATATCTATCTATAGACTAGGGATTTACCCTCGCGTCACTCGGGTGCTTCTTAGGTACATTTTTTTTTAACGGGACCATATATTTTTTTTCTAAAATAAAATTAAGCCTAAGTTATTCCTTTAACATTGCCAGTGAAAGTCTCGTCAAAATCAGTCCAGCCGTTTCGGATATTAGCCGGAAAATATAGACAGACAGACAAAAATGTTAAAAAATGTGTTTTTCTTATAAGTATCGTATATAATTTCGTATGCATTTAGTGAAAAGCTTTCATTTCGACAATACAAACAGACACTTTAATTTTATTTATCTATATAGATATCGAAGGGCTGTCTCTGAAGAATTTCTCTGTGGATGTAAAGGGGCAACACACGAACATCATCCTGGTGAAGATAGCCGAGGCCAGTCCCCTCGGGGCAAACCAGGTCATAGATAGGCTGGCCCAGGTCAGCTTAGCTGAGATTGAGGTATATTTTAATTTTTCATTATATTAGTATACGGAAAAATATCACACACACACGTAAAACATAGACATTAAATTTGAATATTTACTTAATTTGTATTTTAGAATAATTAGCATACTTTTATATTATGTCAATCGGAAGAAGCCTTGGGGTTGACTTGTTAATTTACCTGTAATTGGCCACGATGTGTTGTGTTGTGTGAGTTGGCACTTCTTTGAAATTTTTGTTAAGATCAAAGGCGATCACTCTGTTAATTTTTATTTTTTATACAGTAGTACAGCCTTTTTTATCGACATACATGTACAGTATGAGCCAATATAAATACTTATTCCATTGAAAATTTAACTTTACATCTAGAACGAAAACCTTGTTTTTTATATTTAATTTTAATTTTCTATTAAGTAATAATCATGATATCATCAGCTACGAGCTATACAGTAATAAATAAATGAAAATCATTACTATATACAGGATGATTGCAAAACGTCAAATGACGAGGGCGTGATAGTGAAATCGGTCTGTTTCAACAACAAGACGATTCGTTTCGTGCTACACAATGACATCTCCGACGAAGACCTGTCCCTCGCCATGGTGAAGATCACCTTCGTGTTTAAGGAACTGGATGCTGCACACCCCTTTAGCTAAATTATTATATACAGCGTGTGACATAATGGGGTAGTTGACACCATTTAGAATTCATTTCAAGTTTTCTCTATATCACTTAACTAACTGCGCCCCGCGGTTTTACCCGTGTTAAATTTGTTTGATTATAAACATCAGTTTTACAATAATGTATGGAAGTCTGCCCGATTTGTTGACATTAATGATTATTGCTCCGCTTCCATAGGTAGTAGCATGATGATATACAGCCTATAGCCTTCCTCAGTAAACGCGCTATTTAATGCAAAAAGAATTTTTCAAATCGAATTAGTAGTTTCTGAGATTAACGCGCTGAAACGAACAGACAAACTGCCTCTTTATAATATTAGTATATATTTTAGCGCTGAAAATCCAATCCATTATCAATTTACTGTAAAATTAGTTCTTTAGCATGAAAAATGAGCTTTGAAATTAAGTGACGTCACAGGCTGCTGTCTCCATACAAAATCTATGGGGATTGCATTTTGTTCGTAAAAAGTATGTCAAATGATTAGTGGTGTCAACTACCCGATACATACATAATGTATGTCATAATATATGTTGTATTCAGCCTTATTTAACGTCCCACAGCTGGGCACGGGCCTCCCTTCAATACAAGGGGGATAAGGCCATAGTCCACCACTGGCCAAGCGCGGGTTGGCGGACTAATATATATAATTATATAATAATAATTAATATTATATGTATATTGTTATAATTAATAATTACACTATGGAATTTAAATGCGAGAATTCGTTAGTGCCTAAATACCTTATTCCAGTCGGAAACTTTTACGTCCCGTATCTTAGTTTAGTACAAATTATGGAACGCCAAAATTTATAAAATTATATATATATATGTACTTATATATGTAATCATATACATATTATTATATGTCAAATACAAAATGTTTATAAAACATTGTATTAAGTAATATATACCAAAGTAAGGACAAATAATTTTAAATAGCTTTTAAATTTTGTCTATTTCTTTGAGAATAAGATGACAAAATTTAATTATTTAAAGACTAAAAAAATGTAAACAGGGTTTTATGAATGATTATGAATTAAAAATTCATATTTAAAATTTAAACACACTGTATACAAGTTGTTATTTATTATTGATATATAATATAATGTCATAAGATACTCATTTTATAAAATTTGTGATATGTACGATATTTGATATGGTTTTTGATTTATTATTTGTTATTATATATTTTCTTCAGAAAAAACATATCTAAAGTTAAAATGCAAAACCTTATCTAAATACAAAATTTGATCCAAATCGTTAGAGCCGTTTTCAAGATAAAATAAATGTATATACGTACATATTTACAAGAATTGCTTGATTAATAATAATTAATAAGATATTATTTGGTTTTTGGTAATTTATATTTTTGACATGGAAAATGGCTTTAAAATGCAAATCCATTTTGCTCAATTTAAATACATGACATGTTGTTGTTAGTTATTAAATATTTGCTGTTTTTTTTTATATAAATTATTTACCTTTAATTATTTATATCATAAATACAAAAGTGTATTTCTTTGTAGTTTTTTTTAACCGACGAAAAAAGAAGGAGGTTCTCAATTCCACACGAAGTCGGTGCCAGCCGATACAAATCAAAGCACACCGACTAGGTAGTGAAAATGCTTCAGTGCCATTGTTCGAAAAAAAATATGGCCGGTCAATATGTCTACAAGATATTATACACATGTTATTAATCTTGCTATATTAAATTACTAAATAAAGATTTACGTTATAACTATATACATATATTATTATTTTCTTGTATAACCTTTTTCTACCTTTCCCGAAATTATTTTTTGACTAGCGACCACAGATTGTGTTCGCCGCACGTTAAGGAACTTGTTAGCATATCAGTGACGTGCTGGATCATTAAAAAAGTATAATATCCGCGGATACGGATACGAATTATTAGTGTCAAGATCAATAAATGGGAATCGAATCTCATATAAGTAGCTACCTAAAGTAAACTAAATAAACCAATCATTTCATAATTTTTCAACCGACTTCTTCGAAAAGGAGGAGGTTCTCAATTCGGCTGTATTTTTTAAATAAGCATACTATAAAGATATAAGGCTTGTTTGTAACTCACTACATACAATAAAGGATCTAATATTCACCTTGTACTATTAAAATTCAGTCATGTAATGTAGCCTTCCACAATAAACGGTCTATCTAATACAAAAAGAATTTTTTAAATCTGATTAGTAGTTCCTCAGATTAGCGCGTTCAAAGTAACAAACAAACACTCGGTCTCTTAATATACTTAATGCCTGCCTTTTTACTTGAATAGATAATGCCTGCCTTTTCTCACAAAAGAAAAAGTGTTTTTAAAAAATACGTTTTGTTCTTATCGTACAGTATCGGTAGTTTTTTTAATATTTGTAAAAATAAAAACCCGACTGCGAACTAAAAAGATCTATTGAGTTGTCTAAAGAGAATGTTTGACTACTTTGTACACAGGCCTAAACAAAGAATATATGAGAGCTATAAATGTTTACAGGAAACGGATTCAAACCCGCGACCACCGGCGCAGAGACTGGCGTCAGGCACTTACCGTTAGTACTGGAATGTTAACATATCATTTCATTCATCATTATTTTCATATTTGCTATACAGTTATTGGTCTGATTATAATTATACATACATATAATATAATAGGGAATATGCGTGTGATTCAAGGTGAATTTTTTTTTTATAATCTTTATTGCTCTTAAATTAAGCATATGTTAATATTTTTTTGTAATATAATTATTAAAAAGTGCAAATGTAGGTGGGACACGCTATTGGTCAGACCGAAATATGACGTCAAAGTATTATCATAACAGAGCGATTAGCGTTTTTTCGCCACAAATTGAGTCGCCATTTTTCTGTGTATATCGTACTGTGACGTCACGCCAAGCGCGCGAAATTGCGAGCGTTTAAAGTATCCGTATCGGTATGAAATTTCCATTTTTTTGTACTAAATTGTTTTGTTTTTGGAGCTGTTTTTTTACAATTATATAACGATGTTAGCTATTGTATAAAAATTATAAAAAATCACGCATATTCCCTATTCTAACGGAATCGAATCTGTACATTAAATATTTTTTGGAAAATCTTATTGAAATTGTCATTATTATCGATACAGAGGCCGAATTTAGTTTTTAGAATTTTTGTTTGTCTGTCTGTCTAGGAACGCGTCACGAGAAAACCACTGGACAGTTTTGGTGAAATTTCAACATATAAGATATTTTTTACTGCGGGGAAATAATTCATCTCCGAGAAATCTGTACTAAACGTAAAAATGCAATGGTGAGTCGCTAGTTAGGTAAAAAAAAAAAATATAATAAGTACAGAATGTTTATTAAACATTTTCTGAATACACCATAAGTACACCACGTAAGCCTAAGAAAAGTAAATGAGATACAATTAGTTAAATAAAATTACTTAGATTAATGAGTCTTCTTTATACAATTTTATGAGATATTTTAAAAAAAATGACGTAAACAAATATTGCTTATACTTATATGACTATTAAAACATTACATGAATAAAAATAATTTATATATTATCTATACTAATATTATATAGAGGTAAAGTTTATCAGTTTGTGACGTTGTAGGGGGTAATCTCTGGATCTACTGAACCGATTTAGATGAAATTTGATAAGAAGATATTTTGAGACCCTGGGAAGGACATAGGATACTTTTTATCCCGAAAATCATCCCTTACGGAGGAGAAAATGCAAAAGTAGAATAGCAAAATAGCTAATATAATAAAAAATATCCAGGTAAACACAACCTACCAATAAGGAACTATAACTAAAATGAGCATTATTGTGTGAACTATGAATAAATTGTTTTAGTTACAAAATCAATATATAAATATTAAAATAACTAAATAGGTTACTTTTTAACCGACGAAAAAAAGAGGAGGTTGTCAATTCGACACGTATATTTGTAACTATAAAGCTACATCGATTTCTAGAATTACTTAAAAATTATACACTTCTTCATAATTATCATGAGAATCTCCTCCTTTGAAGTCGGTTTTATTTAATTTTCCTGCTAATGGTATTTATACGCGCCATTTCGAAGAGACTATATTATCATATACATGCTATAGGTAAAAGCTAAAATATTATTTTTTATTTCTACATTTATGACATTTGAGCAAGGGCTAGGAACCGGTTTAAAAAAAACGGTTTATTTCGGTAATATAATGATTAATTCGTCGCTCGTTCTTTAACCGGTTAATGAAAACGAACGGCTTAGTAGACCGAAACAATAATGGTTAACAGTTATTTCTAGAGAAAGTTTGGATTGCGGTTTTAATACCGAAATAAACCGGTTAATTCATTCATAAGTAAGAAATCTACATGTATTTTTTTCTCAACAATTTACCATTAGCAAAGATTTGCTGAATGTAAACGCACAAGAAAATTAAATTTGTCTCTTGACGGTTCTTACCTTACTCCGGGATTTAACTGGTTAAATAATGTAACCGAAGCCTTAACCCAAACAGCCTTTTGGATTTTGGATTAGTGACCAAAATCGGTCTAAAAATTTAACGGTTTTCAAGCCCTGCCTTTGAGAATGCTTTATGCATTATTAAATTGAATTTCTTTGCAAATTTACTAAATGTCTGATATATGGCGCCATGGTAGAATTACTAAGATATATATTTTTTTTATACAAGAAAAACAAAAAAATTATTGGGCCATCTAATTACTAACCTTACTTATCTATCAAGTACAATCAATTACTAAGTGAGAATTTTATCAGATTCTCTATACAAAATATATCTAATATCATCAATTAATAAGGTTTATAAGTAGGAGACTAAAGAGTATCCTACACGAGTACATTCTTAATGTAAAATAAAGGGTGTTTACACAGATACATGATTAAGATACTTTCATAATTATGTTATCTGTGTAATGAGATTTCAATGAAATTTCTGATACACTTATGTATTAAATACATAGATAAATACAACTCTTAGGAGACTAGCGTTTTGAAATTTCAATGACATTCACCATTATTTAAATGACACCAATAACTTATTTTCTAAAATAATCCTAAAATTGGGGAAAAATGTAAACTAAAAAAAGGACCTAACTTATATGAATTACGATTAAAATCAAGATCTAAAGATAATCATATTTGTGGTCTATTGAGGTTTAGCATTTTGTTCATTCCACACCCTAATCAGCTCCTCGGGATGCCCGTAGCCGTGGGACGCTATGACGTTTTTATAACCGTTCAACGTATAACTCTTTTTATAGAAATAAATATTGGGACAATGTGTGAGCTTTAAACCTACTTTCTTAGCAACAATACCTAAATAAATATCGTCAAAACGAAAGTTTTTTACAAACAGACTCCCTGCGTACAACATTTTCATACACCTATTAGACAAAATGTACGCGCCCGCTGTCACATAGGGCGGCCATTTATTCCATGGATATTCTTCTAGAGATACCCTCCATTTACTTGAACGTATACGCTGTGGCGTGGACTTAAACATAAAACCTGCGTAACAGACACTTTCCTTGCCATATCCTACCCCATTCCCACTTCTTCCAATTGTAGTAGCAACATCTTGAACATAATCTAGAAGATTCTTAACGGATATATACATATCATCATCAGTGAACAAATAGTAGTCCGCGGTAGAACAATGCTCGTACAACCATCGGAACGACATCATTGTTTTTATCGTGTTATTGTAATAATTGTCCTGAAAATCTATTTGTATGATATCTTTGAAATCAGCCATTTCTTTATCTATTAACTTCTGTGTTTCCGACTTCGGCGTGTCGACGCCTAGGAAGAACAGGGTACGTATTATGATGCCTGGTACAAGGTTCTCTTGGCCGTATGTCTGTCGAATCGCATTTCGTTGCTCGTAATTTCCCATAGCTGATTTGACTATGATGAACAAATCCAGCTTTTCTAATGTTGAACATTTGCCTGAGTTAGTTAGGAACCTGTATGGATAGAAGTTTATTGGAGCGACTGCTGGTTTCCTTCCTGATAGCACCTCTTCTACTAACGGTCGTATGTCGATGTTTAGAGGGTAATCGAAATCGTCCTCATAGCTCTTGGAGTAAATGTAGTCACCCACACCAAAGAAATAATAAACATACACAAACACACACGCACTCACAATAAATTGGTAATATTTTTTTCTCCTCATTTTAAAGTCTGAGATTCTGTTATCACGGTATCCTGGAAATAAGAATAATAGAATAAGTATTTATCGTGGCACATACCGCTAGTAAAAAAATACGTAATAAAAAATAATTGTACAATAAAAAAGCAAAAAAATATCATAAAAAAAGAAAGAGGGCAGTATTAGCACAGGGGTAACGCGCCTGCTTGGAAAACCGAGTGAAGCTGGTTTAAATCTTGGGTCTCGCACCTCTAATTCTTATGTGCGAATGAATTTCAACAGACTTCAAAAGGTAGGAGGTTCTCAATTCAGCTGTATTTGTGTCTGTTTGTTACCTCAGAACCCCGTAATTTGTTGACCGATTTGGACAATTTTTATTTTGTTTGAAAGTGTATACTTCTAGTTTGATCCCATTTCAATTTGAAAAAAAAATCACCTCTAAGGGTGGAAAACTAGCTAATAAAAATTTAATCTACTTCTAATTGTCACATTGACTTGAAACTTTGCAAGTGTTTCTATTTCCATTGGTAGTGCAGCGATTCGGTATCATCGACCTGATCCGATGGTAAGGCCAGGAGGTGTATAGATAGAAATTTTCAACGGCTAATATTAGTAGATACTTTGAGTTTGGGCTTCTTTTGTTTGATTTTGAAGTGATGAGTGTGGGATGAAGTCGGTGCATCCGATGTAAATCAAAGCATATCTAATTATTTTAGGAAATATTTTTTACTTTTTACGTTGAAGTGTTTTTTTGAAGTCAGTTTTTTTATAAGTATTAAGATCACCACTTGTCTTGCAGTGAAGCAAAATATCGTAAGAAAACCTGCAGGTCTGAGTGAAACTAGCAAGTTTTCGTAACACATATGGAATCCGCCAATCCGCACTTGGCCCGCTAGGTATACTATTGCCTGACTCCTCTCGTTATGAAAGGAGGCCCGTGCCCAGCAGTGGGGCGTTAAAAAGGACTATACAAACTATAAGTATTCTTATACAATACAATACAAACTATAAGTATTCTTATATAATACAGTAAAAGAAAAAAAAATCTGCAGAGCATGTACATTTATAAAAACTATATTATATAGAAGCCAAATCTATTTTTTTTAAATGTATGTTTGAACGACACTTTAATATATAAAGCTGAGGAGAGCTGTTTATTGTTTGTTCGAACGCTTTAGTCTCTGAAACTAGACTGGTAGTTCGAAAAGTTATACTTACATAGTATGTTATTTAATATATGATGTACAAAATTTATTCACACTAGAAAACTACGGAGTTTGTACATTTTGATAGTTTAAAATTTTTTTTCTTTATTGAGTTTAAATTCTTTGAGGGTAGTTCAATGAATCTAAGACATAAATTTTGCCAGCTATCAAATTGACTTTCCTAAACATGTATGTACCTAGTAAAAATAATCGATACCTAGTGGAATTATCCGATTTTAATTAAAAATCGATATTGAATATTTATAATTTATTTACAATTTTTAGATATTTTTTTTAAATTATAATTTATGATTCTGTTTAGAATTGATATGTATTTTATACAATTTAAAAATATAGCAATACTACATAGAATGACCATTTATAATTTTAAAGCATAAAATCATATCAATCATACTATGTGTATATATATAATTTGAATGTGGTAGTAAATTAAGTAAAGATGAAAACTAGATCCGAAAATAGTTATTGCTTTAGTTGAAATAAATGACAAATAAAAATAAAACTTTTGATAGTTCTTTCCGAATACACGCCAAGAAATCGGTCCGATTAATTACATTATTTCAATATTTTCACCGATTATTCAGTTAGATTAGAGCCTTAATTAACAATTTCGAGACATTGTTTTTGTATTTAATTAATTTTACGAGCTTTATTTATTCTCGATTATTGTTCAGACAGTTTTTCTGACATTTTTGGATTCATTATTTGAAATCACTTTTACAAAATATATTATTACAAATCGGAAAGTGCTTATATTTCACTAAATATCATCACTTTTTAACTTAAAAATCTACACCGACAGTTTGTAGTGACCCTACTTTCTGTGCCAGCGGTCGCGGGTTAGAGTCCTGCTGGGGGCATTCATTTGTGTGGTGAGCATGAATGTTTGTACTTCAGTCATGGGTGTTTATATTTATAATATGTATGTATTTAAAGTTATATATGTGTAGTGTATCAACTATCTGGAATCCATAACACAAACCTCGTAGCTTACCATGGAACTATATGGTGTTGTGTGTTAATGTCCCAACATATTTACAAATTTATTTATAGATGAGTTTTAAGATTACTTTAGCCATTAAAGTTCTACATTTGACGAATTCGTTGACAGATTTTATAATAACATGAATTTCTTGTATTTCTGAAGGTTCAAAGTCGTAGGGAGTTTTCTCAATAGGATTACCTATAAAGTGGCGTAACTAGCCTTTTTGGAAGACATGCCAGTCCGTGACCATAAGCGACCATCTCTCGCTTGCGACGCAGTATCTTTCAAGTCTCTCGAGTAAACTATAAAGATTTTAAAAATGTTCCTAGATAGTTGCACAAAATGTTTATAATACTTATTTTTAACTTTGTTGGCGTTGAAGAGAAGATATTCTCGGAAAATTAGTTTTTGGTACCATTTTACCACTATGGCGTTTCGAGCGGCGCGGCGGTCGCTCAGTACGGAGTTTTCTTAGTTATGTGTGATGAAAATCGGTCCAAGAGGGTCGGGGTTTTTTGTTTAAATCTTAATTACGTTTCTTATAAACAATGCATGGTGCGTTGTTATCTTATCACAAGCTACGTTTACGACTTAATGATTCACAGTACCTACAGCAATAAGTTAGTAGTCTATATTTACACTTAAGAGGCCTATCACAAAATGTACTGAGTTCTATGGTATTGAGTTCGAGCGGCTGACGCATTGCTGTTTCTAGCACTTTCTGCAGTTGTAATTAATTCTATATAAAGTTTATAATAATTTAAAAAAAACTTAATAATATTAATGTTGTAAGGATATATTTACAGCTAATTCTGAACGTTTTTAATAGTTTTTAAGATTTTGTAATGGATTTTTTTTTGTAGAAATCCAATACATATTTTCTAATTCCGACGCCGCTATAAACCCAAGCACTATATACGAGATATTATTATATATTTTTCATTTCGTTTGCTTGAAAGAGTGCCATCGCGCATTTTATTAAAAAAATTCTTTTGAATTTTGGATTTATTTCGATTAATAATAAAAATTTGCGAAAGGCGTGGCCGCTATAAACTATATTAATAACTATTCTCCACCATACAATAAGTCAACATTGTCGAAGAGTTTCAGTTTCTCTGAATAAGAACGTCAAAGATGGGCATTAAATTGAACAATCACGGTCATAATGTATGGTCTTAACTAGCTATATCCCGCGACACCGCCCGCGTTGGAGTATTTAAACAACTTGAACTGAATTACAATATATTGTGGTACGAAACCTTAGAAAGACTAGTAAACAAACGTCTTATGTGCGAATGCAGGTTAAGATATATATTTCGTATTAAAATGTATTGTAATTTTTTATTTTACTTTTACTATACAGTGTTTTGATACTTCTAACTTGGTGTTGTAGTTAGAGCTAGATATTCTACGTAATAGCTAGGAATTCTACAAATATTTAGATATGTTGTTTAATATATAGTCAGTGCATTTTATTAATAATTAATAAGACAATCAAATAAATTTCAATAAGATTTTACTTGCCATTAAGATGAATACCTGGGCGACCAAGCTTCACTTGGTATTTTTTGAAAAGTATATAGATAAACTTAAAAAGCAAAATCTTACTAAAATACAAAATTTAATACACATTTTTAGAGCCGTTTCTGAGATACATGAAATAAATTTACAAGAATGGCTTGAAAATCGAGATAGCTTAAAAGCAACTAAAAGAGATTATGCCAGAAATACCTTTATTTAGAAAAAGATACAATATCTATTGTAATAAATAAATGATGGTGAAGTGATCAGCAAATTCCTAAAACAAAGTTAGTACGTTTTAAAAATAACAACTTTGTTTAGATGTAAAGTGGACCATTATTTAAAAAAAAACCTTTGGTTTATGAGCAATTTTAAGCATTCATATGACTAACATTTGAGAGTAGCAAATGAGTGTTTAATTAATAATATTTCCTTTCAACTTTAGTGTTGATCGCAACCTACATTTAGTGAAAAGCTCACAAAATCTTATAGCTTAATTAAAAAAATTGCAGCCCCAACTATACTATAATTTTATTTCTAACAAAAAAAAAAAAATTGCAGACCTTATTTTTTTAAATATACTAATTGGATTTGAGATGTGCATGCAAAAGCCACTACTAAAATATATAATTTAAAGAGAAACTCACTTATTTACAAAGAAGTGTCCACAGTAGAGCTGATAGACACTGGTGGCAGGTAGTGGCTTCGAATCTGATTATGGAGGCGGGCTACTTCACTGTCCATGCTTTCCATTTCACGTACTAGCTGAGTGAACTGCACTATACCTGAATTATAATGTTAAGTAAAAATAAATAAAATATTATTATGTCATATGGCATAATTGTTATCAATTATATTTCAAATTTTAATAATTTGATATTATTGGGTAATTTTTTAACAAGTTTTGTTATGAGTGTAATCATAAATAATAATATGAAGTTACTTCATGATAAAGGTTATACTCTTACCATTTTTTTACAAAAATAAAGAAAATAGCACCTCATACAAGCGCTAAGTCTACTTAAGAATATAATAAGATACTTTTAGAATATCAAGTTATAATAGAAAAACTTAGTAGGTACCTTCCCTAGAGCCACTAAATCCATGGCGTTTAATTGTTTCCATTTCAATCTGAACTACCATTGGAAAAACTAGTTGCATCATTTTTAACATTTCATTCCCAGCAGCCTCTTTAGCTTCATCTAACTTAGAAGAATAGTCTGGTGACTCGAGAGAATCTATCACTTCATTTAATATTGCTCTTATAGTATGAACTGTCACATTCGGAGGTGAGGCCATATTAAAGGCATTAGTACATACTGAAATATAAATAAAATGGTTAAAATGGCCATAAATTGAATGGAAATGCTAATATCCCTTCAATTTATGGCTAAATAGGAAATGAGTAATTGCTTCTCATATTTGAACAACCGTATATTATTTCATACTATACCATCTCATAATCATATCTATACACTTAAATGATATTTTGAAGGAATACTTTAATTAGGTTTTTGCAAAAAGCCTCGTAAATATGTACTTAACATTTCCGAATAGTGTTAACTCACCTTACATTTAAAATTGAACTTATATGTAATTATTATGTATAACTTTGTAAAGCAAAGATTTAATTTTAATATTTATTTCGTATTCTTTATTTTTATTTATCAAATATTATCGATACAAAATAATCGAGTTAAAAAGAACTAAAGGGAACTGTCTAAATTCGAATGCCAAATGCCAAGAACAACAATTGTCAATTAGAAAATAGACAGCAAATTATGGAGGGTGGAAGTAAGGAGGATCGTTTTGTTAGGGGGATTAGTTGAAAAAGTGTCCACTTATAAACAGCAAATAATAATTATTGTTCGAACACTCACAGAAATAGAGCGCTATTTGTGTTGTGTATGAAATGGAAATGATATGAATTTAGCAGTTATATACAGAGTGAAGTGTACAGGTCTTAAAAAATTAATATAGTTTACAAATAATAATAATTTAATTTATAAATAATTGGGGTACTTAAAAATACTGTATAATTTTATTCCACATTCATGTTTGTCTGCATATTATAATAATTTAAAAAAATGCGCTGTAACAAAACAGAATTTTTTCTTTCCTTTTTTAATTTAGTGTCCTACTCTAATAACAATAGAAAATCAATATATCAGTCAATGACTATAAAGTAACTCGTATTAAGTAATACTTTAAGCTGCATTGGATACTTTATAAAACAGTCAGGAAATTTCATTTTCACGGATAATAATTCTATCTAGCTATCTTTTTGTTTGTGTTGTTTAATGGACAGATTAGGAATTATTTTATAATTTGCTATATCTTTTCACAGTGTGTGAATTGAAATTTATAATCTATATGACTAATGACATGATGACAACCACCTGTCGGATCACGGATGTCTCATGTCTTCTGTCAATGCAACAACAAATTGCTCAAATCAAAACAAATAATTAATCTTTTATAATATTTGCTTATTTATACTTTTTGCAATAAATCTAATCGTAGAAATGTAATCTTATCGAATGATTATAAATCATCAATTTCTAATGTAATCAGTGTGTTTTTCAAGTATTTAGTATACCGTAATAGAAAATAGACAACTTCGCTTCCTCTACGAATGTGAAAATTATAAATAACTTTTAATAAAAAAAAAACAGTAAGTAGTACTAAACGTTTTAATTAATTATACGCTTATATTTTTATAATAATAACTATTAATAAAGCCGTAAGGCCTAATTAAAAGATATTACTCTAAACAAAGAGTTGAATTGGATTAATATTTTTTTTGAATGTGCTGAATGTGTTAAGGCTATCGACTATTCCTGCACTAAAAAAATAGAAGATAAAAAGTAATGATGGAGGATGAAACAGAAAGTATAGAGATGAGGCCAGCAAATGCGCGACGTACATTCACTCTTCGTAATAATGTTGCTCGACACGTTGTAAACTTTATGCCTTCTCGCCAAATGCCACACAGTAAGTCAACTAACGTATTTTTATGATAAGATAGTTTAAAATGATTTTTTTACTGTATCTACATCAACATTCATAATTGCAATAATTTTTTAAGAGAGGTTGTTTAATATTATGTATATTGTATAGTAATAGGCACTAGGTAATGGTAACTGCTGATTTGTAAAGGCTTTCTATAAATAAGAATGATAAGAATCCCTTGTTGAGTAATTCAATTTTTTTTTACATATTATAATAAATTTGTATTGCGGTTATGATTGAACAAGCTATTAGAACAAATTTTTTTTTACATAATTATCAAAAATAAAATTATTTTTATAAAAGTGTCTATGAAATTAAACTTAAACTTCTCTTTCAGACCAGATGTGTTTATTGTTAAAGCTTAAAATATATATTAGCCATGTCAAACTGGTTGTTTTGAAGAGATCTTCCCATAGTGTTTTTTACCATCTTATAAATAAAAATATAAATATTTGATCACTAATATCCTTTGGCTGCATTGTTGTTATTGGTACTTGGATACGTGAGTTATATTTTTGATAAGGAGAGGTGATAGGGAATATAATTATATAAAAGTTATTTAGAGGAAATGAAGAAGACAGAAGTTATGAATACTTTAAGTTACAACATTCAAATCTGCCGTTGAATTTAAAAATAATTATATATAGAATGCTAATGGTAGTAGTTGTCAGGGTTAAAAATAGAAAAAAGACCTAACAAATGCACTAGACTAGTCTACTCTCCTACCAATTCGATTCAAAACTAGACAAAAGTTTGAAAAATCATAAATAAATAATATACTACACAATAACAAAATAAAAAAAAGTATAACAATGAGAAATTTTCAAGACTGTTCTAGAAGTCAGGTTTCAGTATCACTATATTTTTTATACACTATATTTTCTATACAAATATTTAAAACAAAGTTTAAATAAACATTGTTTCTACGTTATTGATACATAAACAAGAAACATTAATTGTTATAAAAGTAACAATTCATACAGGTTAGTTTTTCATTTGTAATCACTTCTATACAGGAATGGTAGAACTTATAACATAATTACTTCATAACTTTTGCTATTTTCATATTCTCAAAATATTTTTGTATAGGTACTTAGACTCGCCATCACCATCCCTATTAAAAATAATTTTCACTCCTCCAGAGGCCCCATATTCATCTATAATGTTACAAATGGGAAAGTGAACTTTAAACTAGACACTTAACCTCGTTTTGCTTGGATGCATCCCTAGGTACGTTTTATATATAAAAATAGGTGTTGTGAGCATATCTTAGGAGATAGACTTTCTGTAGGCTTTTTAAGACCTACAATTTTCTAGTACATTTTTTTGATGTACAATATGTATCTGTTAAGGTTTAATCAGCAGTACTTGTTAGCCATGTAAATTTCTAATGATGAGTCGTTAGAACCAGTTATTATATTTTCCCATAGGAATGTTAAAACTTATGTGAAAACTCTCTGCAGTGAAAACACTACAAAATTTAGTTAAAAATCGTTCAGTACTTTTTGCGTAAACGCGCACAGACATGCAGACAAATAGACAAAAAAATCTATATCTATTATCTTGGGGTCTATTTTCTGTACACAATATGTAACAGTTACCCGACTGTGGTGAAGCCCAAAGGAGGGTTATTAAAAAATATATCATGTACAGATTTCGCTTTTTTACTATTATAATATATTTTTTAAAAGTACGTAGCTACGTCCTTAAAGAATATTTATCAAGCAAAAGGAAAAAGTATCAATATTTTTCTAAGTCATATATAATATGTATGTATTGCATAGTGTATGCTACTACTAGATTTATTAGTGTTATTAAATGACTTTAACGAGCTCTAATTAAGTTAGAAACTTCGCAAGAACTTATTAGTATGAATCAGATCTGTATGCTGTTCGTTCTCTCTTGTCATTCGCAGTCATACCGTTCTGAATGAAGTACAATTAGTTATTTTTTAATGTTAATTTATCATTTTTCACCGAGTATTCATTTTATAATAGCAAATTGTTATTTTTTTATCTTTTATAATAAAAATAGAATAACTTTCACTGGATGTTTATTAATTATATCAAATAACTACATAGTTTAATTAAGAAATGTACAGTATTTTTGGTTATTGAAATTTGTTTGTAGAAAAATGAATCCTTTCGACATAGATAATGGAGTGGAAAAATTGATAGGTAAATAATTGGCATTTTTACTATTTAATTTTTAAAATATAATACACGTTACGACATTTTTATCACCAAATAAAAGTTAGTCATGTCTAAATGTATATACTACATTACAAATTAACATTGCAATTGTTTCATTGAAGTAATTAAATTGTTTCATTTATATATTAGTTCATGTGTGGTTGTTTGTACATATGGTTTTACATTTTTAATGAACTATGGGCTATGGCATAGCCTTCTAGGTCTGAGTATTTTGTGAAAAGATAGTCAGACCTCGGACAAGATTCTTATCTTTACGCCGAAGGACGTAAGTTTGAGTCCCGCGCGGGACAACTATATACATATATCGGCGACATATGTAAATATGAGTGTTTCCAATTGTTGTGTATGTTTTATGTAAAAAAGGAAAGCCGTTTAGTTTGCATTGTGCTGCACTATTGACTTTTTATGTTGTCCACTTTAGATACTCTAAGACTTCGTCGAGTGAACAGTGAACAAAATGCCCTACTGCAAGCGTCCATGTCGGACGCGCCAGACGCGGTCGAAAAGCAGGCGGACATCATCGTGCGGGAGATGGAACAAAACCACCAGCTCATGGAGGACAACCCTCTTTCGGAAGAATTACGGAGGTGAGTGCAGCAGAATGACTACTTACAGGTGTCTTTGGCCATTGCTTTATTTCAAACCGTTAAAGCAACAAGCAACTCGAGAGCCTGTATTTTTCCGACGTAAATTTTATATTATCGATACATATAATAAAATTCTAACCGAGTTGAATCTCTACATTAAATATTTTTTGGAAAATCTTATTGAAGTAGTCATTATTATCGATACATAGGCCGAATCTATACTTTTTACAATTTTTGTCTGTCTGTCTGAGATCGCGTCACTAGAAAACCACTGGACAAATTTTGATGAAATGGTATGATGATAGCTACTGCGGGAAAATTTCTTATATCTGAGAAATATATACTAAACGTTCCCCCCTACATACAAAGTTACAAATTTTACCTCTTTAAAATACGAGTATTATTAAGTGTAAATAATTATATTAGCTATATACTAAGGGCATAATAACTTTTCTAGGGAAGCCTTACGAGATCTACCTCAGGGCTTGACCATGAAAAGAAACGTCCGCGCCAAACTGTCGGCATCAGTCAGTCTGCGATCCAACCGACGACCTATATCTATGTATAGGAGATTGAAATATACGTTTAGTTTTACTTGGAAAAGGGTAAGATATTATAATTATTTATGTTTAAGATTATTGTATAGTAGATAGTCTAGCTGGTACGTCCAACTATAGTGGATGTGGATGTGGAGTCCCGCATAATGAAAATGTTATTCCTGGTCATAAAAATTATGTTCTAACAAAGTTTAGTTGTACACCAGAACTAGATAACAAGCCAATTACTTTTGAAAATGACTATTGATATCGTGTGAAACTTAGTTATATCCGAGTGGATTGAACAAGGGATTCCGTGTTTACTGTCTACCTTGCTAAGAGGGTGCGGATAATAATTTCTATTTCAGTAAGATTTTCCAAAAAATATTTAATGTACAGATTCGGCTTAGTTACAATTTTATTATATGTATAGATAATATGTACTTCTGTCATAACTACAATATAAATTAGCCTGTCGCTGTTAAATCGGAAAAAAAAAACCTTTTTTTCAGCTCTTTCGTATATAAATATTACCTAAAACGTCACAACACGTTCCTCTATTTCTGCATTAAAAACAGACAAACTGACAAAAATGTAGAGAAATTCTTGAATAATTACAGTCACGAGACCGTTTCCGCGATTTCTTCTTCTCCATTGATCTGTGGTACGAAGCGATCAGAAACATCGAGGGTAACCTCGGCTCGGCCGTGGGCTCCTACTTCCACCTCCTGAGATGGCTGTTCGGCATCAACCTGATGCTGTCCATCCTCATCATCTGCTTCGTGATGGTGCCACAGGCGTTGTATGACAATAGCACGAATTATACTACGAGTTTGAAGCCTTTGGACTTTATCAGTGGGATGGTGAGTGATTTAGAGTTATTGTTTAAAAATAATTCATCTGACTCTCTTTAAATTAAAATGCTTGTATTTAAGTCATTTAATTTCGTAAACAAATAGAAATACTAACTATTATATTAAATTTGGCTCAACACCGCTTAGTTTATAGGTTATACAATTTCTTATCTTAAATTAATTTTAATCATATAAGTTGTACATTTTTTTGTAATCGCCTCTTAAAAACCTGTATTTTGATACCCGACTCGATTGACTCAAACGAAAATAAATTTTTCAAGACACAAATTGGCTCCTAGGATTCGACATTTTGACTTTTAGCGTTATCTATTTGTATATCTCTATGAAACTTGCGTTATCAAGACGACTCTAACGACGTATGAATCATCAAAATCGGTTAAGCCGTTTAGTAATTACGAGGGAACATAGGGTCGGACATACATACATACGTACAAGTCAAACATATAACCCTCCTTTGGGCTTCGCCGTCATCGGGTACAACGTGTTAAGTTAAAAAATTTGCAAAATTTTTTTTTTAATATGATTGTGGCGCCAACTTTGATATCCGTGATACATCCTGTTTCGATTTTATTTTTTCATTTTTTTTATGTTTAGGGTGGATTGGAGGATTCACTATTATTCTATGGACACTACCACAACGGTTCAGTGAGCGATGGTCCACTGCAATACGATATGGCATTCGCGTACTTTTATACGATGGTGTGTCTGTACTTGGTGTTCTTCGCCGTGCTTTGCTATAGGTGAGTTTCATTCCAACTTCAAAACAACAACATCTCCAAACATTCATATGAATAATATTAACACAATATAATAATGAACTATATAATAATACTTTCTTAGATTTGCGCGAATATTTGACATTTTAAATAAAACTATCTTTTCGAATTTTTTCGCGGATTTATTTTGGTTTTTGTTTCCCGATCGAACCAAACACCAAAATAAATCCGCGAAAAAATCCGAAAAGATAATTATTAAAGATAGTTTTATTTAAAACTATATAATAAGTTATCGCTTTTGATTTTATCGAAAATGCCGCCGAATGCAAAGGTTGTCTAAAATACAAATTGGCATGGCGAACGGTTTCAAAGTTAAAGCACGGTAGAGCTATCTCGTGGGTAGTAACAATTATACTAGTTATCTCTAAAGTTTTCGTTTCTGTTGAGATAACATCGCGGGCGATCCGGCTCGAAGGACCATAAAGTGCGTTCGATAGTTCAGGGTTAGAAAGAAACTGCTGGACTGTGTATAAAAGACTACTCGTCTGGCTCAGTTTGTAGTGACATTACTTGCTGTGCCAGTGGTCGCGGGTTTGACTCCCGCTGGGGACATTCATTTTGTGATGAGCACGAATGTTTGTACTCCAGTCATGGGTATTTATATTTATAATACGTATGTATTTAAAAGTTATATATGTGTAGTGTATCAACTATCTGATATCCATAACAAAGGTCTCGCAGCTTACCATGGAACTAGATGGTGCTATGTATTAATGTCTCAACATACTACTAGGGTAATTTGAAACTGAGCCAAATGTGTCATTATATATTTTGATTTGATTTGTGATTGCACGTCCATATGCAGGACGGCGTACTCGTACCGGCGCAACTTCATCGAGCCGGCGGGCAGCGGGGAGGTGCGCCAGCTGCTGGCCACCAAGCTGTTCTGCGGCTGGGACTTCGGCGTGGCGAGTGCGCGCGCCGCGGGGCTGGCGGCGAGGGGGCTCTACTACGAGTTTAAGGTGATGGCGGAATATGTTTAAATAGTTAATGTGTTGGCCATGGAAGTACGGCTAGACCTAGACCCTTTGATGTTTTAAATAAATCTATCTTTTCGGATTTTTTCGTGGATTTATTTTGATTTTTAGTTCCCGACGTTTCGAATGTTTTACAGTAATTGTGGACTCGGAATATATACAGGTGTTACAAACAGTGCCAACCCACAAAATTACAAAATGATTTCAAAAATACAAAAGTGGCAGCAAAGTACCTTATAATATTTGTTAATTTTAATTTTAAGCATTTTACATAATTCCAATAAGTTTACATAATATGGAAACAGAAAATGTAGTTTTATCTAATACTAGCGACTCACTCACCCCCGCTTCGCTCGGGCTCGTCCCTAAGTTACTTCCCCATACAAACTTTCATCCCCATTTTTTTAACCCTTTAAAGGATGATTTCCGAGATAAAAACTATTCTACGTTCTTATCAGGGCCTCAAACTATCTTCCTATCTTTCTCTAAATGGGTTCGGTGGTTTCGGAACTTTATTAGTACAAACAAACAAACAAAAAACTTTTTCCTCGTTATAATATTAGTATTGATAAAAATATATATAAAAAAATATTTCTCCATAAACCAGGAACTGCTAAACGAACAAAACCGTAAGCAAGTGGCGATGACTTTCTGGGTTGCGGTGGGGCGCCGCGCCGCCAACACGCTGGTGTGGGCGGCGGCGCTGGCGCTGGTGGCGGGCGCGCAGTACGCGCTGTGGCGGGTGCTGGGCGCGGCGCGCGGCGGCGACGCGCTGCGCCGCCTGAGCGTGTCCGCGGCCGTCACGGCCGTCGTGTGTGTTTGTCCGCTGCTGCTTAATCTTATTGTTAAGTGAGTCGCTTATTTTTTATTATTTTTTTAGGACGATGTCTTCATGTATTTAATCCCTCCACTACCGCGGACACGCCGGCGTGTCAGTTAACAATAGATTTTAATTATTTTTTTTTAAATTTACCTGGACGTGTTAATGTGATATTTTATACTAGCTAATTACGTTTTAACATTTTTGTATAGATTTGTCAGAGATGAAATATTTTTCCGCAGTAAATAGTATCCTATATGTTGTACCAACTATAACCAACTATCTTCGTAACAAAATATCATAAAAAATTGTCCAGTGCTTTTCTCGTGATTTGGTTACAGACAGGCAGACATAAATCCCCAAAACTGTATGTATCGATAATAATAACTATTTCATTAAGATTTTCACAATAAATATTTAATGTACAAATTCCACTCAGAATTTTATTATATTATCGTATAGATTGTACGTCTATTATAATGAGCAAGTTAATAATTATTTGGTTTTTTTTATTCGATTTGTTGCTTGTCTTTTTTGGAACTAAGCAAAGCAAATTTATATTGTGTGTATTGTCAGATTTTTAAAAAACCTAACATCAGTGTCGGTCATACACAAATATGTACGTGTATGTACACCTTAATCGTTTTTATTTGGGTTTATTTTATCCAGATTAAATAAGTTGCTTCGCTTATATGGTATATCGATTAAAAGTAGGTAGCCTATGTGCCAATCCAAGATGTCAGCCATCTCCATTTTGAAGTAACAAAATTATAAACTAGCAAACTTTAAAATTTACTATATTATTATGATTATTTTGCGTAATAAACATATTGGTATATGTATATATATATTGATTATTCATAAATATATTCATATATTATATTTATGCCAGGCTGGAGTTCTATGATGCACGCACAGCGTTTTACGTAACTGTTGCGAGGACTTGGCTCCTGGACACCGGCACTCTCGTGCTCCTGCTGTTCTACTGGGTGAACTCTGAAGAGACGGTATGTTGCTTATTACTAATATTATTATAAACCAGCAACTAACCCCAACTTCGCTTAGGTTCGTTCTTACTGAAAAACAAACCTATCCCACGGGAACCGTACATTTTTCCGAGACACATTATTCCAGATTATAATCTATCTCAGTGGCAAATTTTATCCAAATTCCTTCAGTCGTTCGTGATTGAGTCAACAAACATCCATCCAAACATCTAAACTTTCGCTCATCATCAAATCATTTATAATATTAGTAATAATAATAGGATGTATGTATAATAAGGATTTATCGCGATTGAAATATTTTTTATTAAGGGTTAGTATACTAAAAATATGAAAGCAAATCTTGGAACTCGATTTGATAGTTTAAAAACATATATCGGCATCCGATTGCACTCAGCATATATTTAATAATAACACAGTACAATAATTGGTTTTTTGTTTTTCATTTTTTTTTTTAAATCATGTTTGTTTGTTGTCCAGTGTTGGGAAACACGCGTGGGTCAGGAAGTGTATCGCCTGGTGGTGCTGGATGCTTTCATCTCCCTATTGCTGTTGCCTGCTATTGAGTTTGCCAGAGCACTGATGTTTAAGTAAGTGTTGTATATTTATATAAAAAATGCATTCTATAGTATTATTATAAAGTAATATTAATGGTTTGATAAAAAAATTATATAATAGAATTTATTTTTACTTTATTCAAAAACGAAAGAGAAAAATGCCATTCAGTCCTTTTTAACGTTCCACTGCTGGGCGCGGGCCTTCCTTCTAAGCATTGAAATGATTGCTACTTTAAAATCATTATCATATGATAAAATTACGTATATTTTTCACGTGATTTCACCTGCTACTTTTCACAGGCAATGATTTTTTATTTCGACGGTCTGGTGTCACACTTTATATTATTTGCTATTAAAATGAAGTATTAGTAGGGGAGCCCAAGAGGGGATTTTCTGTAGTTACTCGAGCGCGGCAGATTAACATAAAAGAGGTTACCTTGCACTCTATTGAGTACTTTCAGCATAATATAAGTCTTCTATATAAAGGGGCGCGTCTAGGGAAGCCGATTAAAATATTTAAAAAATGTTTTGATAAGGTAGAAATACTTGAAACCGTTAGATTAAGGTGTGGTAGGCTAGTCACATCCTGAAAAGTGTCCAATTCAATAATCTGCCGATTTGCACAAGCCGAAGAGGCAAAAATCGACTATAAAGTTTATGGTGATTTGTAGCAGTCACTGTGAATTTAAGTAGCAGGTGTGACGTATGATAACGCATTTCATGTGATTTTTCACTTGCTACTCGTGAAATGGTCCATGCCTACTTCCTTCAATACGAGGGGATCAGGGCATAGTCCACCACGCTGGACGAGTGCGGGCTGACTGAGCATTTCTTACGAAAACTTGCAAGATTCTTTCAAACTTTTATATATGTGTAGTGTATCAACTACCCGGTATCCATAACACAAGCCTCGTAGCTTACCATGGAACTAGATGGTGCTGTGTGTTAATGTATTTGTGTATATATCCAGGATGAAGTGGGTGGGGTCTGCGCCGGAGTTCAGCCTGGTGCGGGACTCGCTGACGCTGCTGTACAACCAGTCGTGCCTGTGGGCGGCGCTGGCCTTCGCGCCGGCGCTGGCGCCCGCGCTCGCCGCCAAGTGCCTGCTGCTGTTCTACGTCAAGCGCGCCACCGCGCTCGCCGCCTGCCAGACTGCGAGGAAGGTGCGTGCCCTTCGTATGCCCTTTCTATAAACACTTCCTTCGTTAAAAGATTGTATTAGACTGTGCTCGCTGTCTGTCAGACTGCGAGGAAGATATGTAACTCTTCCTCTAACACACAAATAAACTACAAATGTTATTTTAAAAGAGCAACTTTTGAGTTTCTCTTGGGATATTCTCAGCGAAACTGCCTTCCGAGCCGGTGATGGATTCCTCGCGGACTTACATACTGATGTAGGATTTAAATTTTTAAAATATGAAGTGTGACGATTAGTGAAGTATTGGTCGTTTGAACAAATATATACTAAGGCAAATATATGCCTATCTTTGTTGAACGACTGTATGGAATAATAGACTGTGCCTGTGATTATATATTTTAATTTTTATGTGAAATAACTTTGTTTCATTATAAAGAATATATTTATATGTTTGTGAGCAGGTGTGGCGCGCGGCGCAGACGCAGACGGTCCTCTACATGTTTGTGACTCTGTCTCTCTTCACCACGCTGTTTGCTCTCGGCTCCTTGTTTTTGGGGTGAGATAATTGTATAATATACGTTGTAGATGTAGTAAGTTTGAACATTGGTGAATTTAATTTGAAGGAAATTCGGAAAAGTAGAAAGTGTCTCCTAAAATCTGCTGAAAGACTATTTTAGATGTCCTATTCTTATGTGTGTTTTATTGCTATGTGTTTTGTTTCAAACTATGTTCTTACCAAATTTCATCTAAATCGGTTCAGTATATCTAGTGACTACCCTCTACAACGTCACAAACTCACAAAGTTTACCTCGTTATAATATTAGTATAGATGAATAAATAAATACTATAACTACATGCTACTACATAACTATACTATATACATAAATAAATAACTAGATAGATATAGTAAAGCATCCTGTTGTGTGGTCAGGTCGTCCCCGGCGTGCGGGCCGCTGCGGCGCTTCCCGCGCGTGTTCGAGGTGGTGAGCGAGGGCCTGCTGCGCCTGTCGCAGCGCGCCGCCCTGCGCGCCGCGCTCGCCTTCGCCACGCGCCCGGGGCCTATTGCCTTCGTTATGTTGGCGTTGTGGTTAGTGCCATTGGATTGTATTGTATTCAGCCCTTTTTTAACGTCCCACCGCTGGGCACGGGCCTCCCTTCAATACGAGGTGGATCAGACCATCCGTCACGCTGGACAAGTGGGGGCGGAATGAGTATGTCTTTCGAAAACTTGCTAGGTTCTCTCACACATGCTGGTGTCCTCACGATGTTTTCCTTCACCGTAAGACATGTGGTAATCATGCCAGAAATGAATAGCACATGAAAATATCAGAGGTGCGAGACCCGGGATTTGACCCGCTTCACTCGGTTTCCCAAACGATCGCGTTACCACTGGGCTACCACTGCCATGCCAAGGAAAGCCTAACATGACATTAATTATTCAACACATATTGCTAAAAATATATAATTTCTATGCTTGGGATATTCCTTTTATTTTTTTAAATAAAATCATGCCCAATGGCTGCCGGATAAAGATTGGTTCTCTTTTTAGTACTAAGATAACAAAAATTTCAATTGATATCTACACAAAACGTTTTTTGTCTAAACGGAATCAAACCTTTAACTCTGCCATAGTGGTCACGAGGCGTAATTTAGATATTTTTCATTATTAAAAATATAGTAAACTCCAAATAATATGATCCGAGCGAAAACAAATAAACTATTTAATTGAAAAGATGAGTCTCCGATAAATATCTTTAAAGTATCAAACAAATTATATATAAAAATGTGTGTTAGCAGAGCGTGGTTTCGATCCACGGACCTCTGGGTTATGGGCCCAGCACGCTTCCACTGCGCCACTCTGCTCCTTACTGATGAGACGAAATAGCGGCATATGTTCTCTTATCTTGTTTAATAAGTTAAGTGGCGTTATGTCGACCGATTTCACAGAAAATACTCAATTTGAGTGAGTGTATTTTACATAAAAAATTTTTTTTCCGAATTTGGACTTTTTATTTGTGGTTTCGACGGTTTCGAATATTTTTCAGCGCACATGGTCACTAAAGAAACTCATGTTGTAATAGAAATAAAACCGCCACTTAAATTCGAAACAATAGCTATAATCTAAAATGTCAATATTTGCCCAAATCTAAGTATCACTACTAGTATAGTATTATATGATCTGTGGTATCACAATCGATGATGATATATAATGTATATATATATATATATATATATATATATATATAATGTCGGATTTGTTATAACACTTATAACTTTATTTAAAATATCAAATATTCGCGTAAATATAAGAAAGTATTATAAAAAAAAGGTATTAAAAAAAAAAAAAATGTTTACAGCGTGGCGGTATACACGATGCGCGCTCGGTCCATGGCGCAGCGCTCCATCGTGGGGATGCTGCGGCACATGCTGCGGCTGCAGGCGAAGGACAAGGATTTCCTTCTGTCCGCTATCGAGAAAGTGTCCAATGGAGGTGAGACTGTGCTAATTCTATCCTTATTTTTCCAACATTTTTTTTATATTTTCACTATCCCGTACATTTTAGGGCTAGAGTTAATTTTTTTATTTCTTTGAATTTTTATTTGTTTAAGAAATGTCATCGATCAAAAACTTACTATATAGATACACAATAGGCGACAAAAAATATCCTCACCGAATTAGCGCTCATTTGAACATTTAAGCGTTGCATTTTAGATTCAATTTACATTGTTGTATATTTATTTCAACTAAAACAATTACGTAAACACAATTGGTGACAGTTTTAAGAAAACTTTTGAATGGGTTTGTGTATATAGTACTTTTTTGATCGATGGGAAATGTCGAACATTTTCTTTGTATTTAAGACAGTTAAATTATATTGATAGATTAAGAGGCCCTTATTTATACCGCCGTACGGTTGAATTTGTATACTATTTTGTTTTATTTGAATCTGTAATTAAACTCTGTTTGATCGTCTGTTAATCGTATATATTAATAACAGTGAGATAAGTATGTTAATTCAGACAATTAATTAAATAATTTTACTAGAATTGGTAAGTAAATAAATATGAATTAAACTTAATTTAAAAGTAGTTAAGCTCGATAGGACTTTAGCGTAGTAATGTAGTCGATAGAAAAGATAGATAGAGCTTTTTGGAATTCAATAAAATATATATTTTTTTGTAATATAATTTATTAATTTAATCTAACCTATAAACTAATTTTGTAAATAAAATAATAAATGTATTAATAAAATAATTTCAGAATGGCTGTATAGTCCCAAACCGGAGAACGAAGGACCTGAAAGTCATACATGGAAGTATGTACAAGAAGTAAGAAAACCTTCGAACGCCGGCTACCACTTCGACGCGTCTAGACTTAGCCATTCCTTCTTAGACCGGCCTAGGTCTTACATAAATGAGAATAGACCTTCCTCGTATGGAGATCGGCAGAAGACTAACGAAGATGGCGACACGGATAGTTCGTTTAGTTGGCAAGGCTCTAGTAGCTATTTGAATCGAAATGACGTGGAAGGTAAATGATATTATATTATGGTTGTGTATACTGTTGTGTTTTTAGTAAAGCTAAGGTAATTATTGTGAATAGAGAAAGAGAGAGAGAGAGAGAGAATGAGTTAGGTAGTACTTCTTAGGTGGTGATAAATACGTTTTGGTTCTAGATCTAAAATTTAAAAAAAATAAATAATAATTTAAAAAATGGAATAACCGAATCTACTTTTTTTAATATAAGGAATATTTTAATATGATCACTTTTCAAAATAATAAATTATTAAAAAATGGAATACGATATTGTCAGGTTATATTTTTTATTATAAAAATAACTTTTTAATAAGTAATATAGTATTCTTAATTTTGATTTAAGATTTTATGATTTTACTAAGTAATGTGTAAAAAATACGTACAAATTACATAGAAAATACAACTATTTTGATGGTGATGCAGAATTTTTCCTTTTGTTGCATAATGAAAAATTAATGTTTACGACAGTCATTATATTTGATGTTGGGTTTATTCAGTGCTCTAATTTGAGAACTTTTTCTCACTTTCTCACTCTTTCTTCCTTTCTCTTTCTAAACAGAGTTAATTATATTTTCAATATTATTTGTCAATATCAAAAATGCCAAAGTGCCAAATTTTTTTATGATAATTTGTACATTTTTTATATTTCAATGCACAACTATACATTTGTACTGTAGGTTAGTTTCGTATTTAGAACATTTAATACATATCTAAAGGTATATCTATATACAATATTATAAAAGAGGATAATTGTAACAAACAAAAATGAATAAGAAATTATATTTGTGTATTTTGTTTAAAATCAAAGGATTTTTATGTAAATTGCAGAATAAAATTGTTAAATTATGAGCTAATATTTAATATTATATATGTACAGATAGAATTCTAAAAATATGTGATAAATATTTTAATAATAATGAAAAATACTCTGCCATTACTATTTGAGTTTATCGAAATCATTTTAGAAATATATATGTATATTTAATAAGATATGCAATAAACAAATAAAATGTGATTGATAAAATTGTGATGGTGTCGGAGACAAAACATTTTGATTTTTATAATATTGATTTTCTTTCTTAAAATATTCATTATTTATTTATTTCAAATATATGTTTCAGTGTATCTAATTAAATGTAAAAATTGTAGACACTGATTCCAACTTTTCCAGTTATTTAATCATAGATTAAGGATATTTTTATATGTAAGTAACAAAAATAATATTTAAATTATTAGAGAAATTATGTTGTCTTCCAGTAAAAACTTTTTGCATAATAAAAACTGTTGTATTTTGACTTATTATACTTTTGAAGTCTTTGTATATTCTGTGCCAAAAATAGGTCAATGAAAAATAATATGACTAGTGATGAGTAATTTCAAAATTAAATAATTTTAGGATAAAAGGAGAAAAATATTTAAGATTGAATATGTATTGTAATTTTATGAGTAGAAAAAAAAATGTACCTATAAAAAATAACGATGATTGATATATAAAACTATATATGCACAGTTCTTAACAAATGTCTCTTCAAAAGTGGCATCGAAATGTGACGTTAAGTCAAACTAAAGAATAAAAATCGTAAGTTATGTTTGTCTAAACACAAATTCGAACTTACGCACACTACATAAAGCTATTTTTTAAACAAAGCAACTGCGTGTTAAGTCGTTTTTAAATTGGTATTCCGAAAAGAAATGGCCTTCGAGGGTCAAGTAGAATAAAATCTACATAGAGAGAGTACTATCATTATCTAAGAAAAAATGTGATTTGATAATATTGACGTAAAAATTCTTGTTTTTATTAAACTTATAATCATTATTGAATATTTTATTTCTTTTAAAGGTAAAATTGAAACTCAATCGTGCATTTATGCCTTCCAAATAAAACATTAAGTAAAATTATTCTTTATAAATTAAAAACGCTTTTGTGTATAAAAATTGTGTATTTTGGGTTTTAGTATATCATTGGTTAATATATTAACAACAAAAATCATTGTTGAAAATTGAAGATTTTAGATCCACATTTAAATGATTAAACGAATATTAAATCAAATTAAAAATCTTATTATTAAAAAGAAGCTATTTCTTACTCTGGCCTGCCATTTTTAAATATTTTTTTTAAATTCTTCGTACGTACCGTCAGTATTATACATTATTTGTGATTTTTTTTATTATTCAATGTATTAATTTATTATTCAAAATATGTACTTTATCAATACATTTATAATTTGTATTGATAAAGTACATATTTTGAATTGTAACTTTTTCATGACAATAAAATTTGCTAATAAAATTTGTGTTATAAAACAAAAACTGGCGTTTTATGTTATTTCCCCAAAAATCCTCTTTAGTAATAGATAAAATAGTACTTTACTGTACATAAAATACTTTAAACAGTTAACTATAAATGCAGGGTCATACTAGGATTTTTGAAGTGAAACTTCTTTAGAATCGTTGTGATTTGAAACTCGATGAAACAAAAATGCGACACTAAAAAGAGAAAAATAAATAAATTTATAGGATTAAGCCGGCGAGAGAATGAAATAGAATACGTTGCCATGGTAACCGTTGTTATTGTCTGACAAATATATAATATTATATTCTTTCCGTATATGATATTCTATAAATATATGATTGTAATATGCCTAATATGCCTTATTTAATTATTGAATTGTTTTAATTTAATTGCGATATTTGCCAAAGAAGTTTTGCTTCAACCGCGCGTAAACGTTTTATGTAATCATTTTTGTGGTATTTTTTGGATAGAGGATACTTCGATCCATATACCAGAATCATTTTACGCCAATTTTTAAATAAAATCAGAATGACGGCGTTTAGTATTGTAAAAAACAGATTATTTCCATCACACAAATCACACGAAAAAAAAGTATAAATTGGTAAAGGTGAAATTTATTAAAAAAACCATCAATCATATATAAAAAAAATAATAATAATTTAATCTTTGCAACAAATTCACTTTAGTATAAAGTAATGGTTACAAATAAAAATTAATTCATTATATTTTAAAATTAAAATTAACCGCTTACCAACAGGCGGGCCGCATGCCTGATTGCCACCGTCGTGGTATAAAAAAAAATATTTTTTTGTCAATACTGGTCATTAGTGCGTGAAAATAAAATCAGCGTTACTATGGCAACGCGTCACCTGTTGTCATGTTATTGAATGGAAATGAAACAGTCGAGTGAAATTAATTATTTTTATCAGAATGTATAGATAATTAAGTATATTTTGATTGATTTTCTTTAAAAGGTAAGGAAAGATAATTATAATTATTATAATCTGTGTTATTGTTAAAATTTGCTTTTTTTTCATTTGTAAAAATGAAACATATTAAGGTGTTAAATTATCTCGAAAACACATAACTACCTGTTTTTTAGTTAAAGCGTTATATATTTTAAAACATAGTTTAAATTTTTTTAAATAAATCCCTATTTAAATCATAATAGAACCTAAAATCTATACATATAATAAAATTCTAAGTATGTCGAATCTGTACATTAGTATTTTTACATAAGTATATTTATACATACATAAGTATTATAATACTTTCTTAGATTTACGCGAATACTTGACATTTTAAATAAAACTATCTTTTCGGATTTTTTCGCGAATTTTGGTTCCCGACGTTTCATAAATATTTTTTGGAAAATCTTTTTGAAATAGGCATTATTATCGATACGAGGCGAATATATAGTTTTTAGATTTGTCTGTTTCTCTGACCGCATCACGAAAAACCACTGGACAGATTTTGATGAAATTTGGTATGATGATAGCTATCTGGTATATATATAGGATAGGATAGGTTATCCGGGTCAACATGTAGGATAATTTTTACTGCGGGAAAATATCTCATCTCTGAGAAATCTATACTAAACTTTAAAACGTAACTAAAGACGAACCGGAGCGGGGCGAGGGTGAGTCGCTAGTTAATTATAAACCTAAGAGCCTAAGAGTACATCAACATCTTTTTAAGTATAAAATGTCAAGTGGAGATCGCAAGCGGCCCGCGCCATCTACTTCAAATAGCGGATCGAGCTCTAGAGCAAAATGTCCTTCGAGATTTATTCTTCCTGCGAGAAAGCAGCCAAGTTTACCTTGGATGCCACGCGCCGGATACGACCACGAATTGGGACAGGACAGTCAGTTGTTACGAGCTGCTAAGAATTACTATCCTGAAGGTACGTTTTATATACTTAATCACATCTACATCAAAATTATAAATAAGTAAAGTTTGTCAGTTTGGATATAGGAGGTAACTCTAAAACTACTGATCCAATGTCAAAAAAAATTTAATCAATATTTCGATCAGGATAGCCACTATACTATTTCGTTGAAAGATAAATCAGAGTTGACTAGAACTAGAACGCCAGTTAGCAATATAAGTTGCTTATATGATGTCTATATAACAATTGAAGAACTTAGAATTGTAGTGTTTGCAATAAGGATAACCTTTGGAAGAACGTAATTTCATTTATTTAAAACATCGCCTGAACAGATAAGATCTGTTTAAGAATTGAATTGGATATTTTAAGGTGAGGGTGAGGGTAGCTGCAGTGAATTTCCGCCCCTCATGCAAGCGAAATCATGGACTAGAGGCGTTCCGTATAGAGACAGTGTCGACCATGCGAAACCTGTTGATTCTACTGGTGAATACTATTTATTTTACTTTATAAAAAAAACTGTTATGAGGTCTATTTACCTGCGTGTGTGTTACTATACTTATCTATGGACCGGCTAAACGATTTTTAATGTGACTTTTACTGGTAGATAGAACATTTATATGAAAGTGATAAAGGGTATTTGTACCTTTGAATCGAGCTGCTTTGGAGAAATGGTCTATGGTATATTGTATTATATAGTATATTATATATTCTTTTTTAATATAAATGTGTATTGGGAATCAAACATACACTATTTTTCATCAAAAAAATGTGTTACTTAAATATGCACATATTGCTGGTCACTAGCAAAATATAATAAAAAAGTGAGTGTCTGATAATTATGTAAATTTTAAGGTAATTGTTATACGAGACGCACAAAGACAATGAGAACGATAAATATGCCTCCAAAACGACGTTCCCCGCCACAACTGTATGGACCAATAGGACCGAATGGTGAATTACAATTTCCACCCTTGAAATCTTGGGCGGAGAGAGAGAAGGAGAAGTTGGAGGCATTGAAGAAAGAAAAAGAGAAAAATAAACTGCCTAAAGGTATAATAATAATAATTATTATTATTATAGATTTGATATAATTAAATCGCTGATTATTATTTATATAGAGTAATTGATTACGTTATTTACAAATAAATTAAGTGTTTAAATATTTATTATTGAATAGTTGATAATTTATTTAGTTTCCTTTATTACAGGTTTGGTATTGCTGGAAGATTTGGTATCTGGAGCCTATGACCGGCGAAAGGCTGCAGAGGCAGAAGCTAAAAGAAAAAGAATAGAGAAAAAGAAAAGAGAGAAAGCAGAGGCTGAATTAGCAGCACAAGAAGCATTGAAGAAGTATGTTTGCTTTTTAAATATATGAACTGCAAATTTCATTTGAAATTGTGTTTTTTTTAAGATATGTTCTAGACTACTTTTTATGTCCGATTTACAGTATAGGTACTTCTTTTGTCACTTATCTCATAAGCTACTTATCTATACTAATATTATAAAGAGGAAAGATTCTTTGTTTGCTTGTACCGAATAAGCTTCGAAACTACTAGACTGATTTAGATGAAATTTAGTAAAAAGCTAGTTTTTGAACCTGAGAAGGATAAAAGATAGATTTTATCCCGGAAATCATCACTTAAGGAAGTGAAAATGGGGATGAAAGTATGTACAGGGAAGTAACTGTAAGATAGTTTAAAATATTTGTGATTTTATTTAGACATTTAGCAAAATTGGAGTTTGAGCTGCCTCGAGATCCCGACGAGCAGAAGTTGCAAATGTTGAAGATAACAGAAGAAGAACACTACCGTTACATACATCCTAAGGATTTGGAGAGGATTGAGTATTACTTGACTACGGTAAGAAATTCATGCGTCATACTTTCTTAGATTTACTCGAATATTTGACATTTTAAATAAAACTATCATTTCGGATTTTTTCGCGGATTTATTTTGATTTTTGGTTCCCGACATTTCGAATGCTTTAATCAATCAGCAATCACCAACTTTTTACCAACTTTTTTAAATGACACTGTAATGTAGCTTTGAATGATTAATATTTGATTTCAAAAGCAAAGCATTCTAATTGTTGGGAAAAACAAGCTGCCAAAAATGACGAATATATTTTTATTTTAAATGTGCGTAAATGTAAGAAAGCAGTTTTATATTATTAATTTTATAACGAATATAGTGTAATACTGACTCTTAGAATTGATTGAAGATATATTAATTTTAAATTCTATATTCATTGAAGATGTTTTATTATGTTTTTTTTTGTAAAGGCTATTGAGATAAATTATGTTATACTTAATTATTATGCTACTTAATACGACTTTTACGAGCCTTTTTTAATGTAAAATTATTATTCGTATGTTTTGATATAATTATGGAAATATTGCGATGAAAGGGAAGTTTAATTTATACGAAAGTTTTTTTCTAATTTTAGTGTACTTCTTCAATTTTACATAACTCAAAAAATGTGAGTAATATATCAGCTGGTAAGTTTGGTTTAAAAATATAGCCAAATATCTCTAAATAGATAAATAATTGTATGAGAACTCATTAATCAGTATAACCAAAGGAAGTTACATGTATAAAAGGAGTTACAAGTAGTCTGTCCGTAATAAATCGTAATATAATAATTTCGTTTCAGACTCTGAAAGGAAATCACATCCCGGAGTTTCCAGAACATCTCTATAAAAGAGCAAAAACGAAAGTGGACAAACAGACGGCCGATATAAAGAAACGCCTCATGATCCTTACTTATAAAGCGTGTGTCCGACAAAGCGAGGCCGACATCAAGGAGTTTTTTCTTATGGCAATGAAAAGGTCAGAATAATACTTTAGTGAAAAATAATAAATCTTATATTTTATTGATATATTGTAAAATATACTTGAGATTTACCCTTTGTTCGCTCGGATCCGTCCCTGAGCTTGAATGATTAGGGTCGTATAAAAGACAACGTCCAAAGATTTTTTTTTTCGAACTAAGACTCACCATCGTTTTACTCAGCTATTAACTAAAAACTTCTCATTCATACCTACATACGAGTATGTAGTTGGATACTTACTATTTTGTTTAAAAATATAATAAGATAAGTATGAAATGATCTGATATGGTTTGCGTCTTTAATTGCATATCAATTTAGTTAATTTAGAAAAGTAGTATACATGATGAACACACATTTTTAATTACGTAATATTGAAGAGGTTTTATTTGAATATAAATAAACCTAAGATAGTAATATATAGATTTTTAGGACGTAAACTGTAAACCCAATTATCCAATCTGGCAAACATTTCCAGGTGTCTCCTCTCCTATATCCTAGAGGATCCAGAAGAAAGCCAGCGTCTGCAGATCGCGTTCCTGCCGGCGCTGTGGCCGGCGCTGTGCGTGCGTGCGCCGGCGCCGTGGCACGCCGCGGCGGTGCGCAGCAAACACTCCATGTACTACCGATACTACCAGGGCAATCCTATTTTGTTGGAACTTAGGAGGATATGGCAGGAGAGGTAAGTCTTCGTTGCTTGAATTAAAAAGATTGTATTATGCTAAAATGTATAGAGTAACATTTAAGTAGTTTGTTTATAAATGAATTACGAAAAATTAGAGTAATGGGCTATTATTAGTATCTTGAATATTGTATTGTATTCAGCCCTTTTTAACGTCCCACTTCTGGGCACGGGCCTCCCTTCAGTACGAGGGGGATCAGGCCATAGTCCACCACGCAGGACAAGTGCGGGCGGACTGAGCATGTCTTTCGAAAACTAGCTATGGTCTCTCAAAGATGCAGGTTTCCTCACGATGTTTTTGGTGTAAGTGATAACCATGTCAGAAATAATATAAGAGGTGCTAGACCCTTGATTTGAAACTGCTTCACTCGGTTTCCCAAACAAGTGCGCTACCACTGAGCTACCGCTGCCTTTACTATAGTACTATTAATATCTTTTTCTTGGAAATCACCTAATTTGCAACATAAGATTTTATAATACATATTTTAATACAATATTTCATAGACGACACGTTTGGCTCAGTTTGTCGAGTCCCGCTGGAGGCATACATTTGTGAGATGAGCCCGAATGTTTGTATTCCGGTCATGGGTGTTTATATTTATTATATGTATGTATTTAAAGTAATATATGTGTAGTGTATCAACTATCTGGTATCCATAACACAAGCCCTCGTAGCTTACCATGGAACTAGATGGTGCTGTGTGTTAATTTCTCAATATATTAATATCTGCAGGTACCAAAATATGTATATCTGCGATATGAATAAAATGCAATCAGAGCTACCATTCCCCCACTACCCGAGCGACTTTGGTGAGCGTCTCAACCAGCTGTGCACAGAGACCAGGACTGAGCTGATGGAGAACTGGCTCATAGATGTAGCAGACACCATGGTGAAGATGAGGAAGCACTGGGCGGTGTATGTGGCGAAGAAGAAGAAGGAATCGACTTTCCAAGTTGAGAAGTTCTTCAGGTAATAATTGTAATAATGGAGAAACTTTTTTTAATGCTAAACTATACTGTTATTATTATTAACAAAATTTCGATATTTTGTAGTTGTATTCATGCTCTGATGTCACGACAGATTCGTGATTTGGTTGAAAGAAGCGTGGAACATTTTGCTGAATATTTCTCATATTATTGGGTAAGTTTATGTTACCTACATGATTTACTAAAGCAAGTAGCAATAATTGAATTATAAGAAATTTTGCGTTTTGCTGCTACAGTTATCATTTCAAGTTTAAAAGTAAATTCTACAATGTATTTTTTTTTCTCACTCGAATTCTACTGGCGAGTTGAAGTTCTGTCAAAATCAGCTAATTCATTATTAGCCTATTTTAAGGAAATCTTTTCCCATTCCTATAACAAAAAGTTATCTATGTCACTTTAGCCCTGATCTTCTAATCCCCAGTGAATGTCCCATTAAAATTAATTCATTTATTCTAAGAGGGTATAAAATAGAATAATATTGCATCTAATATTAAAGACTGTATATTTGTATTATACAAAACTGTTAAGAAAATACAGATATACTTTAGATTTTATTCAACTGCCTCGGTGGTTTAGTGCCTAGCTGCAAATCCGGAGGTCCTGGGTTTGAGTCCCAGATCGGGCCTAGTTTAATTAATGAGTTTTTCTGTTAAGATATTCTCAGTAGTAGCCCAGAGTTGAGAAGTTGACAGTATGTACGGCACGAGCGGTGCTTCGAAGAGCACGTGTCGCGTCGCTCCTGAGCCTTAACTCTCTACGCGAGTTTCGAAGTATCGTCCCATCGAAAGCTCGAGAGTGTACCCTTGTACAATCAAATCAAAATATTTTATTCAGCATTAAATTATTACAATTTTTTACTGAACGTCATGAATCTACTACCAGTTCGGAAAGAAGAAGCCTCAGACCTGAGAAGAACTGGCGAAAGGCAATATAATCTCCTGCGTATCTGGTTAATGTCAGTGAAATTGGCCGCCGTGGCCGACATTGGTCGGGACGACATGATTATTTATGAGTGTCTCGTTCTAAACTAGGAAGGTAACAATTACGGCAAAGACTACAAAGACTACACATACATCAAGCGGCCGCTCCTCCGCATCAAGGTGACGGGCAAGCCGGGCTCTACATCCATCACCTTCGACCCCACGCTGGAGCACATGCGCGTCACCATCATCAAGTGGTTCCACACCATCATCAAAGTCAACCACCAGATACCCAGTGTAGATAGCATCATGTATCCTGGTATGTGTGATACTTTAATTCAAACCATTACATTACGTCATCTCATTGCTTATTTGTCGAAACTAGCAATTTACCGAAAATGCTTTTAATATAGTACCATTGACTTTTAAATGTCAATTCTATTGATATAAAATACACATTTTACTTTAAAAAGCCGAAAAAATTATCTTTATTTCTAACTTGTATGTATGTATATTATACTAGGGACTCATTTTTCTTCACTTTATAGGACTTCATTTTATATTTTACTAGCGACTCATCGTCGCTTCGCTGACGTTCGTTCCTAGCTTGCTTCTCGATACTAACTTTCATCCCCATTTTCACGCCCTTAAAGGATGATTTCCGGAATAAAAAATCCTATGTCCTTCCCAGGGTCTCAACTATCTTCCATGGACGAATTAGAGACTGGACCTGACATAAAATACAAATGTATGAAAACTAGTTCAACCAAGTGACGCATAACGCACACAAAGATTTTATTACATTATTATAAACACTGATACACAATACAATATTTCTAGTGTTTGAACGTAATCGATAAAATACATATATCGATGAACCAATGAATGACATTTTAGACATTGGTTAGCATAGTCATCATTTTTTACATCTTTTAATTGAAAATATCTGTATTTATTATAATAAATTAAAATAAATGAATTAAAGAGGCAATAATAATGTGTCAAATAATAACATTTTTTTAATTTGATTTATATAAATACGATGGCATTGATGGCAACATTCTGTTGGCCTATAATAATGTTAATAAACAAATGAATATCGGGTGTATATTCCATTAATATATAATAAATATTATTTTGTAAAGATTAAAAAAATATTAAGCTAATTTAATTAAATAAAGTGATTTTGTTGATTCTGTTATTGAACTATTTTAATTGGCAATTGATTGTCTCGGGTAGTTATAAAAATGTGACACTGTCCTAATATTGCTCAGTTATTAATAAACATTTGTGAAATTAGGAAAAAGAAAAAGTAATTGCAAATTAAAGTGAGCGTTGGATCGTGAAAGTAAAATAATTAGTGCAAGTGGTAAAGTGTGTTATTACAAATCGCCAACCCAGAAGTTTAGTGCTAAAACATTATTGTTTGATTTTGTGTAATTTATGTATAGAAATAAAATGATCTTTATTATTATTACAATGGAAAAATATTCCAAAGTATATAAACGTGGTATAAAATAAAATAAAAAATTAAGTACACATACTAATTATAATTTTTGCATTTATATTTTTATTTGATTTAGAAAATATTTTTATAAATTTATTGTCATCAGATTGTAGGATACTGTGATAAAAGTATTTTATGTTATTGTACTGTATAAATAACACAATTCGTTCAGTTATTTCGTCAAATATCGATATATTTTTCGACATTGTCAAGCACTAGTCGATGTCAAATGGACTCACTCGACAGTTTTGTCATTTGTTCTGAATGGTATAATCCAGCCCGTTTATGATGGTTGTCAGATGTCAACAATACATAGAAATATCGACTATATTTAACATAGTTGGATAATATGACATTTTATTTTACATTTAATTAAATTTTGTGATAAATAACAATCAATGTAATAAAATAATGTATTTACAAGTGAAAAGATATAGTGCTGCTTCCGCCGTTATAGTTTTTACACCATTTAACAGAACATTTAGTCATTTTTGGGAGATGTTTTGTTGACAAGTAAGTGCTTGAGACTGACACAAGAAACAAACGACCTAGGCTAAAATTCCCTGGTTACTGACATGACCGTTAAAGGTACGTCCGCTTATATGTCTGGTCCAGTGGTTAATTCGTTCATGCTATCTTCTTACCAAATTTCATCTAAATCGGTTTAGTAGATCCAGAGATTACCCCCTACAACGTTACCAACTCACAATCTCACAAACTGATAAACTCACAAACTTTACCTCTTTATAATATCAGTATAGATATAGTATATTTATCTATATATACGAGTAAATATATAAAAATCAGCTAATGTATAAGTAAAGCTTTGACTTTAAAATCGAGGAAAAAGACTCTCTATTGGTCGTTTGAAAAGTACTAAGGCGACGATTAGTCTTACTACTGGGTTAGCCGGCATTACCTTTGAGCTTACGCTCAAGGAACTGAGCTTTCACCGTCATCACCGCTTACATATAATCATCAATGATAATTGTCAGGTACTCAGTTTTTATGTTATAAGCAATTGCTCAACAAAACTATATGTGGAGTATCGGGCTATATTTTGTACCTAACATTTTTTTAATCTGAGATACTTAATGTTATAAACAAGGATTTCACTTAGTAATAGGAAAAGAAATGGAAAAATTTATACAAATTTCAATTACTATTAAACTACTACTAACTACAGCAATCTATATTTCTTACAACAGGAGTGGATCGTCCCAACCCATACTTAATGTCAGTGTACCCAGAGGAGCAGTACATGACGGATATAGTGAACAATTGTATAAAGCACTTCAACGTCAACCGTCCGGGCCCTCTCAGTTTCCTCGTCAGGTACGAGGAGTACTTCTATATCCTCGATGGAACTGCTCACCAGGATCTGTTGAAGTTCTTCGCTTTGGATCCACCGCCGTACTTAAAGGTGAGAGCTTTTTGTTTGTGTTTTTAAAAGAACGTTTAATACATAGCTTTAAGGTGTGGCTTTAAATCAGATGGTTTTTTCTAGTTCAACATTCTAATTCTAATTTATTCTAATTTGTACACAAATAATGTCTTCGTATTCTTTAACTTATCAACACATCGTTACAAAATCTTGTTGGCGAAGGAAAGTTCTAAGCTAAAATGCTTAATATTCTCCACGTTTTTAGGATTCCGTACCTCAAAAGAAAAAAAGGATCCCTTATAGGTTTCCATAGTACTAAATATCCCACTATTTTGTTTTTAGGATTTCTCTGCTCGTATATATATGTACGAGGCTCTCCGGGATGAAATAGCGTTCCTCCGTCGGGACATTCCCTTGAACATGATAATGTTAGACTGCGGGCCCATCAACGACGTGATGTGGGCCGTCGTGGATGGACTGCGACAGTATATTGTGGACCATTTCATATCTGTTAATCGGAAGTGGAATAGGGCGTGAGTTGAGTGATTTTATAGTTTACGAGCATGGCCCGCGGCTCAGCCCGCGTTTAGATGACTAAAAACCAAATTCTTAGGTTTTACATATTAGTATATTCTTACAATGCAGATTTTGTATTTTTTCTCAAAAGTGAGACATTTTCCCGCGGTAAAAAGTATCCTATATGTTGAACTGGATATGCTATCATCATACCAAATTTCATCAAAATCCTTCTGTGATGCGGTAACAGACAGACAGACAAAAATTCTAAAATCTATAGATTCGGCCTCTGTATCGATAGTTATGTTTATTTCAATAAGATTTTCCAAAAATTATTTAATGTACAGATTCGGCGTAGTTACAATTTTATTATATGTATAGATTTAAATAATTTCAGTTTTGTTTTTACTTTCAACTTTATTTATTTATATTTCTGAAATGCTATCAGGTCGGAGTCAGAAATATATGCAAGTAAGCGTATACGTAGACTTACGAATTTATGTGTATTAATGAAAAATACGGCTTAAATGTAGCAAAAATATATGTATATTTTGTCTACTTTATTAATATCTAGATAAGTAAATGAGGAACAAAGAATTATCAAACAATTTAACGGAAACATAATATGTATGTATATTGCTCAAACCTGATTTTTCGGAAAACGATCTGTTTTCGACATTTGTATAAAGTGCTCGATTTTGAAGTGGAGCGTTGAATGGCAATGAGAAATACTAATTTTTTTCCATCGATATATTTTAGTGTTTTAGTTCGTTGAGCAGTACTTACTTGTAGTCCAATCGGAATCCGGTTTGGGAACAAAGAAATACACAGTAAGCCGGAAATTGAAAAAACTATTTTTCAACGCTTTACGTCCCCCCATTTCTCGGGGGTAACTGGACATCGGGGGCATTTTACGAATTTCTATTCCTTATATACCTGCTAGCATTTTAAAATCATAAAACTTCAGGTTTTCAATATATATTTTTTCTCGTAAAAATAAACGGATTCCAATTGGTCTATTGTGTACAATGTTATGTGGAATGGGGAATACACTATCGGTTATAAATTCGTCAGTATCTGCAACGTGTATGAGGAGATGGCAGCGCGCACGTCGGAGAGCCCGGAGAGCACGGCGCAGCTGGTGGAGCTGCTCGGCTACATCCAGGACTGCCGCGACTGCGCCATGTTCGATCTGCGCGAGAAGGCGCGCACCACTGCCGAGTACGTGCTCTTCTTGATGGACCATGCCCATCTGACTTGTGAGTATTGTTTTTGTATTCAGCCCTTTTTAACGTCTCACTGCTGGGCACAGGCTTCCTTTCAATACGAGAGGGAATCAGGCCATAGTCCACCACGCGGGCCAAGTGCGGGTTGGCGAACATCACATGTCTTTCGAAAACTTGCTAGGTTATCTCAGACATGCATGTTTCCTCACGATGTTTTCCTTCACCGTTAAGACAAGTAGTAATCATGTTGGAAATGATTCGCACATTAAAATATAGAGGTGCAAGACCCAGGATTCGTACTCGCTTCACTCAGTTTCCCAAGCGAGCGTGTTATTACTGGGCATCCACTGCCTTGTGTTGCTTTTATGTACTAGGTGAAGTTAAGCGTCTTATTTCATATCATGCAAGTGGATGAGTGACTGTTGGAGAGATTTTTAGGTCACATTCAATAGTGCGGTTAATCCGTTATTTATTCTTGAGATTTACGTCATGTCTGGTCTATACCTATTTTTCCTTGTGTTATAACTCTGGAGTTCATTTAATAAATTCATTTAATAATGATGCTGCTTAAGCCCTACTAATAGCCATATTTGACTTATTGTCCAAACGACCTATTAATCGAAAGAATTTTTAATACTTTAATACAGAATTATTGATTTTTAAAAGTCAATAATATTATTTAACTTATTGTCCAAACGACCAATTTACCGAAAGAGTTTTTACTTCAGAAAAAATATTCATTTCAATCATTTCAATCAAAAGAAAGAAAATTACAAACAAAGCTTTGTTTTTGAAGTAGAGGAAGAAACTTTACTGTAAAATACAACAAGTATTGGTGGTTTGAACAAATAAGCACTAAGACGACGTACTATTTTGGTTGCAACATAGACATCTTTCTAGCATTTTTTCCAGTTGTATACTAACACTAACTAACATATGTAAGTAGTTAAAATACTTAGCAGTCTGTTTTCACATCGCTTATCGTATTTCTAAATTAATATGATATGTTAAAAAAACATTTTCTTTTTTCAGTTGAAGACATAAATTTGAATACGCGCGTATTCCTATGGCCTCTCGACATGGAGGAGACCATCGACCTCACATTAAAGACTCTCAACACAAAGAAGACAATGGCCGAAGATAAATTGAGAAGCAGAAAGGCAATATTTGAGGAGAAGCTCAAGAAACATGAGAAAGAACTGGAGATGTTCAGAAGATTTGATCCGCCCTTACTCAATTTAGATCTGTTGAGAGAAGTAGTTGGGAAAGTGGACGACATCTTTAAAAATTTGTCGGTCGGTCAAGTATTTGTTTATTTTTATAATTAAATGTTTAATCATACCAAAATCAATTTGAATTAATTGTAGACCCATAAAACGCGCGATTTCCATCTACTATTTTTTTTCTAGTCTTTAATTTTTTAACCTTCTATTCTAATAGTTGAAAGTTTCAACATAAACGTATGCACATATATAAATGATTATTTTATATTAACACAAATTGATTAGCTTTATTTTTCATTTTTACATATTTGTTGTAACTTTCGTATCGACTTGGAACTTAGTAAATGTGTGAAATACTCATAGAAATGCAATAATTTGGTCCCATAGACTTTTAAGAAATATGTTGATAGACCAAGAGATATATAGTGGAACTCTTCATTTATTATAATGTACCTTTCTCATTTGATTCGTTTTAACGAGTTCCACAGAATATATAGAGTGAGTTTAGTTTTTTTTTAAACTATATTTCTTTACTGAACAGGAAGACAAACGTGAAGCGGACGATATAATAAACGAAGAAGTACTTCTAGAGCAAGAGGCGTCCGTGTACTTCAGTCTGCAGAGCATGCTCGCCGGCGTCGAGCCCTTCCACAAGCTGTGGCACACTGCGTATGACTTCTACGATGGATACGATAAGTGGTATATTAGAATGTACTTTATGCGTCAAATATCATTTATTTGCACTCTTCAGTTTTGTACATAAAGTGAACTTAGTGATTTATCTTTTTTATTCTTATTTAAATGTTATGCTACTTACATAATCTAAGTTTATAGTTCTATATAAGTTAAATTTTGTTGGTGTATTATGTCTACAAAGGTGAAATTTCTCAAATTTCTGTTTTTTGATCTAAGGAAAATGAGGGTCGAAAATAAGCCGAATGTGCGCCCGATTACTTTATTTATCATTATAACATTATAAATTTCAACATCCAATTTTCGCGGAGTTTCCCGGATTTAGAAGAACGGATTCGCTTTAATCATTTATTCAAATAAGATTTTAATAAAATAATGTGAATGGAAACAACCTGGTCAATTCCCAGGTACCACGGCCCCTTCCATGGTCTGGATGCGGAGCAGATCTCGGAGGACGTGGAGGCGTGGTGGAAGCTGCTGTACAAGCTGGGCAAGCAGCTGTTCGAGTTCCCCGGCGCCAAGCGCATCGCGGACATGGTCCGGAACAAGGTGGAGAAGTTCAAGGTGCTGCTGCCGGTGCTCTGTGCTATTTGTAATAAGGTGGGTTTTAGCTTGGCATGCTGACATCTTTTACATATTTTCAAGAATTAAGGATTTTTTACGCTGTGATGTTTTTATGATGGACATAAATTACATCGTGGATTTACGTTTAAAAGCATAAGGTATTTTATTTAATATTTTTTTCTTTGGGTACATTTTGTTTTACTTCCTTTTATTAACTTATTAGATATATAGTAAATAGTAATATATTAATTATCCATTATTATAGTAATATAGTAATTATCCATCATTAATTGGCTGAAATCGAGTTTATGCTGTGGATGTCGCACTTTATACTTTACTAAAAAAAAAATGAGGTCAAGAATAAAAATGTGGGTAGTGTCTCAAACTGTGTTCTTACCAAACATCTAAATCGGTTCAGTATATACAGAGATTAACCCCCTACAAATTCACAAACTTTACCTCTTTATAATATTAGTATAGACTAAAAAAATACATAAGGCATGCGTGAGCGTCACTGGGCACGACCTTTAGACGGGCTACTCGCTGGCTGATATAGTGGATGTTCTCCTTTATATTTAACTGAAAAAAAAACATTGTTAGGGCATGCGCGAACGCCACTGGGCCCGCATCAGCGCGCTGGTGGGCGCGGAGGTGCAGCACGGCGCGGGCCGCTCGCTGGCCGACATGGTGGAGGCGGGCGTGCACGTGTTCGCGCCGCAGCTGCAGGAGATCGAGCAGTACGCCTCCAAGGAGTACGCTCTGGAGAAGGCCTTGCTCAACATGAAGGACGAGTGGGTGGGCGTCAAGTTCGACGTGCTGCCGTACAGGTCGGTCGTGTGTCCCACTGTTAAAAGAATTGTTATTGGAGTACTATTTTATATATGTGAAAATGTATGTTTGTTAGTTTGTTTTTACTCCTTCATGATTGAACGACTGAATGGAATTCGATAAAATTTTGTATATAATTAAATTGTGATCTGGATTAAGATTTAAGCTATTTTTAGTGACCTAGGAACTTAGAGAACCCGAATTGGGTGACATGTCAAAGTATTTAATATGATTAACCAATCAGGAATTCCTATACCTTTTTGTTTTAGCTTGACATATACTCAAATTTTTAAAACGATAACATCTGCCTACGATCCAGGGACACGGGGGTGGGCATCCTGACCGGCCTGGACGACATACAGCAGCAGCTGGACGACCACATCCTGAAGTCGCAGACGATGCGCGGCTCGCCCTACGTGAAGGCGTTCGAGGCGGACATGGTGGCGTGGGAGGAGAAGCTCATCAGCATGCAGGATATACTGGACCAGTGGCTGCAGGTGATACAGATATTGTATTATAGAGACCTGTTGTTATGTCTGTGTACAATTTTTTTATCTATATAACGTTTGAGTTTAGTACATATTAGTTGGATTTAAAACAAAAATTAAATAAATAAATTTTGTCGAATAAATTATAAGCAAGAAATAATACAAATACATATGTTTTGTTTAAAGACGTTATTTGTAGCTGTAGAAATATCTTCCTTTAACCTATTTACTTTTGAATGACTTGTGCTATTTGATAAGGGTAGATCTATAAGAAGTATATTTTTTTGTTTATTAATATTGTCTTTTTGTCTACATTTTTTTTGTAGTTTAGGACTTGAGGGTGTTCGATAAATATATTATACTTTCTTAGATTTACATGAATATCTGACATTTTGAATGAGACTATCTGTTGGGATTTTTTTCGTTGATATTTAAGAAACAACAACCTTTGGTAATTAACTGTATACCGTGTCTGACATGACTATTGTAGAACAAGGTTTAATTAATTTAGCAGAAATATGACATAAGCCTTTATTTTTATTAAATTTTAGATTTGCCTGAAATTAAAAGACAATAATCACTTTTTAATTACCTTCAGTGTCAAGCTACATGGATGTATCTAGAGCCGATCTTCTCATCCGAAGACATAATGCGACAAATGCCCACTGAGGCGAGGAATTTCCGTGACGTGGACAAGGAGTGGCGAACTATCATGGCGGCCACACAGAAGGAACCCATGGTGCTTAAAGCCACAGATTATCCAGGGCTGTTGAAGACGTTGAGATATAACAACGCCCTCTTGGATGATATACAGCGCGGCTTAAATGATTATTTGGAGAAGAAGAGACTGTTCTTCCCCAGGTTAGTAACTGTGATTGTTCGGTGAAAGTATAAGTTATTAAAAGTTTGATGGGAATGGAGTTTAATGTAACGTAATAATGTTATTGTATATTTGCATACAGTTAATTTTTAATTTTGCATATAACTAGATAGAATTTTTTAACATCCTGATCTAATGCCACTGATAAGTAAACTTTATTCATTATGTGTTATTTTATCTTGAAATTTTCTTATTGACCACATTCAAAAGTCTACGTTTTTGTTTTTTTTATCTTCTCAGTTTAGGTGATATTTTTTGTGTACATTATACGATATTTTCGTCTATTATGCGTCGATTTTCATAATTATCTTTTTGATAAATAATTATATAGTAGGTACCTTAAAAATGGTCCCTATACAAATTTCAAGAATAATAATTCCTTTGAAATTACTTTTGAAGTAATGTTGAAAAATGAATGATTGCTTTTACGTGGGAAATTTATTTGTCGTTTTATAATAATTACTCTTACAAACCCAACAAAAGTTTGTATGGGTTGCTTACCCATACAAACTTTTATGCCCATTTTCCCCCTCTTTAGGGATGATTTTCAGGATAAAAAGTATCCTATGTCCATATCAGGATCTCATACTATCTTCTTACCTTTCACCTATATCGGTTCTGTGGTTTCGGAGCCTATTCGGTACAAACAAATAAACAAAAAAATTAATCTTTCCTCTTTATAATATTAAGTATAGATGTAAACCATAGAATCAAAATAAACAAATTACGTCTTCACACATGTCTCATCGCAACAGATTCTTCTTCCTCTCGAACGACGAACTGCTGGAGATACTCTCGGAGACGAAGGACCCAATGCGCGTGCAGCCACACCTCAAGAAGTGCTTCGAAGGCATCTACACGCTTCAGTTCAATGCCGCCAAAGAAATCGTCGGTATGTCCTCTGCCGAGGGCGAGACGGTCAGGCTCTCGTCCACCATACAACCGGCTGATGCTAAGGTATATATCGCTACATAGTATAAAACAAAATCGCTTCCCGCTGTATGTCTGTCCCTATGTATGCTTAGATCTTTAAAACTACGCAACGAATTTTGATGCGGTTTTTTTAATAGATAGAGTGATTTAAGAGGAAGGTTTATATGTATAATATATGCATATTATAGTACAGAAAAGCTGAGAAAATTAAAGATTTGTATTTCATACTAATCGTTACAAGGTATCTAGGGACGAACCCGAACGAAGCGAGAGTGAGTCGCTAGTATACAATATACATGGGGAAAAGTATTTTTTTATATGAAATAGTTTTTTTTCTAATAAAAAGTTTGCCAGTTTATGTTCTTTCGATCAGTCGGGGATAGTGTCAGATAGGAGTAAAGATGAAATATAAAGAGTTAATGTATTAATTTATTTAAAAAAATATTATCAAAATGATATTATGTTTCACTCCGATTGTATATTAATTAGGCAATTATTAGTCCATTCTAAATGTGATAGTTTGTATATTTTGTATGTATATCTGTGCGTGTATCTCTGTCTCTGACTTTATATGTGTGTTGTTAAAATGGCGGTTCATAATACATGGTAAAACAAACCCTGCCCCGCAGGGCATGGTGGAGCGCTGGCTGCAGCAGCTGGAGCAGCAGATGATAGTGAGCCTGCGCGACGTGGCGGCGGAGGCGCTCGCGGCGTACCCGCTGGCGCCGCGCGAGGCCTGGGTGCTGCGCTGGCCGGGGCAGATCGTGCAGGCCGGCGCCTGCATACAGTATACTGCTGAGGTATATATATTTTATTTTCTCCTCTCCTATCTTTAATATAAAGTTTTCAATTACTAAAAATACCTGAAAATGTAGTCTGTAGATAATGTAAAAAGTGTATGTATGTATGTGTGTGTGTTTGCAGGCGATAGAGGCGATCCAGAGTAGTTCGCTGCCGGCGCTGGTGGCGCGCAGCACGGCGCAGATTAACGGGCTGGTGGGGCTCGTGCAGGGCGAGTTGGGCGCCGGCGCGCGCGTCACCGTCGAGGCGCTCATCGTCCTCGACGTGCACGGTGACACACACACACACGCACACACACACACATACAAGCACACACACATGCGCGCGCGCACTATTGCGCACACGCACACAGACTATAATGGGATCCGTGCCGGCCATCAATGGGCAAGGGATTGTGAGGCTTACTCACTGATACACACAGCGGAAATTTACAGCCATAGTTGCAATAGGACATTGCAGAGTCCTTTACGCATATATATTAAACCACCTCTGCAGATTATTACATTTGCACTCTTTTTTTTTAAACTTGGCAAATGCATTCACGCATACAAATACAAAACAAACCGTTTAGGACAGCAAGTGCTAGGTACTACCCATACATAACTGTAAATCCAAACGGAACATAATTGATCTTAATAGGGCTTTGAAGGATACTACGACGTCTGGTCTGCCGACAGCCGCCTGCTGAGGCAAAGCACAAGAACAAGGGCATTGCTCTTATGGTTCACTCTGCTATCAGAGAAGTACCAGTAACAACTCGCATTTTACACCTGATCACCACCAAGATGGTTATCGTCTCATTTCTATGAAGAAACTTCTTAGCAAAAAAATACATTTTGCGCTCCAAGCGTGATATTGGTTTTTTTATTTTTGTAGGCATTATATTATTTTCAGAAATAGATTTAGTAATAATATGTTAATTTATTAATTATTAATTATTTCTATTTATTAAGTTAATTAAAAAAATAAATATTTATAAAATAAATGGCGGATTATTGGATTTCTAAAAGGTAAGACGTTGGAAATCGTCTTGTATGAACCCTTCGCCACTGGTAACTACTAAAACGCACATGCAAACAAACACACGCACGCGCACACACAAGATTATTCAATGTATTTTACTTTATTCCATCCAGGTCGTTCAATCCTCGAAGAGATGGAACAAAAGCAAGTGCGTGACATAACGGACTTCAACTGGATCTCGCAGCTGCGCTACACTTGGCGCGGCGAGCGCATCCTCTGCTCCATGATCACCACCGACGTGGGCTACGGGTTCGAGTACCTCGGCAACACCGGCCGCCTCGTCGCCACGCCGCTCACCGACCGGTGTTACAGGTGACGTTGCTTGATCTACATGAAGAACATAATACTTACTTAGATTTACGCGAATATTACACATTTTAAATAAAACTATCTTTTCGCATTATTTTGCTTTCTTTCTTCATTATATTCGTTGAATAAATAAATTCTTTATTGACATAATTTTATAGGTGCAAATGATAATGAATTCCCTAGCCCCAGCGCTCGCTTTAGTTTCGAAACCAATCATTTTACTTTAAATTTGACCTTTTTTCTTAAAGAATGGGATGGTATGTTTATATATTAGGCGATTTATTATATATAATAACTGTAATTTACTTTGTAGAACACTAATGAGTGCTCTAAAATTGAATCTTGGCGGAGCCCCAGAAGGCCCGGCGGGAACGGGCAAGACTGAAACTACTAAGGACTTGGCCAAAGCGGTAGCAAAGAAGTGTGTCGTCTTCAATTGCTCTGATGGTCTTGATTATAAAGCTCTTGGAAAGTTCTTTAAGGTGAGCTTTAAGTGTTGTATTTTAAATATTTCTTTTTAAGTTAAAAACAAAATTTAGATATTTATGCTTTCAGCCGTTATAAGGTCAACTGAGCTTCGCGTTTGTAATTATTTTATACGCTTTTCATTATAAAAATTGTATAATAAGTAATAACAATTGATAAAAATTCATGTTAAAGTATATTTAAATACATTTTTTTACAATTTTTGAACCTTTAATCTATATAACAATATTACTGGATAACATCCAGGGTTTAGCGCAGTCCGGCGCGTGAGCGTGCTTCGACGAGTTCAACCGCATCGAGCTGGAGGTGTTGTCGGTGGTGGCGCAGCAGATCCTCTCCATCCAGCTGGCCATCCTGCGCCGCGAGAAGCGCTTCATCTTCGAGGGCACGGAGATCAGCCTCGACCCAACCTGCTCCGTGTTTATCACCATGAATCCGGGGTATGTGGATGACGGATGTGTTATATAATACTTATTTTAGTCCTAGGTTTATATTAATAAAATATGTTTATAAAAATACATTTTGTTCATTTTTATTAATTTCGAAATACCTATCACCTTATGCGCTGATTTTCTGTTTGTTCTAGCCAATCTCAGAAACTGATTTACGAATTTTTATACGATTTATACCAATATCATGAGGAATATTTATAAATGCCAAAGGTTTTCGAAGACGCTGAGTGACTAACAAGATATATTTACTACTATATTTATACTACAATTTTTGTACATGATGTCTGATTGCATTTTAGATTTAAAAATATTTTCTAATAATAATACAAAAATTCTCTTGTAATTTATATTTATGTTTGTTCGCAGCTACGCAGGACGTACAGAGTTGCCCGACAACTTGAAGGTGCTATTTCGAACGGTGGCCATGATGGTGCCCGATTACGCTATGATTGGGGAAATTACGCTGTATTCTAATGGTTTTGTTAACGCTGGACCGTGAGTATTGTTTAGGTTTTAAATAAACTGTACTAAGATTCAGATTTTCCTCAAATGTTCATAATTTCTGCTGTCTCTCGCAAAGTTGCGATTTTTTTAAATATAACAGGCACTAGCGATTAACAACCAAATTTTATATAACCCAGCTCATGCTAACCCATGAACTTTGATATTGATGTGTATATTAATTTGTAATTTGGTTTGGTTGAGAAATAAAGAATTCTATTATTATTAAAAAAAAAACTTTACTACAGCTAAAACGTCTAAAGAGATAGATTTAATCATCGCACAAACCAAGTAAGATTATGTACATACAATAAAGTCAACATCATTGATACTAAAAGAATAGTTCATATCTTCCCTTTCAGACTAGCTCGTAAAATAGTCCAAGCGTACAAACTGTGTTCAGAACAACTATCGTCACAAAACCACTACGATTATGGCATGCGAGCTGTGAAGTCAGTTTTGTTGGCGTCCGGCGCCTTAAAGAAGAACTATCCAGAAAAGGACGAGTCTCAACTCGTTTTGAGAGCAATTATTGATGTCAATATGCCCAAGTTTTTGTCACAGGTTTGTTGAAGCTTTTTTCGGTGTTAAACAAAGCTTTGGGCTACTGCCCAATATTCATAATATCGAACTTATTCAGTTATATTATGATATTATTATTAAGAGAACTAACTACTATTAAAGAACAAATCTTGTAGTTGGGCCAGTACTAAATTATTGAAATGAAACTTTTTTAGAATCATTGTGATTTGAAACTCGATTAAAACGAAAATGCGACACTAAAAAGAGACAAACACATAAATGTATAGGATTAGGCGACAGAATGAGATAGAATACATTGCCATGTTGTAATGGTAACCGTTGTTGTTCTCTGACAAATATATAATATTATATTTTTCCGTATATGATATCCTATAAATATATGATTGTAATATGCCTAATATGCCTTATTTAATTATAATTGATTTGTTTTAATTTAATTGCGACATTTGCCAAAGAAGTTTCACTTCAACCGTGCGTAAAGGTTACACGCACTCATTTTCTTTCTCGTTAGTTATGTATAGAGTCTTAAATTATCCTGTAATCACATATGTTGAATGTTGATGTACATATCATTTTATACTTTAAGTTATGGTTTTGCGTTTTGTCGCAGTTTTGTTTTATTTACTTATTTGTTATTATATTATTGTCCTGTCGCCAGGACGTGCCGCTGTTCGCGGGCATCTACTCAGACCTGTTCCCGGGCGTGGAGATCCCGCAGCCGGACCGCGCCGAGCTGCTGCACTGCATCCACCGGGAGCTGGAGAAGAGGAACCTGCAGCCCACCGACTGGTACCTGGAAAAGATTATACAGGTGGAATAAAGTATTCATATTTATTTGACAAATAAGACGTATTTTAAATCAACCACCAATTATTATCTATGACTGATTCATTGGTATCAATATGAGTAGGTCTATAAAGTTTGTTTTAGACATATTATAGGCTAAGCAATATTGCTACTTAGTTGAAGTAATATTATTATTATTGTCATATGTACCATATATTAGATGAGAAGGAAAGGAGAATTGAGGAACTGATTGTTTTGTCAATCTTACACTGGTATAACGTGACCATTGTGACCGATATAATTAACTTTAATATAAAGCCTATATTGCTTGTATTTACCTATATGTCAATACTTTTTATATTCAATTAATTCAATTCGATTAAATCATAAATGCATTTCAAGATTTTACCTATTTTCACAAATAATTATTCTCTTCATATAATAAAAACAGAATTTGTTATATCTATCAAAACAGATATACGAAATGATGCTCGTCCGTCACGGCTTCATGATAGTAGGCCCCCCCATGGGCGGCAAGACGCAGGCCTACCAGTCCCTGGCGGAGTCGCTGAGGGCGTTGCAGCTGATGAAGCCACCCCCCAGGCACAAGGAGTTCGGAGCCATATACAGGATCATCAACCCCAAGGCGATTACCATGGGACAGCTTTATGGGTGCTTTGATCCTGTGTCGCATGAGTGGTGGGTTGTCTATGTTAAAAAATTTGGAATTAGACTTTTTATTTAATTTAACATGATTTTAAACTAATAATCTTTACTTTTAATTATGTAATATTTGAGAAGTCGGTTTATTTTCAAAGTCTGTACAATATATAAAATGCGAATGTCAATAATTTCAATTCATATCATTAATACTATTTAATACTAAATCCTTTTTCTTTCTACCTGAATAGTAAAGTTTTTAATAGATATTAGTAAAACCTTTAAGTTTGGGCTTATTAAATGTTTTGACATGTTGCACGTATTACAGTTGGTCAAGAACTACTTTTTTGTATATTAACTGTGATGATCGTTTGTTTGACAGACTATCGTTGGCCTTAAATCTATGCAAGAGATTATCAATGTTTTTTGCCTTTTGATGTATTTAAACGTATTCGTTACATTTGCTTCGGTTAAGTCACTACATGAGTGAGTCCTAGTAAATTATACATTAGATCATCTACATTTTTTTGAAAAAGTGACCAATATTCTGTATCAAAGATCCCATGCAGTGCTAGAAATAGCATTCAGGGAGTATGCGATATCAATGACGCGAGACCACAACTAGATATCCAATATGCAAGATTTTTTGGAAAAAGTATCCATTTTTTGTGTGAAAGGTCTGATGGAGTGCTAGCGATAGCATTCAGGGAGTACGCGATGTCGGCGACGCGCGACCGCAAGTGGATCCTGTTCGACGGGCCCGTCGACGCCGTGTGGATAGAGAACATGAACACCGTGCTCGACGACAACAAGAAGCTCTGCCTCATGAGTGGGGAGATTATACAGGTGGATGGAATATGTTATTGGTTGTTGACGACACGTTTGGTCAGTTTGTAGTGCCATCTGTCGCGGGTTTGAGTTCCGCTGAGGGGGATTCATTTATGTGATGAGCACGAATGTTTGTATTCCAGTCATGGGTGTTTATATTTGTAATATGGTATTTAAAGTTATATATGTGTAGTGTATCAACTATCTGGTATCCATAACACAGGCCTCGTAGCTTATCATGGATATCTGGATCTGGATCTGGTGTGTTAATTTCCCAACATATTTATTTATTCACAGTCCAAAAGATGGATTTATATTTTCTAAACATATGAAGTGTTATATTCTAGATGACGAACAAAATGAATCTAATCTTCGAGCCAGCTGACCTGGAGTTTGCCTCCCCGGCCACGGTGTCCCGCTGCGGGATGATTTATATGGAACCGGAACAGTTAGGTATAACATGCTTAAATTTACGTTTAACTAAGAAGCTAGCTATTTCGAATATACTATCTTTGAAGTATATACATGTTATGACTATCCATCCAATATTGATAAACGTATTGCCTGACGTAGCAGCCGAATTGAGTACCTCCATTTTAAAATTGGCCATAAAAGAGTGTAAGTGGTTACTTTCCAGTGAATGACACTTTTAATATAGTTCTCTTGTTTACTAACTTTGCGATATAAAAAGTAAGGTTTGGTTATTGCCTTTTTTTTAAATAAAAACTGACTCTCAAACTGAAGATTGACAAATTCACTTCATAGATATTACGTTCTTGAGGGATAACCTATTTTTTTAAAAAGAACACGTACCTGATTTACGAAAAAATTTATTGAAAATATTTTATTCAAACATATATTCGAATTAAGTACCTCCCAACCCCCATTTATTTGAGTTAGGTTAGGAAGTATAATTGAATAAACTTGATATATTTTTTTAACAACAATTGCTGTGTAGGATGGCGAGCATTCCTCACGTCGTACAATACGCACCTTAGCAAGAAGCTCATCCCGGAGCAGTACGACCTCATACAGGAGTTGATAGAATGGCTCGTGCCGCCCATATTTGAGTATCTGTTGAGGTGTAACCACTTCGTGCGAGTAGGGGAGATACATCAGTTCCACGTAAGTACTGACGGTTATATAAGATATTGGATTCAGCCCTTTTTAAAGTTCCTCTAATAGGAGGGGGAACAGGCCATAGTCCACCACTTTGGACAAGTGTGGGTTGGCGGACTGAGCAGTGTGCATGTCTTTCAAAAATTTCTAAGTTTCTTTCAGACGTGCAGGTTTCCTCACTAGGTTTTCCTTTACTGTAGGACGAGTGGTAATCATGTTGGAAATGATTCGCACATGAAAATATCAGGAGCGCGAAACCCGCGATTTGAACCCGCTTCACTCAATTTCCCATGCGAGCGCCTTACCACTAGACTGCCGAATGAGATATCATTAGGACTTTATTTACTGTTTAAGAGAAATTCCTTGAAAAAATAGTAACTCTGGTTGGATATAATAGATCATTCTTTTTTATGTAGCAAGTTTTGTGGCTGATGGCTGAATTTTATTACAATTTATTTAAAATATGAAAATTCTTATGTTTTCACATGTTTAGTTATAAATTTATATGGTTTTGTTATATAAATAATCGGATCGCTATTATATTTTTTTTATGTGTGTATGTTTGGTACTTTCACGGTGAAACAACTAGACAGTTAGTCATAAGTTAAATATAAATACTTGTTACTTCAAAACTACGAAAAGAAGAATATTATTTAATAAAAGTAATATACTATATTTATAGTCATTCACACGGCTATTCACGTGCTTACTGGAAGGTGAAGCTCAATTCAGTACAATGTGGCTGCAGTGTACGTTCGTGTTTTCCTTGCTCTGGGGACTGTGTGCTACCATTACAGGTGAGTACTTAAAATGCTCTTTGTGTTTGTCCGCTATTCTGAAAGCGTACAACATCAATAAATAGGTATTTGGCTTTGTTAATGTTAGAATTATTAAAATCGCTTCAGTAATTCCAGAAATTTTGTACTTTATAAAAACCAAAAAGTCTATATATGCCGGGATTTTATTATTTGCCATTGATGATATTTTGATATAATAATATTTTTGTCTATGTCTATCTGTGTCTGGCTTTGATTATAATACTAATTTCATAATATGCATTTTGTTTGTATAATATGTATTATTTCGATTTTTAAACGGTTTATTTTTTATTCATTTGACTTCAACCTTTTTTTTCCAGGTGACAGTCGCAAAGGTTTCGACTCATTCTTCCGTAAGCTCTTAGACGGCAGTAACACAGCGTATCCTAAACCCAAGTCCTTTAAACTGACCAAAAACCAGCTATTTCAGGATAAGGACACTGTGTTCGATTATGTATACGACAAGAGAAATAATGGCACATGGATATCTTGGGTGGAGTTAGAGAAAGAAGTACCGTTGGCGGCTAATGCTAAGGTGATATAAAATTCACAGAAACATTCAAGAATTTGGAGATTTTTTGGGGTTCAATTTTGTTTTTTCGTCTAAAATTGCCAAGTTTCTGGAAAAATAAAGTATGCTGTATTCAATTTTAGATTATATTTTTAAAATTTTAGCAGCTCTAATATCTTATATAATGTTGACTAGTCCAAATTATACAAGTTTTAATATTTTAGGTTAACGATCTAATTATTTTAACAAATGAGAACGCCTGTCTCCGTTTCTTCGTGAGCAAGATGGTGCAGTCCAAAATACCCATTTTACTAGTGGGCCCGACTGGAACCGGGAAATCCTCTCTTGTTCTAAACTTCTTACTCTCTCTGCCCAAAGAGAAATATATTACTAATACTATTAACTTTTCGGCAAGGACCACTGCTAACCAGGTAATCAATTTATTTGTCATTTTATGTCTGTCTATTTAAACAAAAAATATCAAAATCCTTCAAGTATGTAGTTTCCACATAATTACAAAAATTAAGACCTTTTCTTAACCCATTTCCCGGATACAAAGCTAATGTACTCAAAGTGATCTTTGACATATTCATCGACATCGGCTCAGCAGTTTATCCTGAAACAGTAATAAACGGATAGATACTTTCATTATTTTTTTTTATAACATTAAACGAGGTATATTGGCTTTTAATGATTTTTCTCTTAGTCAGCGTATTCTATTCTTCAGGCTAATCGTCAAGGAGGTTACCTGAATTTAAGGAGCTTTTCATGATTCGTATTATGACATTTGATCAAGGGCGATATTGTATATAGACTAGTTTTTTTGCGACGGTAACAAAACGAATCCGAGCGAGAGAATAACATATTCCAGACTTCGTCAGTATCTATTTTACGTCAACACTGATTAAAATTACAAGTAAATTAATATGTCTATTTACAGACGCAGGATATAATAATGTCGAAAGTAGACAGACGGAGGAAAGGTGTATTTGGACCTTCGATGGGGAAGAAGGTTGTTGAGCACTTAATTTTTTTCTTTTGTTTCTACCCCTAGAATGTTTTCTTATATTTATGTGAATATTTGACATTTTATCACAATTTTCTTGCAGTTTTATTAAGATTTTTGGTTCCCTGCGTTTCGAATGCTCTACAGCAAACATGACCGAGAATCAAAATAAAGCCTTTAAAATGTGATCGGAATTTTTTTATTTCAAATCTTTAACACATGTTCGGTGTAAGATAATAGAATATAGCCATATTTATATTTCTATCTATTTTTGAAAATATATCTATCCCATTTCAAAATTTGTTTTTTGGGCAGCATTTCCAATAAGATTAATCGGTGATCGTCTTTTGCAATGGATTTTGTATCTGTATTTTAATGACATCATGATTATACATATATATTATGATGAATAATATGAATAATTTCTTAGATTTACACGAATATATGACATTTTAAATAAAATTATGTTTTTGGACTTTCCGCGGATTTATTTTGATTTTTGGTTTCGTCGGGAAACATTATTGACCAAGGACCAAGATTGCAGTAATGTATTCAAAAGGTCTGCTGTAAAGTATTCAAAAGGTCTGGAACCAATAACATAGTTTTATTTAAAATACGAATGTCGATCAGTGCGTGCTGTTCGTGGACGACCTGAGCATGCCTGCGCGCGAGCAGTGGGGCGCTCAGCCGCCACTGGAGCTGCTGCGCCAGTGGGCCGACCACGGACACTGGTACGACCTCAGGGACATGGCGCGCCAGGAGGTCGTCGACGTGGTGAGGGCTTTTGGGGTGGCTTTAACAAGTTGGAGGAGCGGATAGATGATACTCGTAGTGTAAAGGCAAAAAAAATATAATTTCGTCATATCAGTCTGTACGTATGTCAAAGCTTTTTTATTCGGAGAATATTGGAGATATATGATTGATATCACACATAAACTACTAGACAAGTACGCAGTCAAATTCAGAGAAATAAAATAAATTGAAAAAGTTGTTGTTCCTATTTACTTAATAAGTATCTTATCGTATGCTTATTAAGGTTTATATATGTTTGATGAACAAGTTCACATTTCCTCCGAATATTATAGTTGTTGGTTATATTCACTTATAGAGTTTTGGTATACTAAATATGAGTGGAAATAAAAAGGGATTTTAAAATTAAATATATTGTTAATAACCTCATTTTTGTTTATAAATAACATTAACACACTAATATTTTGTATATTGGCTAGCTCTTCGTGTCCGCGATGTTACCGCCGGGCGGCGGGTCCAACCTCATATCTTCGAGACTTACGAGGCACATGCTGCTCATAACGTTAGATGCGTTCGAAGATAACACTCTCAACAAGATTTTTGTTACAATCATGGATTGGCATTTTGCAAAAGGATTTCCAGACAGTCTCGCCAGACAGAGTAAGGTAGATATTTTGAAATTCGTTCATCACTTATCATGTTTACAGCGACATTATTTGAAAATTTAAACTATTTTATTTTTGGTTAAACATCTGGATGGTCAATAAATACAACTTGGTAAATGCGAAAGTGAATGCAGTTGTAGAAAATTGGATTGAAGTTGCTTTTTGCGCATTTTGCACTATATTTTATTTAATACTTTCTTAAATTTAAGCGAATATTTGACATTTTAAATAAAACTATATTTTCGGATTTTTTCGCGGATTTCGAATTTGTTGTTTCGAATTTCTGAAATCATTTTGTAAAATTGTCAGTAAGCACTGTCTGTAACAAGTATTCAAGCAAGCTGTAAAGCATTCAAAATATCGTGAACCAAAAATCAAAATAAATCCGCGAAAAAATCCAAAAACATAGTTTTATCATATTTTATTTCTTAATTTGAATTTTGGGCACACGTTATTTAAATTAACTCAATATTTCTATACCGATTTCCAGGCAGTAGTAAGTGCGACGATGGAAGTATACAAGAGCGTGACGGTCCAGTTCCTGCCGACGCCCAGCAAGTGCCACTACCTGTTCAACTTGCGGGACTTCGCGCGCGTCATCAGGGGCGTACTGCTCGTGCCCGCCTCGCACCTCAAGGAGCTGTCCAAGCTGGTGCTGCTCTGGATACACGAGACCTACCGCGTGTTCTATGACCGCCTGGTGGATGACGCCGATAGGTATTGGGTTCGATCATTATAGACCAAGGATGGTCACAGTGACATCCTATAGCCGCAAAAATGAACGTAAAAAATAATAATAATAGGTACTGAGTTTATTTGGACTGTAATGTGCTACCTGATGATTAGAAGGCATTTATGGACGAATTAAAAAAGGAGGTGTTTTTTAAATGAAACTGGATATTTTTGAGGTATTTTCAGATAAAATCGAAGACATAACTCTATGTTTTTTAAAGTATAATATGCACCACGGACAATTTTGTTCGTACCTTGTTTCAGAATTGTTATCGAGTAACATCTGGAATCATTAAAATTGGCTTATAATTAAATCGTATACATCGTATTTCCTTCTTTTTAAAAGTAAGCCAAAGATATAATTTTTAAATCTATATATTATGGGAGAAACATGACATACAATTGTCTCCGCCATCAGAGTGAAGCTGTTCGACATAATATACAAGGCGGTGTACGGCAACTACCGCGTGCACATGGACCAGGTGCTGGCGGAGCTCGGCTACGTGCCCGAGGGAGACAAGTGCGCCAACAGACACGCCGCTAACATATTCTTTGGCAATTACATGGAACCGGATGCTGACCCTAAGATCTATGATCAGGTTAGCTCATTTTAGTTTAGATCTATTTGTCGTAGTTTACTAAATTTAATGCAAATACGTTGAATCGTTTGGACGCGATGGAGTAATAAACATACATACAAACTTTTATATTTGTATTATTATTGACCGAGCGAGCGAAGTAGCTCTGCTTCAAGTTTAGCAAAATTAGCTCTCCTCTAGACAGTCAGTCTTCTCTCGTGAGTCTGTTGGTACTCCTCTACAGGTCGTATTTTACGACCGATCTGAACGGAACTAGATATACAGGTTTTACGACTTAATAGATTTTTTTCGTCACAAAATATTTTTGATTGTACACCCTCCAAAAAGGGGTAAAAAGGAGTTCTAGTTATATATGTGAGTTAACGAAAAATTGTATTGGCAATGTATCAACCAACACTAATCGTACTAATAGAAATTATTAATAATAATATATTTAAAAGGTAACCGACCTAGACGATATGGCGGTGAAAATGGAGTACTATCTGGAGGAGTACAACGTGGTGTCCTCGTCGCCCATGTCGCTCGTCATGTTCCGCTACGCGCTCGACCACATCTCGCGGTGCGCGCGCGTGCTCTTGCAGGACAATGGTATGTTATGGGAAATTTAGCCACTGTCCTTAGGACTTGAGGAATTGATTTTCTAATGTGTTGGTTAAAGAAAACTTATAAAGTATGGAAAGTCCACATTGAGACTAGCCAACTGCGCAGGAAATGTATAGTGTCTAAGGATAGGAACAAATAAGTGTACTGTCTATTCTTTACACTCTCGAACTTCGGTGGGATGATAATTCACATGATTAGCGAGAGGTCGAATTAACAATAAGATCTTGTTACATCGATTTGGATTTTTTGGAAATGGTGTACTGGTCAACAAATATTTTTGTTTATATTTTTATCCTATAGGGAATCTATTGCTGGTGGGTGTGGGCGGCAGCGGCAGGAGCAGTGCGGTGAAACTCGCCGCCAGTATTCTAGAAATGAACGTTATACAGGTATTATATATACACTCGGCTTTGCCCGCGAAAATACCTACATATGTGTAGATATTTTCATAATCAGTTGAACAGTATAGAAGTTAATGTGTTAGAGTAAAAATAACTAGTTTTATGTCGAGATTTCAGTAAATATTGAAAAATATTTTACTTTTTTTGCAATTATAAAAAAGTCTCAACCGATATAATTTGAATATTTTTTTATTATAGATTGAGATATCGAGAGTGTACGGACAGAACGAGTGGCGAGATGATATACGGAAAATGTTAATGAAGGCTGGAATCATTGGGAAACCCCTTGTGTTCTTGTTTGCTGACAATCAGGTGAGAATTTGTTATGATTTTAAGAATATTTATTTATATCCATGGTTTAATTTTCAGGCTTTATTTATGGGGAAATATTTATTATTTTTTTTTACATTTATGTATGTCGCTATAATATATTTTTTTTTTCAGATAATGTATGAAGGTATGGTGGAAGATATTAACATGTTATTGAATACAGGAGATATTCCAAATCTTTATGGTATGGACGAAAAAGTAGAAATTTTAGATAAGATGCAAGCTGCTGTAAGGGAGTCTGTAAGTGTTTTTATTGTTTTTTAATTTATACCATACTAGCAGCACCCGCAGCCTCGCTCGTGCTAAAACTACAAAAAAAATATCTAAGAAGGTAGTTTCATACAAACTTTAATCCTCTAATATTATAAAATGAATTTCGAAAAATGCTAAAACACATATTTATTTAATTTTATTGAAGAGCATTAATAAAAAAATTCAAGTAATTCTTATCATAATTTTTTTTTATTGTATTATAATGTGTTTTCTTGTGGGAATTAGATAACCTACCGCGGTAAAAAGTAACATTTGTCACTCTCCAGCAATCCAACTATCTCCATACAAAAAATCAAACCGACCCGTTTCTCCGTTTCGACGTGAAGAAGGACAAACAAACAAACACACTTTCACATTTATAATATTAGTATGGATAACCAAGCATACCTGATGATTTATAGTAAGAGTACCAAAAAATATAAGTAAACCTGTGTTGAAGTGATTAATATTCTTAGAGAGAGTGGGGATACGAGATTGGTTAATTAGGGATGCTCAATACTCCTAATATATTGTTTTTATTTGTTTGCATAAACACACTTAAAAATCACGATGAAAAGTAATTATTACTTTATCTGAGGCTAACTTTGATAACCTACGATAATAATAAACAAATGAAGAAAACCAATCTTCAATTGACGAAAATATCGAGTAATCTATCCAGAAAAAATATAAGCAAATCAAGTACCTCCCGAAGTACTCTATGAAGTCGGTCAAAAAATAAAAATGCTGTAATAATTTTTTAAACCATTTTGCTCAATGAAGTCTTCTACTCGTCAACCGCAGGGCAAGAAGATGGAGACGACTCCGCTGGCGATGTTCGGGTTCTACCTGGAGCGCGTGAAGGCGAGCCTGCGCGTGGTGCTCGCGCTGTCGCCCATCGGGGACGCCTTCCGCAACCGCCTGCGCATGTTCCCCTCGCTCATCAACTGCTGCACCATCGACTGGTACTAAACATTTAAGCATTTATATTGAACACTAGCGACTCAATCTCGCTTCGCTCGGGTTCGTCCTTAGCTTGATACCCATAGTAACTTTCATCCCCATTTTAACCCCCTTAAGAGTTGACTTCCGGGATAAAAAGAATCTTTTATCCTTCCCAGGATCTCAAACTATCTTCTTACCAAATTTCATCTAAATTGGTTCAGTAGATCCAGAGATTATCCTCTATAACGTCACAAACTCACAAACCCACAAACTTTACCTCTTTATAATATTATAGTATAGAAATAATTAATTACACATTACATACATAATTAAAAATAGATCGTAAGTAGCTGCATCGGTATAAACTATGTCGCAACTATTTACGATCACTTCGGGACATAAGCAGGTTATGTTCTAAGGTACAAATACATTTTGAGGTTATATTAGTAGAAATTAAAGTACTGTATATGGAGTTTCCTTAAAACGATTCAAATTTTTTAATCGTTGGTTGAAAAGTTTGATTATTTAAGATTTTCTATGTGAGGAACAAAAAAAAGCTCTATGTAAACGTAGAATAGTTGAAGAACTAACACATTACAACAAAATGATCATTATTTTTTATTTATACCTTTTTTTATATATTTATTATATCCATATATACCTAGGTTCACAGCATGGCCCCCAGAGGCCCTCGAGCGGGTGGCGTCCATGTTCATATCCAAGATGGAGAGCGTGGAGAGCGAGCTGCGCGACGCGTGCGTACAGATGTGCCAGCTGTTCCACGTCAGCGTGGTGCGCCTCAGCGACAGGTGATGTGCATCTTGTGTTGTATGAGATAAGGTTCAAATTTGATAATGTTAGTATTTTCAGTGTTCTTTATTTTTTCTTTTTTTTTGTGGGGTAAGGTTCATTTTGTGATAATTTCAATATCTTTTGAAGAAACGTGCATTATCAACATTATAATGGATGCTAAAATCTGTCTGTTGGTTTATCCACGGGTTTGTCAACGTATTTATCTATTCTATTTAATGAAGTAGTTTCAAATGGGATATTAATTGCAAAATCTTAGTATATTAAGATAGTAAGAAAGGTTTAAGCGGGTCCAGGTGCAAAGTAAGTAAATCAGTGTGCCTTTTAGTAAATATATTTATATATTTTTATTTATTTATTAGATTCACCAGTGGCAATTACAATATTACAATTTTTTATTATATAGAAGTATTATAGTTTTTATAGCCAATAGCATTATCTTTTAAAATGAATAAATACTTAAATATACTAATATAAAATATACTAATATATATTAATATAAATTTAAATCAATTTCAGATTCTACGCTGAGCAAAAACGAAAAGTATATGTAACACCGACCAGCTACTTAGAACTAATAAAGGCATTTCAAAATTTATATACTTTAAAAGTGGATCAGATCACGAGATCCAGGAACCGGTGCGTATCATGGTTAAATACGAGTCTTAAAAATATCTTCCTAAATGATAGCACGCATCCCAAATATCTAGAATGCAGACATTTTAAATCTCCTATATTATCTGTTTTGTTTTTAATTCTTAACTTTCATTATAGATAAACACTTTTTTATGGAAATAGGTCTCTAGGAATTATCCGTGCTTTGCTCAGGTTCGCCCCAAAAAGTAACCTATGTGTTACTCCATCTGAGCACTAAACTTTCAAATTTGTTCAGTCGTTTCAGTGTGAATGAATACAAACAAATATACACACGCACACACATACAAATTTTGGCTATTATAATAGTAATCCAATACAGACTAAAGTTTCTGATATCATAACGATAAAATATGACATATTTAAACTTCCATTAAAGTTACGAGACGGGGTTAGAGCAGTTAGACTTCGCGGCGGGGCAGGTGGCCGTCATGCAGCAGAACCTCATCGACCTGCAGCCGCTGCTCGTGGAGACCTCGGACAAGACTGAGAAGCTCATGATCAAGATAGAACAGGACACGGTCGTTGTTGAGAAGCAGAAGGAGGTATCGTTATAGGCTTTGCTACTTTCGTCTTATAAATAACGGTTATTGTGAAATATTAGTTCTGTTCTATTGTATTATGATGGAGTCTCTCCCGTGACCATTATTGCTGTAAAGCATTCGAAACCGGGAACCAAAAATCAAAATAAATCCTCGAAAAAAACCGAAAAGATACTTTTATTTAAAATGTCAAATATTTGCGTAAATCTAAGAAAGTATTATGAAGTTTTACTTCAAAAACCAACAGATAGTGGGCGCAGACGAAGCCCTAGCCAACGAGGCGGCGGCGGCGGCGCAGGCCATCAAGGACGACTGCGAGTCGGACCTGGCGGAGGCGGTGCCGGCGCTGCGCGCGGCGCTCGACGCGCTCGACACGCTCAAGCCCGCCGACGTCACGCTCGTCAAGTCCATGAAGAACCCGCCGGCCGGCGTCAAGCTGGTCATGGAGGCGGTCTGCGTCATGAAGGGCATCAAGGGGGACAGGAAGATGGATCCTACCGGTGACCTATCTTACTAAAATCGATCCTTTTTAACGTCCCACTGCCGGGCACGGGTATCCTCAATTTGAGGAAGATCAGGCTATAGTTGACATAGACCGAATATCTTTTGAAAACTTTCTGGATTCTCTAACTTGAACTTAAAGTGCAATATAAGTTATGTAGTTGGTAATTGATTTTCATCGGAAAAATAAACATACCCTCAACGCAAAAAAAATGCTTAAAAGGATCAAATAAGAAAAACTAACGGCTTACAATCAATTAACGTAAATAACAAAAGCTGATCGTTTTTAAGAGTAATATTATTATTATTTTATAAGTAGATGATATGGTATACATCATATATCTAATATTTATATATTAATAGCAGTGGCCTTATTGTCTCGACCACGGTCGCCTTTCTATAGTCTAAGTGCTGAGATTTAATATTTTACATAATATGTATATTTTGTTCTTATATTTGTACTGAGTAATAAATAATGCATATTTTCGTTTACAGGCAAGGCTTATGAAGACTACTGGGGCCCGTCACAGAAAATGCTAGGAGATATGAAGTTCTTGGAGAGTCTCAAGAATTACGACAAAGATAATATACCTGCTTCCATCATGAAGAAGATCAGAGATAAGTGAGTTATTAGAATTAAATTTTTATAATAATATATGTAAAAAATGGTTTTTATGTTTCAGTAACTCTATAAACAAGCAATTGGTTCCATAAAAAGGTTCCAGGAAACAGTCAAATCTAGATAGTCTATTTCTAGATTAATAAAAAAACATAAATTGTAATATATAGTACAAGCCGGCTAACTTTCTGTACATATTTTTAGTAGTAGGGTAATAAATAATAAAAAAGATATTTTTTATGCTTAACAAAAAAAATATTATTTTAACTTCGTGTGAGATTTTTTTTACATAACGAGGGCAACAACATTCTTAATATAATATCATCGTCTCAGTGCTTGTTTGTCCAAACGATCAATTTACTGAAAGATTTTAACATGGAACTATTGACTTTTAAATGTCAATTCTAATCGTATGAAATACATAATTTATTTTAAAAAAGCCGACAAAATGCATTTTATCTATAGTATATGTTATATATCTTAGATACAAAGCTCGATGGTTTGAACAAATAAGCATTAAAGGGATAAAAAAAAATAACATTCACCCACAACAAAGGTACATACCGGACCGCGAGTTCGACCCGGCGGTGATCGCGAAGGTGTCGTCTGCGTGCGAGGGGCTGTGCCGCTGGGTGCGCGCCATGGACGTGTACGATCGCGTCATCAAGGTTAGTTTACAACGTTCGGGTTTTTCATTGTACTGATTTTTTATTCATGCTTTTTGTGGGTCAAGCCTGTGTTCATTTAGCATCTTAGCTCTTTTCAATTTGCATTGTATTCATCCCTTTTTAACGTCCCATTTCTGAACCATTCCACTCATTCTTCTATACCATCCCAGTCATTTTTCCAATATATTGACTTAAGGGTAGGAGTATAAGACTTAAAACTGAGGGGCAGTTTTTATAATCAGTGTATACTTTTCGTAATAAATTCGCAGGTTGTAGCTCCTAAAAAGGCGGCCTTAGCAGAGGCCGAAGCAGAACTTCAGACGCAGATGAACACTCTAAACGAGAAACGAGCTCAGTTGCAAGGTGTACTCGATAAGTTACAGGTAACCAAATTTTGTATGAGGACACATACATATTGTTTGTCTGATGATTAAAATGATTTTTTAATTACAGGACAGTAAAATGAGATGTCAAATATTTCCTATATATTTAGGCGAAAGGGGCTAAAAGTCTAGAAATTATAATTTTAAAAGCTAATCTTCGACGACGCGTTTAGCTCAGTTTGTAGTGACCCTACTTGCTGTGCCAGCGGTCGTGGGTTCGAGTCCCGCTGGGGGCATTCATTTGTGTGATGAGCGCGAATATTTGTATCCCAGTCATGGGTCTTTTATATTTGAACCCAGTTATGCAAAAAACAGCCATGTGCGTAAAAGTACCAACAGAGTTATAAGCATTTTTCTGTCAATAGTTGCACTTGGGTTATGTTTTGTTTTTCTGGTTATATATATTTCTATAAGTATTGTTTATTTTTTATTTATTTTTATTTTTTATAATAAGATGCTTATAACTCTGTTGGTACTTTTACGCACATGGCTGGTTTTTTGCATAACTGGGTATATTTATAATATGTATGTATTTAAAATTATGTATGTGTAATGTATCAACTATCTGATATCCATAACACAGGCCTCATAGCTTACTATGGAACTAGATGGTACCATGTGTTGTAATGTTCTAACATATTTAATCTTTCTGTTCAGGCGCTAAACGACGAGTTTGCAGAAATGACTAGAAAGAAGAAAGGTCTAGAAGATGAGATAGAACTGTGTTCCACGAAGCTGTCCCGAGCTGAACAGCTGATCGGCGGCCTCGGGGGAGAGAAGGCGCGGTGGACGGACCTGCAAATACAGTTGCAGAATTTACTATCTAATATTATTGGTGAGTGTAGAGAAATCTGGTAATATTAGATATTTCTCCTGACCAATTTTGGACATAGCGAGTGGACATAGATTAGTTATGTACACAGAAATGTAATTAAATGAAACTTTATTCAATTAGATTTAATATAAGCACTTTTGTAGAAGATGTAATGTATGTGCGCAGACACGACGGGTACTCTCAATTTCTTTATCCGATATGTTTTTTAACAGAGAAAACCAATGTATTCAATATTAACGTTTGTCTGTCGTTTTTTTTTTTGTTGTCTGGCGTTACGTGGCAATAAGAAAGGTTTTTCTTTAAATTTTACTCGTAATGGGCGCACAGAGAGTGCATCCGCAAAGTATTTGCAACTATAATTCCTTAAAGAAATTTATACATTTTTATAACTAATATTTTCTTATCTTAAAAAACGTATTTCAGGCGACGTACTATTGGCTGCTGGCTTCATTGCCTACCTCGGCCCTTACACTGTCAACTATAGGAGGGAAATTATACAGACGTGGAATAAACGGACACAGGAATTAGGTAACTTAATCTAACACCTAAGTCAGTATAATATAAACGTAATAAAAAATAACAAAATAGATTTAATTATTGTACATTCAGCTAGCCGGTTTTGTTGCTAAAATGCAAAATATGATATGATAGATTATAGGTATATGACGACGACTTTAGGTGCTCTGTCTGGGCAAAGGGGTAACACCGTAGCCAACTCCAGGCTGTAACCGAGAATTTCTTACAAAAAAACTAACTATACTTAGCTAGATAGATTCCCCAAAGCCACTAAGCTACTAGGCCACAATATTGTAATTTAAATCAAAACAAAAGTTCAAATCAATGTTTAATTCAAATATTACAAGCACTTTTGAATCGTCAATATTAACACTTCCTAAAATATATCAAATAACAGTATATAAGTCCCTGAGGAATCTACCATCGGCTCGGAAGGCAGTTCTGCTGAGAAGACTCTAAGAGAAACGTGACAGTTGCTTTTTTAAATTTATTCATATACTAAGAGAGTATATCGCGTAAATCTATGTATACTAATATAATAAAGAGGTAAAGTTTGTGAATTTGTGAGATTGTGACGTTGTAGGGGGTAATCTCTGGATCTACTGAACCGATTTAGATGAAATTTGGTAAAAAGATAGTTTGAGACTTTGGGAAGGATCTAGGATACATTTTATCCCGAAAATCATCCCGTAAGAGGGTGAAAATGGCGATGAAAGTTTGTATGGGGAATCAAGCTAGAGATGAAGTGAAGCGAGGGTGAGTCACTAGTCTATGAAAGTATATTCATATACATTGTGGATTATTTGTCCAGATATCCCGTGTTCCGAGTCGTTCAGCCTGCTGTCGACGCTGGGCGAGCCCGTGGTCATCCGCGCCTGGAACATCGCGGGGCTGCCCGTGGACGCCTTCTCCGTGGAGAACGGCATCATCGTGGAGAAGTCGCGCCGGTGGCCTCTCATGATCGATCCTCAAGGTATGCTAATCTGTTTGCTATTTATACTTTATATTATAAATATGACAGTGTTTGTTTGTACTTCTTACACGTCGAAATAGAGTGATGGATTGGCATGGTTTTTTTGTGTGATTGTTGGAGAGTTGGAGAGTGAGAAAGGAGAGGTATATTTATAATACAACCCACAACAACTCACCATACCTATGTCTATATATAATATATGTAATGTCTATCTATTCCATACTAAGCGTTAAAACCTACGGACCAACCCGAGCGAAACGAGGGTGGGTCGCTAAATGGATAAACAGCATAATATGTAAATATTTGCACTGAATATTCCTCATTGAATTTCGTTTGGAGTTAGATGCCATCAACTTGACTGAACAGAAAAGTAGGTTTTTTTAAATTTTATAGTATACTAGCGGACCCGACAGACGTTGTCCTGTCTACACGTCTTTAATTTGAAAATTTCAAACTTTTTTTAATAATTTTTTTGATGAAAATTATTATTCAAATTGTGAATCTAAACCATTCCCAGATCCCCTTGAACACACACAAAAAATTTCATCAAAATCGGTCCAGTCGTTTGAGAGAAGTTCAGTGACATACACACTCACAGAAGAATTATATATATAAAGATTTTGTCTCATAATTTTTTGACAAAAAAAATCTGTCAATTATCAGTCTAACTTGACATTTTCCATATAAATGCTATTAGATTCTCTAAAACGAAAACGTTTATTTTTTATCTATCTTTTAAACAAGTTTTTTTAAACTATTCTTTTTTTTAAGAACAAGCAAATAAATGGGTGAAGAATATGGAGCGTGAAAACCAGTTAAAAGTAATCAAACTAACCGACTCGAACTACGTACGAGTTTTAGAAAACGCGATTCAACTAGGCCTCCCCGTTATCTTGGAGAACGTTCGAGAACAACTGGACGCCGTACTTGAACCAGTTTTATTGAGGAATATTTTTAGGTAATATTTTGTAACTTTTTATTTAAATTTTAAAACAAACGACAAACGACTTCTTCTTTTCGAACTGGTAGTATACTTATGATGTTCAGTAAAAAATTTAATAATTTAATGCTGAATAAAATATTTTGAATTATTGATTTTTTTTTGAGTTTTGTAAAAAACTTGGCTTAATGCTCAACTTTTGTAATGAACTCTTATACAAAATTTATCCTTCTAGAGCTAGTGCTTTTAGCTATAATGGCCTAAGAGCCTGGGAACGCCAGACCTTCGTCATTTTATAATATGATGAATGATGATGAAAAATGTTCCAAACAAGTTGGGAGGCATTTCTAATAAAATGTTGCAAATGGTCACCAAATTTGAAGCGCTAAGAATTGACTTTATTTTTGATGGTGTGTAATAAATGCTATGCTAGCAGTCTTATAAATCATCTAATTATTACCCAAGTATTATATATAAAAATCAGCTTTTATACTATAACGTAAGTAGAATTATGATTCTATGAAAAGGGTGCCTGGCAAAGGTTTGCCACGATGTTAAGTGGCATGAATGACGTGATTTTTAATAATATTCTGAAGGTAATACCAAAAATCACACTTTATTATTTGACGAATTTAGATCGGTATTTTACACATCTTTAGCACCTTGTACCTGCCAAAGCCACCATAGCCTGAACTTCATAATGGGCCATCGTTCTTATCTGTGTTGGGAGCATGCGCTGACAAACTTTCAGCTTTTATAAAATGACGAAGGTCTGGCGTTCACGGGCTCTTCCTCTATAAGTTGTCTCACAGTCAGACAGTAAATAAATTTAATATTTAATAAGTACACATATATATACGTAAAATATTCTGTGAAATATAAGGAAATCTGTCTGTCTGAGAGAACTTAGCACTTGGCCAGCGTGGTGGACTATGGTCTGATCCTCGTATTGAAGTGAGGCCCACCCCCAGCAGTGGGACTTCAAAAAGGGCTGCATACTATAAGTATATATTTTCATCAGGTCTGGAGGCATAGACTGTTTGAAGCTAGGCGATAACATCCTGGAGTACAACCACGAGTTCCGCTTCTACATCACCACGCGACTGAGCAACCCACATTATCTACCTGAGATTGCCGTTAAGGTACGTTCATTATTCAATTCTAGCAAAATATATATTTTTCAAGTCTAATTAAAATAAACGATCTCCTTTACATTTCAAACCTAAATGAATTTTTGCAATTTTTAATTTAAAGTCTGTGTATATATTTTGTAAATATTTTGTACAAAATGGTTTAACTATAAGAGTGTTTTTTTTTTCAAAAAACTGTTTTCGTACGATAACATGGCTACCGCTAGCTAAAAATCTTCAGATATATATCAAAACAATGTACTAGAAAATTATACGTCTCAAAAAGGCCTACAGAAATATTCACGATAGCATGCGTCTATTTCCTAAAGTACACTCACAATTACTATTTTCACTCATAATTTCTATTTAACACTTAAATAAACATTCTAACGAGCCGCAAAATCAAATAATGTTTCTTTTTAATGTCCACTCAGACTCAGACCAACATTTGTAACATTGTTTTGCATATTGAACCTTGTTTCCAGGTGACACTGCTGAACTTCATGATAACCCCGCAAGGTCTGCAGGACCAGCTGCTAGGCATCGTGGTGGCGCAGGACCGGCCCGAGCTCGAGCTGAAGAAGAACCAATTGATTGTAGAGGGCGCCAACAATAAGAGGACTTTGAAGGAAATCGAGGATAAAATTTTGGAGGTAGAAATAGTTACTTTGTTGGGTAAAAATATATTTTTGGCAGTATTGAGGCAGTGGTAGCTCAGTGGTAATTCACTTGCTAGGGAAATTGAGTGAAGCGATTCAAATCCTGGGTCGTGTGGCGTCACCAACATGATTGGTACTTGCTTTACGGTGAACGAAAACATCATGAAGAAACCTACATTTTTCATCATGAAAGGACCTTACAAGTTTTTGAAAGACATATGACCGCCACCCAGCGCTTGGTCAGCGCATGATATGGCATGATTCCCTTCCTAATGAAATTTGTCAGAATACCTATTTTTAGTTCCTAAACTATAAAATATTTTTTTCCATCACAACTTGTCACAAGTCTCCCAACAAAAGAAGCATAATCAATTGTAATATACCTTCTTCTCTATTTCAATCCAAATAGGTACTATCATCAGCTGGCAACATTCTAGAAGACGAGTCCGCAAACCAGATACTATCATCCTCAAAAACCTTATCAATCGAGATAGAGGCTAAACAGGCGGCTGCGGCCGTCACCGAGCAGGAAATAGATGAGGCGCGCCTCCTGTATGTGCCCGTCTCCAAGCACAGCTCTGTGCTGTTCTTCTGTATATCGGATCTGGCAAATATCGATCCCATGTACCAATATTCGCTTAATTGGTAAGGAATTGTAATGTTTTTCAAGTACTTTTCATATTACTATTATAATTATGTGTGTATGTTTGTTGCTGAATCCAGCTAAAACGATTTTGAAGAAGATTTGAGACTGATTTCGATATTTGGATGTTTAGTTCACAGATAATCATATCTAACACGTAGGCTCTTATCAGGCATAAAGGGATGTAAACGAAAAGGTAAGCCAATAGTAGTATAACCAAAATTTTTTTCAAAGAAGTTACTTCTGTATCTAGCCACAAAGCATATGTGTAGGTAATCGTAAAAGTAAACTAAAACTCCAATCTGGTTCCAGAGTGGCAATAAATATACATAATTATTATAAATGCGAGTTTTTGTAAGTTTGTGTATGTTTATTAGACTATTTTTTAAATAACATAAAGACTATGACCTGACCGTCTACCTACCGGCTACCGTCAGAGACATAAACAGGTACTCGAGTGAAGGATAAGGTATAAATGTAATATAAAAATCTTATTGTCTATAGGTTTATAAACTTGTACAACCAAGCCATCCAGAACTCGCCCAAGAGTGACAACTTAACGGAGCGTCTGGAGGGACTCAACGCGCACTTCACCCGCATCGTGTACGAGAACGTGTGCCGGAGTTTGTTCGAGAAGGACAAACTTATATTCTCTTTGGTGCTCACCTTGGGAATACTGAGGGCTAAGGTATGTTATTTTTAGGATTCCGTACCTCAAAAGGGAGAAAGCTACCCTTATAGTAGTATTCACTTGTCGTTGTCCTTTTATCTGTCTGTCTGCCAAGACCGTTTTTCTCAGGTACGCGTGGAGGTACCGAGTTGAAATTGATATCAAATACTCATGTCTGCAATCCTGGGAAAACTAAGAAAATTCAAACTTCTAAGTCAACGCAATAAAAATTTGTAGTAACATAACAAAAAAAAAGTAACTCTAGGCTCTAAATAATATTTAGTTAAATAGCTTAAGAAAAAAATCTGTGTTACGTAACTACTATCTTATTCATTCAGTGGCAAGAGTTCCTAAGCTTGCTTTCCGGGTCGGCTCAATAGTAATTAAAAATGTCAACTGGGAAAAGGGGAAAAGATGATAATTTTTTAGTAGCAGGAGTAATTTGAGTAGTTTATCTACATTACATATAGATTATGCATACTAACTGGCTCGGTGGTGTAGTGGCTAGCATGTACAGCTGCAAACCCGGAGGTCCTGGGTTCGAGTCCCGGGTCGGGCCAAGTTTAGTTATTAAGTCTTTCTGTATAGTAAGTCTCAGTAACAGCCCGGAGTTGGGAAGTTGGCGGTGTTCCGACCCCGTGCCTCGGAGAGCACGTAAAGCCGTCGGTCCTGCGCCTTAACTCTGGTCGTGTCGAGCAGTCGTCCCACCGGAGTATTAGAGTGACAGGAATAGAGAGTGCACGTTGTGTCTGCGCGTACACGCGCTGCACTATAATATCTCCTGCGCAGTTGGCTAGTCTTAATGAGATTGGCCGCCGTGGCCGAAATAGGTCGGGAGAACATCATCATCATCAGATTATACATATATTCATGAAGATATTTATAAATTCTTTACCAATATTCGTTTCTTGATGTGCTGGAGTGTGTCGACATGTGTACCGGCAGGGCGACCTGGACGACGAGCTGGTGGCGTTCCTGCTGACGGGCGGCGTGGCGCTGGAGAACCCGCACGAGAACCCCGCGCCCGCCTGGCTCTCGGAGAAGGCCTGGTCAGAGATCGTGCGGTGCAGCAATCTTAATGGGTATGTTATTTACTTAATATTTTCTTAAATTTACGCAAATATTTGACATTTTAAATCACTACATAGTATAAAACAAAGTCGCTTCCCGCTGTCTGTCTGTCCCTATGTATACTTAGATCTTTAAAACTACGCAACGAATTTTGATGCGGTGTTTTTTAATAGATAGAGTGATTCGAGAGGAAGGTTTTAGTATATAATTTGTTAAGTTTTTGTATACATTGGCTAAAATATAACGATATTTGTTGGAGGTGTCGGAAAAAATTAAGCCGTCTGGGAGCTTTCAACGAAAACGCTGCCTAAACCTTTTGAGATATAACAAAATAATGTATGGTGGAATTGTGTATCTTATATTATAGGTCTACAGAAAAGTCTGCTATTACATATGCCTATGTCTTAAGGATAACGTACTATATCCATTTTAATTGAAAACATACCTAGGGACGAACCCGAGCGAAGCGAGGGTGAGTCGCTAGTTTTAAATGAAACTATATTTTCGGCTTCTTGTGAAACTTTTCTGTTTAAATTAAGTTAGTAATATAATATATAGAACGTTTTATTTTTAAGTGATAAAGCGAAAGTTATAAATAAGGAAAATTTTAATAAGAAAAATTTCCAATGGTATATGAAAATCATACATAATAACTCAGACTCAATGTCATAAAATTAAATTAAGTAAATATACTAACTAATACATATAAAAATGAACAGTCTTCGTGGATTCAAAGAGAACTTTGAATCAAACTTGGCGGAATGGAAAGCATTCTACGACCTGTCGGCGCCGCACGAGAGTGCTCTGCCGCATCCGTACGAAGATATCCGCGGCATACCTAAGCTCATCATATTGAGGTAAAAAAATGTTAAAAAAAATGTGTGTGTGTACTTATGTACGCACGTAAGAAGTTATACTTCTTTGGCGTAATAGAACAAAAATAACTAAAGATTTCACCTGTATGTCGCTAATGCAGCTAACTTCATCATGTCGCTTTTTGGCTGTCGGTGTGCGCGCGTATCGTCATAATTTTACTCACATAGTTTTTTCCAAACGTTGCTAAAAGAAGTATAGCTTCAAAAATACAAATACAGTCTAATACATTATATATTTTACAGATGACACACATTGTGGGGCTAATGGTTGGGTCTCATGTAGGATAAGTGGATGATTATTATTATATCAGTATACTTCTTGATCATTAATTTACTTACAGATGCATACGTCCGGACAAGCTAATACCGCTCGTCCAACAATACGTAGTGGAAGAAATGGGTCGTACCTATATAGAACCTCCGCCATTCGATTTAGAGAAGTCTTACAACGACAGCAACTGCTCTTCTCCCCTCATCTTCATCCTCTCCCCCGGCTCCGACCCCATGTCGGGGCTCGTAAAGTTCTCCATGGAGAAGAAGGTGGTCTCATTTGAGACTATATCGCTTGGTCAGGGACAGGTTTGTCTAGACTTTTTGAGGTTTTTGTATGTATTTAAAAAAAATGGTATTCCCTTTTATCTATGATATGAAAAACTTAATGGAAATAATAAACCTTCAGAAAATATACAAAATATAGGAGAATGTACAAAAGAGGCCTTTTCGCTAAAAGAGCGATTTCTTCCAGGCTTTTGATGTAGGAAATAGTACTAAGATAGCAGGGGCACTAATCTATGCTCATATTATAAAGGGGTAAAGTTTGGCAGTTTGTGACGTTGTAGGGAGTATCTCTGGATCTACTTAATCGATTTAGATGAAACTTGTTACGAAGATAGTTCGAGACCCTGGGAAGTACATAGAATACTTTTTATCCCAGAAATCGTCCCTTAAAGGGATGAAAATGGGGATTAAAGTTTGTATGGGAAATGAACCTAGGGACAACCCCAACGAAGGGAGGGTGAACCACTTGTATAATATAAGATGACGTAGGGCCCGATAGCCGCGAACATGATCAGACAGGCGGCGGCGTCGGGCGGCTGGGCGGTGCTGCAGAACTGCCACGTGATGGCGTCGTGGATGGGCGAGCTGGAGCGCCTCTGCGCCGAGGAGCTGGCGCCGCGCGCCGCGCACCCCGCCGCGCGTTGCTGGCTCACCTCCTACCCCTGCACTGCCTTCCCCGTCACCGTGCTGCAGAATGGTATGTGTCTAGTTTTAACAGACTTCCAAAAAGAAGGAGGTTCTCAGTTCGTCGGAATCTTTTTATTTGAATCTATGGATTATATGTATATCCATACTTTGATATTTATAAAATATTTAAAAGTGTTTGTTTGTTAGTCCTCGTCGAATTAGAGTAACGGATTGGTGTGGGTTTTGTGTGGAGATAGTTGGAGGGGTGGAGAGTGACATAGGTTACTTTTTACCGCGGGAGATTGTCTCATTTTCATGGGAAAATACATTATTATAGAACCCACTACAACTCATCGTACCGTCGTCGTATATCTATGTATATACAGGATGGTCCAAGAAGTGACGTCATAAAATTTTTTCGTAAGTATTTTTCCTAGTTCATCGTAACATCGCCTATTAGGAACAACCTTCTTTATTATTATTTGGTAAGCTGATAAGTTGCTGAAGTTTTTAAAAGTACTTTGAATCTATGAAACTTCCATTTTGTATTGTTAAGAGAATTTTGAATATTTAACTCCGTCCAACTCAAACCTAAAATTTTCACTTTCGACCCTTTTTTGGTAACTTATAATGAAGAACGTTGTGTAGTTGATTATAACGTATGAAAGAGTGATTCAAGACGATCATGTTGCAGAAAAAGAATTTTTTTTACTACGTATTCGTATTAAACAAGTTATGATTTTTTTAATTTACTCCGGTAGAAAATTCGCAAATACACATTGAAAAAATCATAATTTCTAAACTACGAAAAATTGTGGAACATACATGGGGTATTTTCGGATACACCCAGATGTAAGGAATCTAAAAAAAAAATTATGACGTCACTTCTTGGACCATCCTGTGTATATAAAAATCTATTCCATACTAACCGTTATTGTATATATTCATACTAGAACGTGTATTTCTAGCATTATGTAATAACCCTAAAAAAATATTTAGGTGTGAAAATGACAAACGAAGCACCGAAAGGTCTTAAAAACAACATCTACCGCTCATACATGTCGGACCCCATCTGCGACCCGGAGTTTTACATCTCTTGTCCAAGGACAGAAGAATGGCGGAGACTTCTCTTTGCTCTCTGCTTCTTCCACGCCATCGTGCAGGAGAGAAGGGCCTTTGGTCCTCTAGGGTGGAACATACAGTATGAGTTCAACGAGAGTGATCTGCGGATATGTATTATGCAATTACAGGTAAGTTGAAAATGATTGGTGATTTCGTTTGCATTTTTGAGTTGTTTTATCGTATAAGATCTAGTAATTATAGGTTAAAACTATATAACTTTGTTAATTAATAATAATAAACAATTATCAACTTCGAAGGGTCTAGACTTTAGCTGGTTAAGCATAAACCATTAGAAAAAAAATTATAACAATTGTACTGTCTTTTCGTAAAAATCTATGAGGGGGAAGTGTATAGTTTAAATGAATATTATACATTTGGCTACCAGGGATAAATTACCAATGCTTGACCGGCTAGACGCCGTACTTTAAGCTAAAAACTTTGAAAAAGTACCTAAATAATAAATATTATTCTTAGTTATCCAGTGAATAAGAAATATGTTTTAAATTTAACATAAAATGTGTTATTCCCAGATGTTTCTAACAGAATACACAGAGATTCCATTCGACGCCCTGAACTACTTGGCGGGGGAGTGCAACTACGGCGGGCGGGTGACGGACGACAAGGACAGAAGACTCATACTGTCTCTTTTGTCCATATTCTACAATGAAGAAGTCACTACGAATCCTAAGTATGTGTTTATTTTGATACGTTTTTTTAAATATGCCTAGAGCATACTTTCATATTTTTGTTGAAACGGTAAATAAATAGTTATGATTATTATGAAACTAGATTTTTTGTACATTTTTTTCCTAGTGTCTAAATTTTCTATAACTTAATATAAACATTTTTTGGTTACCAACTTAAATGCCAATTGTATTCAAACAATTTCATTAGTTTTAATGTAAACGATATTTACCTTAAAATATCTCTAAAACGTGATACCATATTCCCGTTATTATTTATTTGTTTAATCCTTTATCCATAGACACCGGTTTTATCGTGCGCCTTTTTGAAAATTAATAAAAAAGGCGGAATGCTAATGTCAGCTTAGATAAAAAAAGTTAGTGCTCTTGTTCGCGCAAAACGCCTGAATAGATATGAAAGCAATTGTATATTTAACATAAATTCGCTGTATACCTAATATAAATTATTGTAAGTAAAACGCTGGAAAAAATACTGCCGAAGTACAATCTAACCCCTTTAAACATAATATTGAACCCGTTACTTAGATTACGCAAATAGGTACGTAAAATTTTAAATTACACTATTTTTTCGGATATTTCGCAGATTTATTACAATTTTTGATTGCCGAAATTTCTAATGCTTTACAGCAATCGTGGTTAGATTCATCATTTCATGTCGTAAAGCATTCGGCAGGCAACAAAAATCGGGAAGCAAAAATGAAAATAAATCCGCGCAAAAATTCGAAAAGATAATTTTATTTAAAATATCAAATATTAGCGTAAATCTGAGAAAGTGTAACAGTAGGGTAACCGGTTGATTATTGTGGACAGTTGGAAACGATTTCTATAGAAACAAATCCTTGACATAACCCATTAGCTACTCGTTCTCCCCGAGCGGGGACTACGTGCTGCCGCGCAGCATGGAGCACGCGGCCGTGTTGGCGCACGTGCGCGCGCTGCCGCCGCGCGCGCGCCCCGAGGTGTTTGGCCTGCACGAGAACGCCGACATCACCAAGGACAACAAGGAGACCGCGAATGTACGTATACTTTGGCGATTTGCTCATTATTTGCCCTTTCTGTCATACTTTGCCGTTTTCATTTTTGTCATACTTTGCCGTTTTTGTCATTATTTGCCGTTTTGTCATTATTTTGCTACTTTTGTCATTCTTTTACTGTTGAGATAAATTATAATTTTTTTAGGGTTCCCAAGACTAAGGTAAAAACAGAGATTTTATTCTTCGACATGTCGTCTGTCTATATGTTATAGTTATTTTATTCATTGACTGTTGACACTTCAGATATAGACTTTTACAACATGAGTAAATATCCGTACAGAGACAGAGCTTCATAGCGCGCATGGATATGTATGCTATATGTATACTATTATGTTAGAGCGGTCTGTGCTTAACAGTTCACCACGCAGAACACATAAGCGTGATAAAACCGGTTTTTTTCCGGCTCAAGCTATTGACAATCTCGGGCCGAGCGCGTCACGCTCAAAAGAAAAGACACTACCTTATGTAGTAATGTATTTGTATCCATATTGTATGAAGCTTTGCTTCCGTAGGGATAATTTACTCTTCTACACTATTCTATACTAATATTATAAAGACGTAAAACTTGTAGCTTTGGATGTAGAGGATAATCTCTGAAATTACTGATCCGATTCTGAAAATATTTTTTTACCCTTAGGAAATACTACATTACCGCAGAGCGTAAAAGACTTATTTCAATAAAAATTTGTTTTCTGCCAGAAATAATGAAACATTCTTCAGTATTCAATTGAAGTGCTCTGTCTGCAATTTTCGAAAGAAATCAACAAAATGTATGGCAAAGACATATAGGAGACCCGAGCGAGGGTATAGACTATGGTATGGTTACAGCTGCTGTTCGGCTGCCTGCTGACGCGGGGCGCGGGCGCGGGCGCGGGCGCGGGCGGCGCGCGCGCTGGCGCCGGCGTGGAGGAGCTCACGCGCGACGTGGCGGCGCGCCTGCCGCCGCCCTACGACGTGCGCGCCGTCGCCGCGCGGTACCCTGTGCAGTATCACAATAGCATGAACACTGTGCTTAAACAGGTTGGTTGGGAGTCATTATACAATTATAGAATATATCTTTATTGACACAATTGTTTGTTGTTACTTAAGCCTGTTGAAGCCTCTAACTCCCAAACTAGATTAAACCTGTATGTTGTGAATCAGCGACCTCTTCCATCTTTAATGATAAGTGCAGGTTAATAATATTACAGAGCATGTTTAATAGTAATAATTTTAGTATTTGTTTGTGAAATAAATTGGACACAGCACCTCCCAGTGGAGGCATAAGGTATAGATTCTGTTAATGCTTTGACTGGACTATGGGAGCAACCCCTTGGTTGTTGTAGTCTGCTTTGACAGGGCTGGGGTCGGGGCGTTGTGGTTGTGCGTTAGCGATGCCCTATTAAGACGAGGTAGGTTCTGTTGAGTTTTTGTGAATAGTACTGGCTTTCGTAGCCGGTAAGTCACACCTAACCATCAGTACGTATGCAGGTGACATACGTAAATGCATTTCTTAACGTTAAAAAAACTTTTTAACAAAAAAATAAAAACCGACTTCAAACAAAAGCACTAAAAAGTAAAAAATAACTGATTGGTAGTTTTAATTTACTATACATACCTAATCAAATATTTTCGAAGCCGGTGTGCTTTGCTTTGTATGGGCTGGCACTGATTTCGAAAATATTTGATTAGGTATGTATTTAATAGGTAGGCTTTAATTACTTAGCCAAAGCACACCGACTTCGAAAATATTTGATTAGGTATGTATAGTAAATGAAAACTACCAATCAGTTATTTTTTACTTTTTAGTGCTTTTGTTTGAAGTCGGTTTTTATTTTTTTGTTAAATAGTTTTTATTTTTCCCTTTTTAGTGTAGACAGTAGTAGCAAAGTAAGGATTCTAACGTGTTAGGCTTGTTAAATCAAACAAAATAAGCCCAAACTCAAAGTATCTACTATTAGTCGTTGAAGAGGTGCACCTATCCACCTTCTGGCCTTGCCATCAGATCAGGTCAACAACACCGAACCACTGCACTATCAACGGAAATAGAAATACTTGCAAAGTTTCAAGTCAATATGACAGTTAGAAGTAGGTTAAATTCATCATTAGTTGTTTTTCCACCCTTAAAGGTGGTATTTATTTTTTGAAATTTAAATGGGACCAATCTGGAAGTATACCCTTTCAAACAAAACAAAAATTATCCAAATCGGTTAATAAATGACGGAGTTCTGAGGTAACAAACATAAAAAAAAAACAAAAACATACAGTCGAATTGAGAACCTCCTCCTTTTTGAAGTCGGTTGAAAAAAGTCATATTCTATCTGTATATTCAAAACCGTCCAGCCGTTTAAGCGAAAAGAACTAACAAACAAACATATATATACACTTTCTTATATATAAAAGTAGTCCAAATACAATTTATACCAACATAAACAGTAATATATATTATATAACCTATACCTGAATCAACACCCAGGAGCTGATCCGCTACAACCGGCTACTGTCGGTGGTGGCGCGCACGCTGCGCGGCGTGCACCGCGCCGCGCGCGGCCTGGCCGCCCTCAGCGCCGAGCTGGAGGCGTGCCACGCCGCCCTCGCCGCCGGCCGCGTGCCCGACGCCTGGGCGGCCAAGTCCTACCCCTCCATGAAGCCTTTGGGCTCGTATATTGCGGATTTCCTCGCCAGGTGTGTCCGTTTTTTGTTTAAGACATTTTTGTCTGTTTATTTTACGAGAAGAGATTTATTCTCGCTACCCTGGCGATGCATCTCTAAGTTCCCAATTATATACACACACACACATACCCATACAAACACACTCACACGCACACACGCACGCACGCATGCGCTCACACACAAATTATCACAATTATGATAGTGATCCAGATAGTAGATATGTTGCTCTAGATCACAGTGTATTTGTGTACCAAATTTCATCCAAATACGTCCATCAATCATTAAACGCGCAAGAATAACAAACCGAGACCGACAGCAATATTTCGTCCCATTTCACGACTCTGCTACTTTTGGGATTCGCCTTCTCCCCTTAATGCGAGCAAACTGATGCCAATGTCAAGCAAATAACAACCTAGTGAATACCTGTATTTAACTCTTACTCGTATATGCTACCATTTTCAACTACTAAAATACATTGAATAATAAGCTATTTATTATTATCTCATTATTGATAATACCTTTTGATAGTACTTATAAATTATAGATAGTTTAATTTTAATTTCCATTTTATTCATCCCCCCGACGCACATATTTTATTTCACACGGGGTATTTGAGCGATTTGATCACCCAAAACTTTTTCTTTATTTTAATCAATGATAATGATGCTCATAAGTGGATGTTTATCATTTCAATAGATTTTTATGGATTTACATGAAAATTAAAACATTTTTACTGTTATAATATCTATTTTATTAATTAATTAATATAATTACAATGTCTTAGCAAAAAACCAGGATAAATTACTTACCTAGAAGAGGACCACGGTTCTTCTTCTGAAGAGTATATAGCATAGCCTGACATCGTATCTAATGATGACTCATCATTGTCGTGTACGATATAAGGCTCAGCGGAAAGTAACAAACCTATCGTTTCCTTCATAAAAGATTTGGCTATTTTTTTTGGAATAGATCGCATTCCTCTTAATAGTAGATCGGAACTAAGAAGTAGCCTGTTAATAACATCCACGTTGCAGGCTTCTCGAGAAAATTTGCTGGCGAAATTCTGGCGATACAAACGTATATGTTTGTTACATGCTACCGCAGCTTCTTCTGATAATTAACCAATCGGAAGCAATACTTTATCTATAATTTCAGATCCGTCAATCAGATCAGATCAGTAAATCTTCTGTTTTTCTTCGTTTACTCCTTTCACTTAACTCTGAAAAATATTTATGTGATCGTCCTGTTGGGTTTGTAACTTTTGGTATAACAAAGGTGCCTTCTAGCCATGTTTTATTGTTTTTCAGAAAATAATCTTCTTTATAGTGAGAATCAGTCTATCTTCCTTTCATTTCCAACTTAAAAAAGTGACAAATCTTGCCTAATTTTTTTCATGTCCTCTTCAGAAAATGGGCCAAATTTTAGTACGTATCTTTCCAAAAACTCTAACTTTTCATTAATATAAACTTTCGTTTACGCATTGAACATCCAACACTGTTTGATACATGTACTCAAATGATCAATCTAGTTTGGACCGACCCTCTCACATGGTAATTCCGAAAGAGAAACAATGAAGTATTGTTTACGATTCTTAGAACTATTAGCTACTTGCGTAGCCTTTTTTTTCAACCTGCTTTGAATTCTAGGAAATTGAGTTTTAGCCGGCCAAATCACTCAAATACCCGTATGTACGACGTGTCAACATTAAAATAAATATATCTCGTAAAAAAACATCTAATTCAAACAACGAGTAAACTATATTGTTATAACAAAATAAAACTAATATTACGTATATTAATAGTTTATTATGGCTAATCGCAACATTTTGCTACATTGTATATTTTTCTAAAGTCCACATACATATATTTTGTACTCAGTCTGCTCTTTTATTTACCCAAATAAGCTCCGATATTGCACACAACTCCACAAACCGTCATAACATCCATATTATAATGTCGTCATGTGTACCAGACTTAAAATAAATTATATTATATAATATAAAACGTACAAATGGCAACACTTAAGTAAACGATTAAATTTTTTTAAACATTGTAAAACTACATAATAGTTATAATAAAAATTAAAGAATACAGTCGGAAAAATTTGGAAGTTACTATTTATTTTTTATTTTGATATGGCAACTTTTAAGATAAAAGAGATTCAAAAGGTTTTAGCAATCTGTATCAAACCAATAATGATATTTCAAAACTACTTTGATATCATTCAAATTCTTACTTTGACAATGTGATCATGGAATTATTTTTTGATACTCCCTTCCACTGAAAACCCTAAATCTATATAGCTGTATCCAACTCTAAACAAAACTAGACATTTCCCAAAACTAATAATAGTGATCTAACTAAGTTCATACTCGTGTACTGCTAGTAACACAGTTTGTTTATCCACTATACCTAGAATATACGCCAAATATGCAATTTAGTACCATTCTGTGTAAACTTTATCTACAAATGTAAAGCAAACACTACATAAATACTACAAGTCCAACGAGAAAATATTTTGAACTCAGCCTTCGGATTTTTTAGCTAGATCTAGTAGCTTATTCATTAGCTCCCCACCGAAAGACTCTCGGTATTTCTGGCTGATGTTATTCAGCAAAGCGTAAGGTGTCTCGTAGTTCATATTCTCTATCGTCGCCAAACTAACGTCGTCGTACTTCCGTCCCACGACCCTGAAACCCGAGGCCGACATTTCTACGCAATATTCAGAATTTTCCAAAGTAGTCAGATTTATGTAGATTCGTTGGTTGTTGTTTTTTAATTTGGACGACACTTGCGCTGAAGTGACGTGTTTCCGGATGTCGTTAATGGCGGCTTCCGCTTCCATCGGCCAGGTTTCTTCGTCTAACACTTGCTCTGTCATTTTCTGAAATAATGTACAGCTATAAATAAATGAGGGTTCATACATACTTATATGTATTATAAATTAATTAACACCGTAAAATTTCCACATAATGATCAAAATGCACTACGTATCTGCAGTTTTAAGCCAATTGTTATACTGTTATAATATTTATGATCTCAATCTGAAGCAGTCAATTATTTATACCGGTATGCGTGACCATAACATCGCGCACCGTGGGAAGCTAGCTTAACCTAGAAGCCATATTGTAAGCCTGTCGGAGTACATGTCTCTATACTCTATAGTTATATGGTGGTTTATATGCCAAAAACATTTGCAATGCTCAAATAACTCTTAAATAAAATATCATTGCAGTATTTTAGATTCAGTATTTAGCTAGGTTCCAGGTGACGCTGCAGCATCAGGCCTACGTTACTATATCACTGCACTATCAATAGAGTGATAGGATTGGATACCAATTTTCGATTAGATATGTGGAAGTTGTTCATATCCTAGAAAAGAGCTGATAGCCTGCTGCCATCGATACACTTAGCAGATTTTTTGATTCAATAACACTCTCGATTAAGTCACCTTTCAAACAAACAAAAAATTAAATTTAAATCAGTTCATCCGTTTGGGTGCTACGATGCCACAGAAAGATACACACATCAAACTTATAACTTCCCTCTTATTGCGTCGGGGGTTAAAAACTAAAAATATAAATTAAATAAATGGTATAGTGCCTATGCCCTGTTTTATGTACGCTCGAACATGTTCTTTGGGTTCTTGAATTTGTAGCGTAATACATTATTTATTATTAAATAAAGTCAAATTATGTTATATTTATCGATAACTTTTAGTCATAACTAAAAGGGTCACGACCGAGTAAATTAATAAACAGATATGTGTACATATGACAAGGAAATGGCAAACTGCTCGTTATTATCAGGCTTCAGATTTTTCAGTTACTAAAGGTGAAATGGATAAGCCAAGTTAGGCCTCACTAAAAACATTAAAATATCAAACATACATGAAAAGCTTCTGTGCATAAGAAGCGATGCCACTCTATTAAAATAAACTAGCGACGAACCCGAGCGAAGCGAGGGTGAGTCGCTAAGTTGATACGCCATACGAACTGTCATTTTCACCCCCTTAAGAGATGATTTCCGGGATAAAAAGTATCCTATGTCCTTGCCAGGGTCTCAAACTTTTTACCAAATTTCATCATAATCTGTTCAGTTCAGTAGATCCAGAGATTACACCCTACAACGTCATAAACTTACAATTCACAAACTTTACCTCTTAATAATATTAGTATAGATAAAATAATAATAAAACTAACCGAACAAAACTACAAAATCCAAACGAGAAAATCTAATTTTCTAAATATTTGTTTTGCTAGGCTTAAATTCTTCCAAGATTGGATAGACGAGGGTCCACCAACGGTCTTCTGGATATCAGGGTTCTACTTCACCCAGTCGTTTCTGACTGGAGTTCTGCAGAACTACTCGCGACATAACAAAATACCAATAGACCAAGTGCACTTTGAATTTACAGTCACTAGTATGGAAGCAACGTGCGAGGAGGAACCAGCTTTTGGAGTATACTGTAAGGTATTATGAAAATCAAAATTACTTTTTGATCTAGTGATAAACGTAAAGTCCCTCACCTCAGTCCCCGAGTTTCAATACTGAGTCAGGTCAAACATTGTTATTTGATTCTTTCGAGAAATTATTCTCAGTAGTAAGAAATTTTACACACCATTAACAAGCAAGCAACAAACCTATGAGAGATTGGCTGCTATAACCGAAAATCTATTGGGAAGACATAGTATACGTCAAAATTTGAAATCCCTATAAAATTAAAAAATAGTAATCGGTCATTCACTCACTGGTAAAACATAAAATTTTGAAAACTTACTTATGTAGCTAAAATTTGACTAAGTCGGATCAAAGTGGTGTAAAAGCTATGTATATTGTTTTGAATGACATAAAGATGTGTTATTATGGTTAAAAAGTCTTTATGATATGAATGGCGGCATTGAGGACTGTGACCGAGCCCTAATTTCGGTCTCATCGACCTATATAAAAAAGGGGGGAGCAGAATTTTGAATTATATATTAGCTAGGTTTAGGGCACTAGTTCCAAAGAAAAATATTAAATGCATGATGAGTATCATATAACTTGTTGCATATAATGTAACTTGTTTTAGCTTTAGTTTATAATTATGTTCTCTTTAAGTAAATCTATTACCTACTACTGATTAGATTTGGAAGAGAAATTTTTAAAAATGCTATTTTATTATTAAATTAATATTATTTCAAAAGCGGAAGAGGTTTGTTTGTTCTGCAAGTCTATATTTGTATTCAGCCCTTTTTGACGTCCCACTGCTGGGGGTGGGCCTCCCTTCAGTACGAGGGGGATCAGGCCATACATAGTCCACCATGCTGGCCAAGTGCGGGTTGGCGGACTTCACATGTCTTTCGAAAACTTGTTAGGTTATCTCAGACATGCAGGTTTCCTCACGATGTTTTCCTTCACCGTATTGACCTCGATTGGCCTTTATTTATCAAAAATAATCCACTTATTAGCAAATCAATGGAAATCATAGAGTGTATGGTAGGAACATCTAATTTATATTGTTTAGTGCTATTTTTAAAATAAAAATTTTTTTTTAAATTCAGTCATTCACTATCAGCATTATGTTATTTTTCGTATTAAAAGTAAATATTTTAATATTATTTAACAAACCAATCTCCTAAAAACAAAGCGTCTACACTTAATATATTTCCACAAGTGTTTAATATATGAGTGAATGTAAGATAATATACTATTATGTATAGATGGTGTGTATATAAAGTATAGACTATAATATATATTATGTTATCTAAACATTTAAATGTATTTGCAAGCAAACTCAACAAGTGGATAATCAAGGCCAGGAACACAGTGTGTTTGTTTGGGTGAGTCATGGTGGTGTGCATGTGTTTTAGCTTTTTTTTTTTTTTTTTTAATAAAGCCGGAACTCTTCTGACGTGGTGGTCAGAAACTTTGTTTACAATTTGGAGGTTTTTACAATATTTTATGACCAAAGGAATTTTGATTTTTTACATTTGTTGTTTACTATTTCTTATTCTATTGAGAGAAGCTATCTTTTGTTATCCAAAGTTATTACAGTGTTTGTTTACAAATTGTTTACTTATTTCTTATATTTTATTTGTATACATTACAAGGCGAAGGTAGTAATTTTTATTTCTACTTAATTTTTATCTTAGCTTATTTGCCGTGTAATTTCTATTTCTTAGTTTATACATTATTTTATCCTAGAGATGGTTGTTGTGTTGTTTCTATTTCTATATACATATGCTTTTATCTTTTTCTTAAGTATTATGCTTATATTATTTATAATATAGGTTAATACTAGTTTCTTACAATTATCTTTTACTACTGCTAGGTAAGTACTGTATATTTTTATCTAATTTTTTTTTTTTTTTTTTTTTTTTTTTTTTTTTTTTTTTTTTTTTTTCAGTACTAATTTTATTTACTTAATTTTAATATAATTATTGTTTGTGGTTGTGGTCCTACTGAATTAACACTGGTCAGCAAAACATTATGTTTTCTGTTTCTGGTTTGCAGTGGCGTATTCTATTGTGCTGTTTCGACTCATGCTTGTGTGTGTTTTAGCTTTATGGCCTTTTAGTTAAGACTGGTTAATGTTTGACTAACTTGGAAAAAGGAGGTTCTCAATTTAGATATTTTGTTGTTTGTGTGAAATGTTTTTGGTAAGAGAAATTAGTGACTTTAGTTTGTGCATGCGGTTAGTATTAAGAATTTGGGATTTTTTACAAACCTCTGGAAGTCTAGTTGTAACAGTAAGACTATATAATCTATACATATAATAAAATTGTAACTAAGCCGAATCTGTACATTAAATGTTTTTTGGAAAACCTTTTTGAAATAGACAATCTTATCGATACAGAGGCCGAATCTATAGTTTTTAGAACTTTGTCTGTCTGTCTGTCAGTTACCGCATCACAGAAATATTACTGGAGGGATTTTGATGAAATTTGGTATAGTGATAGCTGGCTATCCGGGTCAACATATAGGATACTTTTTCCGCGGAAAAATATCTCATTTAGAGGAAAAATACAAAACCTACAATGTAAGAGTATACTAATATGTAAAACCTAAGAATTTGATTTTTGGTCATATGAACGCAGGTGGGGCCGCGGGCAATGCTAGTAATAAATTATACATAAAATATCAATTCAATAATATGTTATTTTGCAATGAATCCTGCATGGTGCTAAAGTAATTTGCTTTTAATAATAATGCAGCACAATTTAATTTTGTTTTTTTTTTTATATTTGCATGTCTGTATGTAATTTATTAAGTTATAAGTTTTTTTATTTTTACTAATGGGAAAACATGTTTGTTGACAAAAGAATGCAGCAATTCATAAATCTTTTTATTAGTTACATCAAAAATTTTAATAACATTTATACAGAATATGTCTAGATACAATAAAATCTTACTGTATAGTTTTTTTCTGTAACAGGGCCTGTTCCTAGAAGGAGCAAGATGGAACCGAGAAACAATGCAACTAGATGAATCATATCCAAAAATCCTATTTGACACCATCCCAATCATTTGGTTTCAACCAGCTCTAATAGTTGATTTTAACCCACCACCAAGTTATTTTTGTCCTATATACAAAACTAGTGAACGAAAAGGTGTACTGGCAACTACTGGACATTCAAGTAACTTTGTTATGTACATTACTTTGAGATCTGATATCCCAGAGAAGCATTGGATTAATAGAGGAGTAGCGAGTTTGACACAGCTTGATGATTAATCGAGATACATTGATATTGAATCCTAAAATAGTATATCTCCATCTTTGCCAAACTTGCATAACATAATATTGAGACCAATCTGGTTAATTGCATGTTCAGTTTATGAGCAAAGACTATGTGAATCTATTTTAATTACATTTTATCTTCAGTAATCAATATTTATAATATTAATAATAATTTAAAATATTGTTTTTATTTATTAATGAAAAATATTGTGGCAGCGTTTTTATGTTGTGTTGTTTGTGATGTTCAAATATAAATATGTTTTACATTTCATGTTGTTTTATTTTATTTATTATGAATATTGTCAGAAATTCATGATAGATAGGCCATAATATAAAAAAAAAACAAGTAGGCTATGACATTGTAGGTGTATTACAATAACGTAAATGGATGCTTAAAAATATTAACAGAATATGATTTTTTTAAAGATAAGAAAGAGAAAAGTTAACAATAAGTTAATAAATCTAGTAGGCTTATAATAATTTTGAATATCGCGCCTTTTGTACTAATTTTATACTCACCTAAATTTAAAGATGACCGACTTTATGCTAAGCGAGTTCTTGAAGACAGGTAATATATTCACAAATCAGGACAAATCCAAGCACTAATGGCATTAATTTAATTTAAAAAAATGTTCAATTCATAAAATCAAAAGGCGTAACTCGTAAATAAGTACAAAATTGACATCCTGTGCTTTGTAAATTATTGACAAATAAGTGAATCACTCTTGCCATACTTAAAAACTGAAGCTTTTCTAATGTTCATTTGGATGCGATTGCACAACTAAAACGTTATTATTTATTATTGTTCCTTTCAAATATTCATTTTAAATGATAAAATTTATATTATAAGGCTAGTATAGTATTATATGATCTGTGTATAAGGATAGTTTTTGTATGTATACATTGTAAAATAAATACTTGGGCAATAAGAATATTGATGATTTAAAATATCATTATGTTCTGTATTAATGAAAAATAATTTAAATGTTAACAAAAACATGCTTTATAATATTTTTTTATTTATCATTATGTTATCTAGCGTAAAATGAAACGCACCATTTTCGCCTTTTTTGTTGACTCGCATAGATGGCGCCTTGAAATTGTAAACTGCGTATGGCGAACTGACGTTTTTGGTTATTTTTGTTCTCGCCTCGTGTTTACTTTAGTGTCTAATTTCGATCCAGTTGCGAAAATATAGTTGTGCAATATCAAAAATCTTATAATTTAGGTAAAGACTATTCTATGATACCGTAAAGTATCGATCCGCGCGTCCGACTAGATATATGTATACAGTTTTATCACGTGGTGGTGTGATTTATATAATTCTTGTTTACCGTACGAGTCGAAACTTTGCGCATGTGCGTCCCGTCAGTAACCTCAAACCGTACAACGGACGCGGATTCGGCAGGTTCCGGATATCCGGGTCGCGGCACGACGGTCTCGGGTCTGTGATGTGTTATCGCGGCGAGGGTGCGCGCCCCGCGTGTGGACGTTGCTGATACAATACGCGCGGCCGACATGGCTCAGACTCAGATATCGCGGAGCTCCGAGAGCGATGCCTGGGCTCTGCTCGCGCTCAAGTCGGCGCCCTCATCGCCCTCCAAGGTGCAGTGGGCGCAGGAGCCGGCTCCGACCGCAATCGCGCGACTCGATGGTCGCGATTTTGAATATCTGATTCGGCAGAAAAAGGTGATTATCGGTCGGAACTCTAGCCGGGGTCAAGTGGACGTAAACATGGGACATTCTAGTTTTATATCGCGCCGACATCTCGAACTGTTTTATGACCACCCGGAGTTCTACCTGACGTGCAACAGCAAGAATGGCGTGCTAGTGGATGGGGTGTTCCAGCGAAAGGGAGCGGCTGCGATGTTGCTGCCGAAAAGGTCGGTACACTTGTTATATATAAACTGGAGGTTGTTGCGGCCTATTTCTAGATATTGCTTTTTGTTTGTAAACAAACTATTTGTTTATATCTACCCACCTGTTGTTGTTGTTTTTTTTTTATATATTTCAAACCATTGTGTACTTTTATTGACACATGTGGTTTTATTAATACCTAAATCGATGATACTAATTTTTAAATATCTAAAATTGATATAATTAAAACCAATTAAATGTTATATTTTACTACTAGCAAGGTTATCTAAATGAAAATTTGCTTTCAAAAATATGATGGCAGTGCGATTTGTTTATTATTTTATTTTAAATTTATGTATACTGTTTATCTTTAATATGTAAAAATAATAACATAACACATAGAATAAATTCATTTGTGAATAATATTGAATTTTACAATTAAAAGTGAGCGTTTTGAATACAATATTGATTTACAAAAAAAAAAACTGACCCAAATGTTTATAATTTTAGTTGCTATGGCGGTAATGTAAACAAATATTATCCTTATTACTATTAGCCATTAATACATACATATTTTGTTAAAAGGTATTTAAAAACTATAATACTTTAGTAGATATTCTGTATATAAATAAGCTTATTAGTAAATAATATATTATTAATGTTGCGAGAGATAGGTAATCTATTAGGTATGGCTACAGAACTGCAACTTTGTAACTTCTTTAATTATAGTAATAATTTATATTATAAAATTCCTAACTTAACTAGGAGAATGGAATCCTTGCAGTAGCCAACTTTCTCAATCTATACAAATAAAATTGAAGTGTCTGTTTGTAATGTCAAAAATTTTTACTAAATGCATATGAAATTATATAAGGTAGCTAATTATAAAAAAACACAAGTTTTATAATTTTCATCTGTCTGTTTGTCTATTTGTTCTGGCTAATTTTGAAATCGCTGGACTGGTATTGAAAGGACTTTTACTGGCAGATAGCTAATGTTATAAGGTATAACATAGGCTACTTTTATTTTAGAAAAACAATCAGGGTTCCACAAAAAAAAAACATAAGTTGCTGGTATATCAGAGAGTAATAAAAATATGGCTTTCTAACAAAATATAAGGTTTTACAATCTATAACAAGATTGTCTACATGAAAAAAATAACAAACATACATATTACACATAGATTATATTATGTTAAAATTAATTTCATTACATATAAGTCATAATAAATATGACAGGACACTAGATATCTGTTGTGAATATAATAAATTAAATTGATAATAATTACTATGCATTATTGATATATTAAATTTGAACTTTCATTATAGGCCATGAGCATAAATATACATTCATATACCTACATTCTATTCAACATAATACACTAATAATAATAATTTATATTAAATACCAAGTAACACTGTTTTGCTTGTGGCTATCATCTATAAGTATAAAAAATTGTATACTACAGATAACCCAAAATAGTATATACTAGCGACTCCCCCCATTAACTTTAGGTTCATTCTTAGACAAAAACAAATCTATCCCATGGAAACCTTATATGTTTGTGCTATCCAAGACTAAAATCTATCTTTCTGCTAAATTTCTGCAAATTTAGCAAACATCCATCCATCCTCACAAACTTTCAAATATTCTATATTATATATTAGTATGGATATTAGATATGTTCAAAATGCTAATTATGTTAGTTTGTGTATTTAATATTTACATTATTAAATTCATTTTTTCATATTATTATGTTCTTGTTTACGTTATGATGTACGATATATATGCTTTATTTAATATATATATATATATATACATATACTATTTTTTTTTCTTATGGTTTTTTCTGCTTAGTCGACGAAAACCAAATAATGCCCTGTTAACCAACCACCAAGAGAATGTACATTTTGTACTAAATGTTAGTCATTTGTGTGTTCATTGTATATTTACATTCACCAGAATCGAACCTGTAATCTTGTATACATACATCTTTAAACAACACATTCAAGCTTTGTAATTAACTCTGTTATTTGTAATATTAAAAATATTGATAAGACAAGATGTTTTTACGCAAGTGCAAAATATGATGATAAAGAACATGATAAATATATTTTATAAACAGAAGTGGCCATTCATAAATGTTATGTGTATTGTTATTTGTTATATTTGTTTTGGATGGAATCTTTTACGAACAGGAAATCATCATCACCGAATATTTGTTATTTGATAGCTGACAATTATTTTAAACTAGCAACCCCAATGAACTTTTTTCTCTAGACTATGATATCACAGGCACTGATTCATGTACCGGAATAAAAAGTAGTTTATTCAATCTTCGAATAATAAAATTTTTGTACCTAAAATAGGTTCATTGCTTTAATACTGCATAAAAGAAGCAGAAACAATCATTTTTAGGTTAAAATGGAAATTTTGTAGATACTTATATCAATTTTGTAATATATTTTGTGAAACATATTAAGTACAAAAAATCTAACTCTTCTTTCCCTTCCCAATAATATATGGAAGTCTGCCCGATTTGTTGACATTTATGATTACTGCTCCGCTGCCTTGTGTTGTAGCATGATAATATTTAGCCTATAGCCTTCCTCAATAAAAGTGCTATCTAATGCAAAAAGAATTTTTCAAATCAGATCCGTAGTTCCTGAGATTAAAGCTTTGAAACAAACAAACTGCCTCTTTATAACATTAGTATAGATTTATTGAATTATTTTATTTATTTCATAACACTTAGTAAAACAGACGCAACTGTATGCTGGAACTTTTCGCCTAAACACATATATAAATGTGCATGATGCAACCAATAAATACCTTATCTACAACTTGTTTGTATTTCTCGGTATCGGTGTGCATGCATAATTTTGTTTACTATTTTGAATCAAGATAAGGAATATTTTATGCTCGAAATTGGTTATATATTATCTGCACAATGTTGACATACGAGTTATTAAAAAAACATCAATATTTATTCATTCTTTTTTTTTTACTATAATTTATTAAAATGATTCAATTGATGTTTTTCAGAATCAGATTCAATCAGATCTGATTGATTCAGAAAAATCTATAATTTTGCGTTTTATTTTTCTTTTATGGATAATGAACTAGCGAATTACTCTCGCACCGCTCAGATTCGGTCGAATATGTTAGTATGGAATAGATAGACTATAATATATTATATGATACATAACCTATGACGCCCCTCAATAAAGGGGCTATCTAATGCAAAAAGAATTTTTCAAATCGGATTAGTAGTTCCTGCGATTAGCGCGTTCAGACAAACAAATTAACAAACAAACTCAGCTTTAACTTATAATATTAGTATAGACTATAGATATCGATCAGGATTGACAAAAGTTTTTTTTATAATAAATTAACTTAATTCTTTGAATGGACGAATTGTATGACGCAATAAAGTACACCGAATTTCTTTACACATATGGCTCGAATCGTAATGTGTTTTCGACGTCCTTTTAATATTACGTGTCATAATACAATTGTAAATGATTGAAGATTGATGTTTAGAAGTTGAATTGTGTTTATATTTTGTTTTATTGTTAGTTTTTTTTGTCTATCACACAGCACTGTCTAATTCCACGGTAAGTTACGAGGCTTGTGCTGCTATGGATATTAGATAATCGATACACTATACATATATAACTTTAAATACATACATATTATCAAAAAACACACACACATGATTGGAGTACAACATTCGTGCTCATCATACAAATGAAAGCCCGCAGCGGGACTCGAACCCGCAAACGGGCACAGTAAGTAAGGTCACTACGAACTGAGCCAAACGTGTCGTCACATAATCGTAATCAAATTTTAAAAGGATAGCAATTTTGAATTAGAATTGTATCAAACTAGGATGACTGATTGTATGACGTCATGCTAATGACGCATTATATTGCGGTACTCCATTTTCGTAGAAATTGTTAATCTAGCCAGCGTTGACGGTTATTGTAGCACATTAATTGACTGGTTTTGATTTGTAAACCAAAGGAAATAGGTTCGATTCCTTTTGGAGTGGTATATATTTGTATTACGATTACCGAGTTCTGTCATGGTTGAGTCTAGAGTTGAGTTTTGCTACTATTAAAAGCATAAGTTACTCCTTAAAACATCAGCTATCTGCCAGTGAAAGTCAGGTCAAAATCGGCCTGAGTGTTTCGGAGATTAGCTCAAATAAACAGACAGACGGGCAAAAAAAAAAAATAAAAATTGTTTTTTATAAGCATCATATAGCATTTTATATTTTGATATTAAATACATACACTTCAATTGTATTTATTTGTATAGATATGTAGATTACTTTTATATCATTATAAATAATTTATTTTAACTTTGGTTACTGGTGGGCCCTACATAGTACTTATGATTTTTTCTGCCAAAAATTCTTTGTCCTACTGCTTTTTTTTAGTCATCCCTCTGCCATAATATAGTATTAATATATATAATACACTGCTTGCCATATTTAAGCGGAGAGAAAAAATGTAACTGATATTATGTCTCTAAGATTCTCTGTAACACATACATTGATGTATTACAATATTTTTTTGTGTTCTTGAAAGAATTGCTAGGAACACTCTTCGTTATCACTCGTGATTTAGCTATACTGCTGGGATATCATAAATCATAGTAAAATCTGATAGTGTTATCAGACTGGGTCGTTTAACTACTTGCTTTGTCTAGATATGCGATATAATGCGTTTTGAAGAAAAACCTATCACATACTTGATACATGCTTTAGAGTTTAGACCAGAACGAGATGAAATTGTGTTTCAAAAATTACAACCATAATACCAATAAAGTTTGTCCATTATCTAAATTATAATCTCACTAAATATACAAATTTAAAAAATAAGAAATATATTTTTTTTGCTTTGTTATTTTTGTTATTTGATATTTTGTATGCAATGGATAAATCTATTCAAGACTTTTTTGATATATTTAATTTATAATAATTAATTATTTATAAATTATGTTCTTTAAAGTAAGTAGC